TGAGCCGTTCCTCCTTTTCCTCGGAAGATTCCTGTTCTTTGTTGATTTTTTTCATCGTTTTTATCGGTTCGTGGTCTCTCTCCCCACCATTACGGGTAACCAATGATCTTGAAGCAATTGCCTTTGTCATGTCCCTTCCTTCCACACTTGCATGCAAACAACCGATTTTTCTTTCGCTTCATTGCGCAACTTGTTCCTGGTTTCCGCTCGCATAGCCATTCCCACGATCATTCCTCGCTCTTCTTTAGACCTGGTGATTGTTCTCACCCTTTCTTCTTGCACCATGGTGCCATACACCCGATTCAACGAGGGTAATGGATCTGTTGCCAAAACATTTGACCGTGCGGTTCCATAGCCCTCATCATCTAGCCCCATCAAGAACCGATGAATTTTTCTTCTTCTCTTCGTTTCTCAAGTTGCGTCATAATATTACACTTGCATCCCCCACATCTACACTGTGGGATTTGCTCGTAATTTGCCAGTTCATCCCACAACGTTTTCAACTTCCCATAATAGGAAACCATAGTCATTCCTTGTTGTTTGCATTCGCCAACTCGACTTTAGGCTGCTTGGATTCTTGGTCCGTTCACGATCGAGAATCGTTCCTTGATGTCATCCCATAGGTCCTTTGCGTTTTCCATGTATGCAACGAGTGGAACGCAAACTAGGTTCTATAGTGTTTAGTATCCAAGATACAAGCATCGATTGAATTGTCCACCAATCTTCTATCTCGGATGTGTCTTCTTCAGGTTCCTTATGAGTTCCATCTATGAAACCCCATTTCCTTCGAGCCGCGAGAGATATCTTCACGGCCCTTGCCCATTCCTCGTAATTCTCTCCTCGTAATTGTACTGTGTAATCACATTTCCGGGATTATCACCGGCACTCGGATCGTATGGCGATGGTGTTTTCTTCACCGTCTCTCCTCTCTCTGCCATTTTAGAAGTACGATTGTGTTCTCGAGTCGTTGGATATCGAGTTTGGTTCGCTCTGATACCATGATAAAAATATTTCCAAAAACCCCTGTCTTGTATTGAATATGATAGCACAATATATACATGAAATACAGAAACATTCTAGGCTATAATTACGCTAACCATTATAGTCGGTATCCTAAATTTGTCTATTAACAGATATGACATTAATGTGCATCACTATGCATCGCTGTCATGCCAAGCTAAATATGGAAAAAATTAATCATGTAGAATCATGGCATGATACGGTATTTGTAATCGTATATTCTATGTTTATCATACCAACTTGGCTATCAAAAGATTGATTCAGTCTTTCTATCATTAACACGCAAGCCTTAAAGGGCCTAACAACATATAATGGTAGAGGAACCTTGACAAGATAACGAGATATTATTATCTACTATTAACTTTTGTCTTCTTTTGATATTGTTGTAAGTGTTTATGATATGAAAAAATTTTAGAAATCTTTTAAGGCATCTTCATCTACAAGACTCATGGGTTGTGGAGAGACCAGTCTTATACTGTTTTGTCGTAGATAAGATGCTTTGCGAAATCTTACCCAAAGACTGGTTGTGGTAGTTTCGGCTAACAGTTCATTTATAATATCTTCTTCTTGGAATTGATCATACCTTGCTGAAGTAAAGGGAGAGTTGTCATGATCAATTTTTTGAAGTTTATCATTGAAGAAGATGTTAGTGAACGACTCAGAATCCAGAAACAAGTGATGTTTTTTTGGACTGTATTTGCCTTTTGTGTTGTTGGGGTGTGTAGAGAATATCTCAATGAAATATTCTTCACTGTAGTCACATTGAAAGAACACATTTATCCAGTAGTTAATTTTTGGACCGAAAAATGGTTCTATCACTGTATTTCTGAAAATGATTATTCTCTTCATGAATCCTGAAAAGAATAATTCTTCAGTTAATCTTTTGTTGATCCAGGTGGGAATACATTCCACCAAGTAAGGATTTATTTCGATGTTGTGTTTATAGGAAGATGAGGAAACAAAATTATCCTGATATTGGATTATCCTCAAGTGTTGTCGGAGTAAAGAGTCTTCTGGTAGTTGGGATAACTAGTCTTGGAGTTCTCCGAGTTCTACTCACAGGGCATCTGAAGCATGTTGGTAGATTTTTTCTTAGATTGGGCTTGGTAAAAGGCCAAAAAAATTTCTTTTGAATGACCCAATATAAGCCATATGCTTTTTGAAATTTCCAAAATCCATGGTTTTGAAATCATAGTTAATCATTTGGTGAAAATCTAAGATTTCAGTTTTTAATTTTGTATTTTCTTTTTCCAAACAGGAAATGTGATTTTCAAAATCTTTTCTTTGTTGAGTTTGTCATTACATATAGCCTTCAAAAGAGAAAGATATGATAGGTAGATGTCACGCTTATCACCAGTGAAAATGCAGTAGGCCTCATTCTTGGGTTTTTTAAAAGGAGCGGGCAATATTTTTGAAAAGTAGTAATTTAATGCATTGATAACATTAAGTTTTGTTGTTGGACTACTGGCTCGGTAAAGAGCATCAAGTATAACATTTTCTTCCCTTGAGACGGGATAATTTTTGAGCAACTTGAACCCATTGGATTAATCCTCTGGAAGAACAGGGAGATGCTGTGTTCCAAACTGAATTAATTCAGTTGTTGAGGCTGCAGACTTGCCTTTATTCATTGGGTTTGTCATTTCTATACCTGTGTGACTAATAGAATTTTGCAATACCCTTTTGTTAGATTTCTCATCATAGAAAGAAACTATTGTATTCATTAGATAATACCCGAAATCATCTAATATATTTCCTAATGCATTATATTTATTATCCAGTTGAAAGTCATTTTCCTGTGGATAAAGGTGTATGAATTCATTATTTGTGAAATAATTTATTAGCTCATAATTTTTATGGCTTTTGTCTAAGTTGATTTCATCCGTATATTCTGTTATACTAATTACTGATAGTATTTCAGAATCAATAGAAACATCTTCATCAATTGGAAGAAAGTTCATGTGGCAGGATTTTATGAGTTCTGCCTCTTTGGTGTAAAGATTTACAATGTTAGGACAATCTCTAGAGAAATGTCCTGGTTGATTACAAGCGAAACATTTTAAAGTTTGCTTGTATGTTTTGTTGTCTCTAAATTTTCTAACGTGTCTGTCAGGATTTAGAGTTGATTTTCTTGAATTTGAAGATCTTATCGTATAAGTCTTCTTATATGTAATAGGTCTTTGTTTTGTAGAATAAGAATTTTGATTGTAATTTCTAGGGTTATTCTTAGATACATACCTCCTATTTGGTTTATTTTTATTGTATTGTTGAAGTGTGTATATTTGTTTGCAAATTCCAGCTTCAAAATTTTTTAATTGTGTTTTGTATTGCAATATGTGTACAAGTGTCTTCCATCACTTTCATAATGTGTTGCATTCTTATTGAGAGATTGTTCAACATGGGAGTTACCTCATCATTTTTTCAGGATTCTCTAATTTTTTGACCTAGTTTTCCTAGTAGTTTGAGAAACATTTTTTCTCCAACGCTTAAATCATGGAAACATCTAGCTATAGATGCATACATGAAATAATCTTGTAAATATTCTTTTATTTTTCCAAAGTATGTTATAGAAAGTCTTTCTAGATGTCCTAGATAGATTTGTTGTCTAAGTGTATTCCCATCATTTGCAGACTGGGAAGTGAGTAATCTTTGTAAAAGAGAATAAAAATTATATATATTAGGACCTGATTCGATTATTAACATGTTTAAATCAGTAGAATAATTCTTTTTAAAAGATTCCCAACATATTTTAACTATATTACCTAAATAGGTTTCGCTTTTAACAATCATTTATTGAGAAGAAAAAAGAGTAAAGAATTAATTATTAAAAAATATAGATATACGTTTTAATCTCTATGTTTCCATTCATAATATATAAACATGGTATTACTAGTGTAAATGTACCAAGAGTTTTTATTTTATTTAAATAAATAATTTGATAAGTAATTTATAAATATATATTTTTTATCTTGAAATTAAATTTATGATTCGTGTAAAAATGTATTATTATTGTAATAAAATATCTGTCATTGATATATATATATATATATATTTCAAATTAATATCACAACCTTAAGCCACTTTTCATAATAATTTTATGTGATATAGTCATCTTTATAAAAAATAAAATAAAAGAATAATAGTAATAAGTAAATGAAATTTAGGAAATTATATTGTATTTAAAATCATCCTTTACCTTGATTCGAATCATAAAACAAGGTAATTATAAGGTTAATAGATAGAATCAAATAATTGTTTTCTTAGTTCATCTTCAATTTTTAAAAGTTATTTTTATTTTTTATCATGTAATTCATTTTAGCCTTGGTGCAACCTTAAAAGAAATACACTATAATTTAAGATAATAAGTAAAAGTCAAGTGATCAATTTTGTTAATGTGAAAAAGAGTAAATATATCCATTATTTATTATAATATAATAGTAGTAAAATACAACATTGTTTTATATATTAAAGAAGAAATTTTACCCTAAGAATTACAAAACTTGAAGTGAAATTTTTTACATAATAATTAATCTTTATAAATTCAAATGGGGAAATCTCATCCATTTATTTATTTGTTGACATAGTAATAAATTAATATTTAAAAATATTTTTGAGCAATAACGGTGAGATTACAAGTTGTGTACGTGTGTAGTTTGTCGTATAAATGTAGAGGATCCTGAAGCAGTGTCCGAGTAATGAATGGAAAGGAAAGATAAAAGAAGAAGGAGATATTGACACGTGGGGGCGGTGTTTAAAATCGGATGCGAACCTATTTATATTCTTCTCTTTATTCTCCCCTTCTCGTCCGCCACTTCTCTCTCTTCGCCGTTCCACTCAGCTTCCACTCTTCACCCTCATCACAAACCCTAGCCTACGATTTTCCATGATTCCTCTCCATCTCTTCCACTGAACTTTCCCTCAAATTGCTCGTAGAAGGACAATTATCGGAGACACTCGGGGCTTTACTCAAGCTAACGTTCGTGATGGCGGCTTCCACCACCAGCCAGGTCTACATCGATGTAATTGAGGATGTCATGGTCAAGGTCCGTGATGAGTTTGTCAACAACGGTGGTCCTGGGGAGGAAGTTCTCAAGGAGCTTCAAGCTGTAATTTATTATCATCTCCACCTCCTTTATTTTCATACGTTCAGGATTTACTTTTAATCTGTACATTTGAATAAATAAAATGGATTGTTTAATGCTTATACATCTATTTGAACGTGTGTTGATTTAGTTCGGAGGATTTTTTTTTTCCTTCTCTTGGCTGATTTGTTGATTTAGGGTTTGGATCCGATTGACGGTTCTATGGTTTTTGTCTTTTTTGTTTTTTTTTTTTATGGGTTTTGTTATTATACATTTATTTCCGTTGTTGAGGATGTTCATCCTTTTTTGTTTGTAATTTGTTTAGATGTGGGAATCAAAGATGATGCAAGCTGGTGCTGTGCTAGGTCCCATAGAAAGGTCCTCTGCCGCTAAGCCAACTCCCGGTGGTCCTATTACTCCGGTTCATGATCTTAACATGCCGTATGAGGGGACCGAGGAGTATGAGACTCCTACTGCTGAAATGCTTTTCCCCCCTGTGAGTTTTGATCCACACCGTTGTTATAAGTTCAACCATTGATGTCTCCTTTTAATGTTCTTTTTATGAGTTAAAATTATCGGGTTGTTGATATGCACTTTTAAATGTGCAGACGCCGTTGCAAACTCCAATTCAAACTCCTTTGCCTGGAACTGGGGATAACTCAACTTATAACATTCCTACTGGACCAGGTGACTACCCCTCTTCCGGAAATGATACAGCAGGAAATGCTGATGGAAAAGCAAGAAGACCTGCTCCATACATGGTAAAGTTCATTTTGCTAGCTGGTCCCATGATATATCATAAAAATTATTATTCAATTTATCATGTCAAATTACCTATTTTTATTTGTTTCATATTTATCAATCAGTGGACGTAGCGGCCAACCCTTAAAACACTATAGCAGCGTAGCGCATAACATTTCAAATGTACAAATTGAATTATATATTTATTTATTTATACTATATATATAAAAATAAATAAATGCTAGAGTATTTAAAAAATTAATCATAATTCATATTTAACAATTAAAAATCATATATTTTGAGCAAAATAAAAGTAAATAACAATTGAAGTCAAGGAAACAGCAAAGAACAAAAGACATCATATTTCAAATACAAGTCATGATACACAGAAAATAAAATAGGTCGTGGGTTTAGAGTAGAGAAATGAATGAGGGTGGGTGTCACCAGGCGGGTGTTGGTCAAGCAGTATGGGTGGTGTTTCACAGTAGAAGCGTGGGAAAATCGTAGTGGTCAATCCCAAATTGCTGTGGGGAGTGGCTGGCCTTGAAAGTGTGCTATAGCTGCTGTTTTGAAGTTGATACACATTACATAAATTATGCTACTAAAACTCATGTTACATGTTTTTAATAAAAAACTAAAATTAAAGATTATGCATGATTGGAATATGGAGGAAGTCATTATTGTTGATCAATTGGAAGACATGGCCCAGTTAGAATAAAAAATATTAAAGGTCTGATCTAAGAAGAACTAGATACTAGGGAGCATAGATAGTGAATAAAGACCTATTACAAACTGAGAGAGGTGAAAGAAGGAAGGATACACAATGTTGAATGATACAGGAGTTGGCTGGAACATCAATGACCTTTCAGGTCAATGGCTAGAAAGGTGGGGGTCTTCTCGGAGAGATGGATTGGTTTACTCACTTATAACGACTACAATGGCCCTATCTCTTGTTGTTGTGAGATCTAAGCACTTCCCGTCATGCCCTAAACTGGATATTTGGATTATGAACATTTATGGTCCATCTGTTACTCAAGAAAAAAAATGAGAAGAAAATAGAGGAAGGTCGAACATAATAATGTGATTGTAACACAATCAGTTATGTTGGGTTTTTAAAATTTTGTATACTTGAAAACATCCCCATAATCAATTAATGGGCTATTTTTCTTTTATTTTTTTGTATTTTGTATTCAATAATTGTAATAATAACTAGTAACAAAAAATAATAATATTAATAACAATTATTTTCAACCAAACAACCTCTCTTTCTGCTCATTTCTTACCTCATTCTTTTCCACTGTCTCTATTCCTTTCCTCTCTACCAAACCGTTCATTAAAATGTTGCAAATATAAGTGTCCAACTGATAAATTAAGGATAAGTTATGATATAATCTTAAAGTTTTGGCACAGGGCTTGACTCCACCAACAAAACTGACTTGCAAGGTGAAGATTGACCAAGTTAAATAAGGACTATATTTAGCTATATCCCTAGTTTGTGTTAGATCTAAACACTCACCAAGTGAATGGGGCATGCAATATAGGTGGGAATGGGGTTTCTGATCTGATTAAATGAAACTGTGGTCAAATTCTGATATAGTTCCAGTAAAATAGCATCAAATGACACCTTTCCATCATGAGGAGAATACTGGCAGACATGATCGCCATATCATCCCAAAGTAGCCACATTCTGCACTGTTACAACAACCAAACTTCTCAGCAACAGGCCCCAGAAGTGGGAAGTGTGTGTGAAGCAATGTAGCCCTGCTTTGTGCTACTCCACGTAATTGACTACTATGTGGGAAACAACATCAAAATAGGAATTTTTTAAATTCGTTAATCAACTTTGCCCCTTTAAAAACACTGATGCAATTGTGGCCATTATTGAAAACGTACCATTATTTAAACTTTGTAAGTTGCCCTGGGTTGCTTGCGCTGCTATGTTGTGCTATTTATAATTTTTTTTAATCTTCTGGAATCCCATTATCAATTTATGCAATTGTTTTAACCTGTAGTTATTATTCACTGGATAAACTATTATGTTTAAATCATTTGCATTGACATTTTTTAAGGTGTAAATTAATGTTGTCTTTATAAACTTTTACAGCAACCTCCTTCTCCTTGGATGAACTCAAGGCCCTCACTTGATGTCAATGTTGGTAAGTGTTATTTAGATCGAGGAAAAAGTGTTTAATCAAATGGCTTTGCAGTAATAATGATGTGTATTGCTGTAGCTTATGTGGAAGGGCGTGATGAGGCAGACAGAGGAACTTCTAATCAACCTCTGACACAGGTAAGCAAATCAGTTAGCTCTGATAGAAGAATGCTATATCTGTTGTTTTGGAGAGGCCTCATTATGTACGAGTTATTTTATAAAGCCTGCAACTTTTGTTAATGTTGTTGCAAAACACATTATAGGTTTTTTTTTGTCCACAATGTCAAACCTAAATCCATAATGTTTAGATGTTAATGATGCTTTAAAAAAATCCAGGACTTCTTCACGGTGTCATCAGGAAAGCGTAAACGCAATGATTTGACTTCTCAGTATAATACTGGTGGATATATACCTCAACAAGATGGAGCTGCAGATGCTGCACTTGGAGTTTTTGAAATTGAGGTATTCTTGTTTCCGTATTGGTCAGCATCATATATATCAGCTGGATGCTTGTATATCATTTGTAAGTAGTGCTGTAATGATGTTAGTAATTAATTTATTGTCTTTATCAAATTTTTTTTTTCATTGTAAACTATTTTTTTTTTTTTTCTGAATGGGAGCAAGGATATATATACTAGTTTTATAATTAATTTTTTGGTTTCTGCACTTCTCTTTCCTGTCCTCGAGTGGGTGGGGGTTTAGACAAGATGGGACATGGAGGATGGTAAAAGCATGTCTTGCCATCCCTAGAAAGTGTATCATGCTGTTTGAAGGTACTATCTTTTGATCTCCTTTTCTCAAGGGGGTTGCCAATTGGTAAGGACAAGAATGAGGGATTACAAATGTAGGGGGAAACCCTTGCTGTATCTATGTTGCATCTGTCAATTTTGAAAAAAACTAAGACTATGCAGAACTTTCAAACACATTTCTGTGTTGTGGCAGTTTACCATGAATACAAATGAATAGTGATTCAACTATAAAACTACGAAGGTTCAATTCCCAGAGTTTTACCCCAAAATCGAAGGGAAGTGCCACTCAATTTTTGGGGTCAAGCTGTATGAATGTTTTAGTACGAGGTTAAACCTTAGAATGACGGGCCTTTTTTGTTCTGGTCCTTTCTTCCTAAGGATTGACTTTCTGCAATGGTGTCGAATGTTTATCCTTGCTGTTTTTTTTAAAGCTCGGTGTCTCATTGTTATTTTTGTCTTCTTTTTCTCTATTTTTTTTTTTTTTACTTCCTTTTCTCTATTTATTTCAAGCTTGTATCTCTTTCTTGTGAGTTGGAGAATTGTGTTAGTACTAGAGTAAGAACTGCCTATAAAGTATTTTTCTTTGCTAGGGTCTTCAATTGTAGTTATACTTGAATTTCTCGCTTCCTGTATCACTCTAGTTTGTAAAAAGAAATTTTCCTTAGTAATAGTTTCTAAAGATAGTATAATGATACGAGTAGTTTCTCTCTCTTTCTTGGTGTAAAACTATTCATAACATAGTGTTTCTCTTGGAAATTTGATATCTTATTTTCTGTCTCCTGTTGTTGTTTTATAGTTTTTGGCGCATTTTATTGTGAAAGCAAAATATTCAGCTCTTCAATAACATGGGTTCTGATTTCCATGCAATTGTATGACATTCTAGGTTTGAGCGAATTTAATTACCAGCGGTCCACCTGGGAGCTACTTGACAATGTTCTATTATTTACCAACTTTAGAAATCTGATAATAATTCTCCTCAGATTTTTATTTTTCAGAATTGTTTGACTATCATCACAATTTTTAACATGAAAATAATAATGGGTTGCCGTCACAATGATCTGCAGATAGACATTTTGCTCAGATAGCTTCATTGAGAACTTTAAATTGCTAGCTTCTTGCCCATTCCACTTTTTTACTGAATATATTTGTTCTGTTGTTTTTTTACTGTGCACAAGCATGTGTTATCTGTCAGTTAATTCCTTGGGTGATGGAAAAAATTATTCAGTTTCTAAACCCTTGGAGATCAATCTTTTAGGTAAATGGAGGGGACATCTCTATTAATTCACATCCCACTATTTCCGGAAAATTGCAAGCAGATATGGAGAGGTCGACTTCTAGAATTCCTCAACTTGATGGACCAATTCCATTCGATGATGATGTGCTTTCTACTCCAAATGTGAGTAGTGATATTTGTCCCCTCTCCATCCTGCACTCATGATCTTTTGTACCAAACACATTTGTTCTTTCCCTCCACACCCAGAGATGCATTTACTTTGTTTACTTGTTTTGATTTCCTGTTGTACGTTATAATTTTGTGAAAACACATACCAACCCTTTTTAGTTCTTGGTCGGGCTTTCTATTTTGCAATTAATAACCTCATTTAATGTTAAGGTTTCAAAAGCCACTTTATTTGTATTTGATGAGTTCTTATTCATCATAATTTGAATTATTATTTTGTTGCAAAACTATAAAAGTAATGGATCATTGTAGATCATTTGGTAACTTCTGTACAGTGAGAAAAAACACAGTTTTAAATACTCCCATTTACATGAATGTCTGTTTTTCAGCTACATCTTTCCCTGTTTAATATTTGATTAAACCGAATGGCTAAAAATGTAATTCCAAGGAACTTTATATCTCTAAGAGGAATTAAGGTATTTTTTTTATTCTTAAAGTGGTTGGTTATGAATTCAAGATGGGTATTGTAATATTCTAACATGTTTTTAATCTGGAACATGAATTAGCTGCTTATTTAGTAATGGTGAGTGATTTGCTTAGTTGCTATATCCAAAGTGAATGTTACTTATGGTACTTGGAAACTCCAATTGATTGGATGCACTAATATTTAGCCAAAAGAGAAGAAAATTGGACTGTAAGATTCCACTTAACACCGCAATAACTAATTGCATTATGGTTCATTTGACACTTCCCTCCACCATGTCTTGCATTCCATCATCTTGGTCTGCTTCATCCTGTGGCAGATATACAACTATGGGGAAGTGTTCAGTGAAGACTACAACATTTCTAATACACCAGCTCCTCCTGGTACGTTGATAATGTTAATGTATTAATTATATTTTGAATATTTTTTGGCTTATTATTAGATATTTTAAGTCATAGTTGCTGATTCTTTTTCCTTTATTAATTATAGAAGTGCCAGCTAGCACCCCTGCTCTCGTAGCGCAGAATGAGGTGGGAAACGAAGAAGATGATGACGACGAACCTCCGTTAAATGAAGAAGATGATGATGATTTGGATGACATGGAACAAGGAGAGGATCAAAATACACATCATCTTGTTTTGGCCCAGTTTGATAAGGTAGCAACCTCCCTATACTCTAAACTAGATGTCATGGAATTGTAATATTTTGTAGGTAGCGTGTTTCAGGGTTGGATAATTTGTGTTTCTAATATGGTCTATCTTGCTAAAAATTTAGGTTACACGTACCAAGAGCAGGTGGAAATGCACATTAAAGGATGGCATCATGCACATAAATAATAAGGACATTCTCTTCAACAAGGTTTGTCACTGTTGAAGGAGAACAAGCAAAGTTATTTTCTATTTTTCCAATTTGATTTATCAAAGTGTCATACATCTCTGCAGGCGACGGGAGAGTTTGACTTTTGAATTTGTTGGAGATGGTGCCTTCGTGAAAGCTGATTTGGAGAAGTCATTGAGTGTTTCATCATCTTTCTTTGATTATAATTATTAAGTGAAAGATTCAGGAAGAGAAAAAAAATCCTTTTACCCTATCGAGACTGTGGTTTTGATGTTGGCCTATTGTACATAGAGAATGAGCATTTTTTGGCCTTTACCTGATGGTTACGGACTCGGGCGTTTCCTTAAGCCCTGCAATTGTAGTATGTGGTTCCTTTAGTTCTGTATACTTGGCCGTTTTGGTTAATTTAAGAATCCTGTGTATGATAATGATAGTTAATTTTGGCATAAACTTCATCCAGACCCAAATGGACTGAATTCGCAGCTGAAAATGTGATAACCAACTGACCTTTTCTCCTGCAGAGTCTTACAACCATCTTTCGTTTCAGCATTAATATTGGACAGCTGCATAAAGCGCCCAGTTACTTTTTACTTTAGGGTTAGAATTTGTGATGTTTCTTATACAATGGCCGTATCTTTACATTACATTCTTACATGAATTTAGAGCTCCCAAACAAATACTCATTAGTTATAGAAGACATGTTTTGAACAATATCAGTTGCGACAAGTCCAGTATCAAAGAGATCAACAATGAAAAGTCCAGCATGTCTACAAGCCGATAGAATAGCAGCAAAAGTTACGTTGTCTGGCTCGATTCTGGCTGTAATAATCTCATGGAAATTTCTTAAAGCATTCTCATCAAGCCCACGTTATCAAACATCAAACGTCCTTCCTTTATACATATTAATCAGACCATTCCCACGGAAATAGTCAGCCATCAGATTGGTAATGGCGGAACATGGAGCTCCAGGCCAAGATTCAATGCACAAACTGATAAAACGGTGGAAGTTGTAAAACTGCCTTTGCCTAAAAATAATCACTGCACTCCAACCTCCGACATTTGGCCTCATCGGGGAATAATCTGATTTCTCCATCTGCACAGAACTCACAATCCAGACTTTTAAGCTCTTGTTCTTTGTATCCAGAAACACTTTGTGATTACCCCAAAGGTTGGTGCTTCCCGTATGTACTTATTAGTGCATTTTTCTCAAACAAATAATCTTCATATCCACCTTTAACAACAAACCCATGGATTTCTTTTCTACTGTCAACTTCACTCATATCACCACACACACAACCAGTGCTTCAGCACTGATTTCCAGTATTCTTTTCCTCATCATAAAGCCCACATCTAGCATGACTCCGCAAGAGTGAGGTCCAAGAGCGTAATAGGAAAAACCAAAGCGCGCGTAAACGGCTACGAGAAGCAATTGGGAGTGAAGCTGGAACCTTGCCACATTCACTAGCCTTTTTCTAAAGGAACCAAATTCACCAGTATAAAAATAAGATTTTAAGTGTTTTAATGCTAGTCACGTAAAGTTAAATATTGATTTACTTACATTGTTTAAAACGAATTGGTTTCATTAAATTAAAAAAAAAAAAAAAATCTATTCAAACAACTCATGAATTTCATTGCAAAAAGTTTTACACTTATCATTTTTTATTTTATAGTTGACATTTTACAACTCATGAATTCTATCTGCCCAAACTGATAAAACGCCATATTAAATAGATAGGGTTGTCTTTATCTTCAATAAGTTTTCGCTATACTAAAAAGGTTTACTTTATTTTTCATAATATAAATTCAACCCTACTAAAAATGTGTAACTTGAGAAATTAAAAATGCATCTACCCTCCTAAAGTTGACATTTGTGGACTATAAGCACATCACTGTTTATTCAAAAAAAAAAAAAATAGCGTAGCTGTTTTTCACTTCATAAACGTATTAAAATAGCAATAAAATGTAAATCTGACCCATAAAAGAATTTTTTTAATCAACTTTCTTTCTCATATATATATATATATATATATATATATATATATATATATATATTCTTTTTTGCATCTTATATTTACATTGTAGTGTTAATGATAAGATTTTGGAAAGTTGAGGTGGTATGCAAGGAAAAGGGTACCTGAACTGAATGGGAAGGTGGTCCCATAGTTAGAAAAAGGAAGTAAAGCACAATAATTGAAGGGAAGACCAGATAACGTGGCCTGCATTCTCTCTTTAACTAAAATACAACAAAATTATGCGGAATTTTATGAAGTCTGTAATCAGCGCACCTCCCACATCGTAACTCCCTCTTTATTTCCTTCCAATATTATACACCCACCAAACCTAACAATGCTGTTGCTTTAAAACAAATTACTAAATAATTATTTTCAAGTAATATTTAAATGCTATTTTTAAGTCAGTAAAAAAACCGGTTACATAGTTTCAATCTTGTTTACTTTGGGTCAACATGTCACACACTCTTCCTTCCTTCTATATATGCCAAGATCAAATGTACCTCGTAACGTAACACCACTTCACAATTCAAATTACTTTTGTCTTCATCAAACTTCTCTGTCTCTGTCGGTAGTACAAGCCATGCAAAAAATCACACTCTCCCTTAAAGAAAGAAAAAATAAGAAGCAAAAATGATGCCTAATCTTTCCAACTACTTCAAGCAATTATTAAATTTCTCTTCTCATTTGATTATTTTTTATTTTATCTAATTGACTTAAAAGCTGAATGATTAGCCAGATTTATCTGTCATAATTAAACAATGACTTGCGCGATTAACCTACAAATATTTTATATTTCTGGCACTCCAAAAAGAATAAATAAAAATTACAACCGATGCCTTGTTAACATATTAAAATAATGTTGTGAGCAATGGAAAAGAATAAAAGATAATAGAAAAATGCAAATCTATGTAGAAAAAATAGACTAGTGGTATTCATTCAACATGCTAACAACTGTCGGACACCACCGACTGAAACCCCATTGCCATTTACACGCATTCAAGTAATTTATGGAATATGAACAAATTCTCCAAAAATATACCAAAATAAAATTAAAACAAAGGAAATAAAACAAAAAAAAATTGAAGATAAAAATAAAAATAAAACAATTAAGACAAGTAATTAATACAGTACACACCTCTGTTGTTGTGTTTGGTGTACATGCAGATCAAACTGTCCACTTCCAGATCTTGAATTTAACATCGACGTTGCACTTGGCGTTCGAAGTGGACGCCGTCGCCGGTTTCTTGCCGGAGGGGAGAGTCACTCTGATTCCGTCGCAGGAGACTCTGATTCCGACCTTCGGGCTTTTCAATTTTCCCATTTTGGCCTTCACTTTCGTTTCCAAGTTCACCGTCAGTGGTAACCCGTTCTTGCTCTTCATGCTGGACTTCAAGCGTGAGGCTTCGTCGCTCTGGAGCGCGTGGCCGGTGCTCACGATGGAGGTTTTGATGAGCGTGGTGTTCTTCTTGCCGTGCACGAAGGCGGGGACGGTGCCGTCGCCGACGTCGACGTCGCTGGAGAGGATGGAGATGGAGGTGGGGTCGTAGGCGAAGAGGATCTTCTTGTTGGGGTTGGTGGCGGAAACGGTGACGTCGAAGCGGGAGTTCAGGGTAGAGGAGGAGGTGAGGTTCAGGTACGAAAGTTTCAGCGACGTCACGGTGAAGCTGGGGCGGTGGGGGCGGTAGAGAAGGTAAAACACGGTACCAGCGACGCCGATCAGGAGGAGGAGGACGAGCACGGTGAGGATAAGCCAGAAGCAGAAGGTGCAGCAGCAACCACGCTTGCTCCGGCGCCGGTGGTGAGGCTGCGGGCGGTAGGTTGGGCGAGTGGCGCCGTATAGTTGGGCTTTCGTCGCCGGGAAAGCCGGGTTCGCGGCGGCGCCGTTGGTAGCTGGCTTGGCCGAAGGGTACACCCTGTCTGTCATGGCGATGGTTTTTGTTCCACTAACGTTGTTGTCGGAGAAATGAAAAGAGAGGGATGTTTTATGAAGAAGAGAATGTGAAAAAAAAAGATACTTTTTTTTTCTCCTTGTTCTGTTGACTAGAGAGAGATAGAAACTCAGAGAGAAGAAGGTGGTACAGCACTATGAGAAGTGAGATTGGGAGAGAGGGGTTTAATGGGTTATTAGAAGGTTGTTTAGGGATAAATATGTATTACACACAGTGATTAAAATTTGGAGAAGGTGTGGGGTAGCAGAGAGAGAGAGAGATGGTAACCTTCTAACCACACCCTTTAGCTGGATCCACCTCTCTCCCCTTCCAAATGCACCAACAATTTCTTCAATTCTATTCCCCATTATTAATTACTACCACTATCATACTTTTATGACTTTAAGGTCAACTTGTTTTTCTTCTACCTAATTTAATATTTTGGATTAGGATTTGACAAAACAAACCAACACATTTCTTAAGCTCCATGCCATATTCAATGACATTTACTATTTTCCCTTTCATATTACTCTCTCACCCACTTCCCAATGGAGTTGCTAGCTCGTTTCATTTCATTCAACATTTTATGTTCCTTCTAATTATTTGACCACGATTTAGGAACTTCAATCCTAACTCTATACTCATTATTATTAGCTGATTTTTTAAGATTACTCGAATTCCTAATTAAGTTGTGAAATATTCACTAATTGAATAATACTCTTCCATAATGTTTTCCAATTTACACTTCATTTCTCGTATTTTATGAAGCATTGAAGAAAAAAAAAAGGTAACAACTTGCATTATATTATTTATTAAACTTAAAAGTTACAGATACTTTATGATGTTGAAATGTTAGGTAAAGAAAAAAAAAAAAAAAGGGTGTGGAGGGGAGTGAAAGCAACGCGCCTGTGTTGAGAGTGGGAGGCGTGGGCATTAGCGAATATGTGATGATGTGAGATGCCACCCCCCTTCCTCTCCTACTACTACGTTCTAGACTCTCTCTCTTCCCCCAACGTGCCAAAAACTAAAGCAACCAATTCTCAAACCCTAATCTCAATCATGCTCATATTTTTTATTTCATCGTTCACACAATTAAAGTCAAAAACACCAAGTTTTAAGAGAAGCGATTGCAAATTGATTCGTCCCTTTTATTTATTCTGTTGCACATTATTTTAGCCATTTTTCTGAGTTGTTACTTCAACTAAAACTCATTTAGATTAGATGACGTCTTTTAGGATATATTTTCACAAAATTAATGTTTTTTTAATTATTAGCTAATTTTTCTGGTTAAATAAGACCTGTGAAAATAAAATCCAAATAAAAGTGAAATTAGAATCATCCAAAAGTACTACAAATTTTGTCCACAGGTTGTTTGAGTCCTGAGAAAGGACATTATTTTAATCAATAATAATATAATTGTTTTGATTGAGTAGTTTCTTCTTTCTGGCTTGTAACATGTTAAAAATGTTATAAAAATAACGCAATATTAAACATGGGGCAACTTCACCGACACAAGTGAGGATTTTTTATTGTAATTATTTATTATATTGGTAGCTACCAAATGGCAACGTTATTTTGATTTTAAAGCAACCACCAAATCTTGTGCCTCTTCTCTATGCTGGGGACACTTCCCAATTTAACTCTACAATTCTTTACTTTCAATATTCACTTTTTATTATTATTATTTATTCATGAAATCATACTAATTTTATCAAAGCTTTTTAAAAAGAAGAGTATTTACAACACTTGAAACCAAAAAAAATAAATTATGTATATAAATTGAAATTTTGTTTTGCATATCCGCTTTTCAATGATACAATTTATATATATATATATATATATATATATATATATATATATATATATATATATATTTTTTAAAAGTTGCATCAACGAATGTTGGTGTTATCATTATCGTGTAAAGCTGCATCAACAAACGATTTTAACATCATAAAACAAGTTGAAGTGTTTTTTGAATGTGTGTGATAGTTATATTCATTGATGTTAACTGTTAATCACAATTGAAGTTCAAATGAGTGATTCTTACATAATCTTTAAGCAAAATATTTTCTTGTGAAAACTGCTATATGTATAATAATTTTTACATCAAAATTTATAACCATAAAGAAAAAGAAATGGAGAGAAGAGACAAATACTATAAATTGTTGTATGAATAAGATAATTTATAATCAATGAATTTTAATAACTAAAGCAAGAAGTAAAAGTTCATGGTGTTCTGGGTGAATCGTTTTGGCTCGTACAACGAGAAAGAAAGTCAAATAATGTAATGGTATTTATTCAATGACTCGCGTTTGTTCAACCTATGCACATGCATTTCACACGGTTAATTCAACGAGTCTCTCCTTCAATCAATGCTTATGTCATTCAGTACTTTGCCACTTTCCTCTCTCTCTCTCTCTCGAAATCAAAGCACACTAACACAACTCCAACCCCACCAACCCTCTTAAAAAGAAGTTATTCTCTGCTTTGTTGTTGGGATTGTACTGTGCTGTGGTGTTCTCACTGCTCAGTTATTCTGAAGAACAATGAAACAGTCATTGCTTAATCACTAATGATGAAAATGATGAAGCATGTGTGTCTTCTTCCTAAACCATTCTATTGCCATCTTATTTACTATTAATTAGGTTACCACTGTCGGTCAGCTTATATTTTAGTCTTTCTCATAAGAGGTTGTCCCTTACTGTGTGTGCTTCAGCATATGTGTTGCAGCTAACTCCAAGCAAACTCACTTCAATTTTGCTATCCTTGTGTTGTCGGTGAAAGATCTTCAGAATGGGATTGCAGCTTATTTTGCTGCTAGTTAAGCTACATTTTGTTATATGTACACCCCATCTTCATGAATATACTGGTGAGCTTAAGTTAGGTGTTCTGATTAAGTTATTTTGTACTACTTCCATGTATGATCCACTTGAGTAGCTCATAAATTATTGTTGAACATGGAACGTGGTTCATTATACATTTAGACAATCAGTGTTTGTTTGGGGAACTGTTCCCTTGCTGAAAATGGATACATGGGAAACTAATTCCAAAGCTTACTGGAGACTGGAGAGTGATATAGTAACAGATTATCTGTTCTGCATATTCTGATGTTCATAGTATCCACTATTATGGTTTTTCATGTTGATTCTCTGTGAGATTGTAAAATTATAAATGAGCTCTGCCTTGGTACCACCCTGTTCTCTTTTGTTCATACTGACATTTGTGAGTTGTAAAATGTGCTCATTGTTGAAGTGAAGATCAAAAACTATCTGTAATAACTATAACAATGCAATAACTTTTTTTGAATACTCATTCATTATTTAATTGAGACTAGTTTTCTAATTATGCAAAAAAGGTGTTATTTGAAGTGAGTTTTTCACATTAACTATGCAGATAATTTAGTTTGATATCTTTGGATTGATAAAATACTAATAGGCATAATTTAGTGTACTCCTAATGAAAAATATGTCAGCGTGTTATTTGTGTTGACTTACCATGATAATATGATTGTGCAATCATGAATAGAACATCATATGCTCTGGTCTCACTTTTTTCTGGTGATCATGTCAATAGTTTAGCATTTTGGACAATCAATGCAAGTAATAATCATGAAACTAGCTCTTTGGCTATGAAAAGATCAGAAAAGGTTCAGATAAATGAAAGCAGTTAGTCTCAGTAATTTTAGCTTGCTTAGGTTGAAGATTGTGAAAAAAGGAGATCAAAGAAGTAGATTAATATTATTCTTTTAGAGTAAGATCTAGAGGGCAGGCCTTGCATTTTATCTCTTCTATGACAGGCCAAAACAAGCAATGCAATTGAAGTACCCTCACAGAACTACCCCCACCAATCTAAATGATTAGAGCCACCTATGCAGTTTTATTTCAACTTTCTTTATTTTGTTCGATTACTTCAACTTATTTAATAGTTTATAACTTCCTCTCTACCATGTTCAAACTTAACAATTATTCAAACTAAATAGGCACCAATTTGCACCATTTGAGAATCCGAAGCCCTGCAAGCATTGCATTCCCACCAACAGAATCACCTTCTGGAGGTCCTTCCAGTATTGCACTTCCACCTTCCAAGGCATCTTCTGGAATTCCCGGAATTATTGCACTTTCACCTTCCCAATCATTCCCCAAAAGAAAATGGGCGCACAGTTCTATGGGCACTCCAATACCACACCATAAGCATCACCATTCCAGAAGAAAGTCCAGCAACCACGTTCCTGGGCCAACCTATTCAATCAGCCCTCATACTCATCAAGGTTTGAGTATCTGAGAAATAAAGTTCATGCACAATTTCAACATTTCTTGCCTTAAACATCTCAAAATTAATTACATTTCTTCTGTAAACTTCTCTTGAAAATTTAGCTCCTCCTCCAGTCTTCAAATCACAACATTCATTCTCTTCACCTATGAGCCGGGATTTACATGCACCCGCGCCAGCACCAACAGTTCTACCACACCACTTGAATGGTATTAAACATTCATTCCGGACATTTCTCTTACTTTTGTTTCATATATCTTGTCTACCCTGATTGCTAATCAGATTTAGCACCTCATTCTTCTTGGCATGCTTTGTCCATCACCACCAGTGCCCTCTACTTCACCTAGAATTTCACCTCTAGGTTCATCAGTGAAGAAGACAAGTACTCCACCAGGAGCATATGCTATGGTTCTACCATCTCCACCGCCTAACAAAGGTATTACTATAGTCTGGACTTAAACTTGCAACTGTAAAATTTTAGAAGATATTTATGTTCCGTTTAAGGAACAAAAGTACAATTTATATTACACATTTACACTGATTCCTTCTCTTCAATAATCTCTACCAAGTTATGCGATATATGTGTATTGATCCTATTCCTTACTGACCTTTAGATTGTATGTCGGTGACATGCTCTGAGCCCTTGACATATACACCTCCAGGATCACCTTGTGGTTGTGTCTGGCCACTTCAAGTTAAACTTCGCATCAGCATTGCGATATACAAGTTTTTTCCTTTGGTTTCCAAGCTGACCAAAGAAATTGCAGCTAGTGTTTTGCTGAACCGTAATCAAGTACGCATTGTGGGAGCCGATGCAACTACCCAGCAGCTCGAGAAAACCACTGTTCTCATAAACCTGGTACCCCAAGGAGTGAAATTTGATGATACAACAGCCTTTTTAATATTTAAGAAATTCTGGCAGAGAGAAATTCTCAATGATGCTTCTGCCTTTGGTGCCTATGAAGTGCTCTATGTTCATTATCCAGGTTACACATTAACATAAGTTTCTAAAGACCATTTTTTGTTTGTATTGATATGAAGTCAGTAATTGTAGTATATTTGGTTTCGTTTATCCTTTTGGATAACATATGCAGGCCTTCCACCATCTCCACCTTCAAATGTTTACGTTGAACCATACCATGGTCAAGACAACAATGGAACAATAGTGAAACCTTTAGGAGTAGATGTCTCAAGGAAGCAAAAAGAAGGGAGTGGTGGAAGAATGGGTATTATGATCCTCCTGTCATCTTTTACCGCCTTCGTTCTATTCATTGGAGTTGCCTGGCTTTTTCTCTTGAAATGTGGTTCCTGCACTATTGAACCTGAACATATTCCAGATGCCAAAATTCCAACCTCTTCAAAGCTATCAGGTAACTTAAAAGTACTGATTCCGTCAAAGTCTTGATGGCACTTTAGATACCGTAATAAGTAAGTTTTTGTTTTCTATAATTGCTTTGAACAATTAAGCATCATAAGTTATCTTTCATGCAATTAGAAATAATACTGTTCTTTCGTTTTGAAATCTGCAAAATGGAAATATTGATTGTGGCATACCTCAGATGACTGGAGAGGACCAATATTGTGGGTGTCTACGTTTCTGACCGAAACTCACATCAAATGGTATTCTAAAAGCAAGTGAACTGCTTGCACCATAAATTAAAAGGGCTGTCATTAATGTTTCTTATGAAGTCATGTGACTAACACAAAGGGAACTATCTTTCATCTTCTACTAAAGAAAAGTTTATTTCTTTTAAATGACATACATTTATTTTTTAAAGAGTTTCCCTGATGGGAGGGTTCTGCAATGTCAGTTTCAATTATATATATATATTTTAATTATCTGTATTTTATTGAGGGATTTTTTATTATATTGTGCTATATTATTTGTTGGTTTACATGGTTGCATTTGTATATGTTGGCGGCTACTGGTATATCTACATGGATTTTGTACATCTAAATCTAGTTTTTTGCTTGAAATACTTGACTGCTAGTTGCTAATGTCAAGGAATAGCTTTACTTTTTGGTATTTTTAGAAGACCAAATTTCAAGGGCAAAATTGATGTTTTGTTCACTTTGAATTACTTCATCATGGAGTTTGAAGTGAGTTTCAGCCTTTCTGGTTACAATGCTAATTTAGTCTTTTGTTTTCTTTTTCCTCTGGAACATTTTGGTTGAAAAGTCTTCAACTTAGCTATTTCTTTTAGAGTCTCCATATTCAAGTAGGTGCCAGTGGAATTCATTATAAATATAAAACTGAATGTGTTCGAAGCAGGTACTGCCAGTGCTAGGTCATTGATTTATGGGAGCATGCCAGGTTCTGAATCAATGTCCTTCAGTTCAGGAACAATAATCTATGCAGGATCAGCTAAAATATTTACTTTGAATGAAATTGAGAAAGCAACAAATAACTTCAATTCTTCAAGCATACTAGGAGAAGGTGGCTTTGGTCTTGTTTATAAAGGTGACCTACATGATGGCACAGATGTGGCAGTGAAGATTCTCAAAAGAGATGACCAGCATGGTGACCATGAATTCTTTGCAGAGTCAGATATGCTTAGCCGCTTGCACCATAGGAATTTAGTTAAATTGATAGGTACATGCACAGAGAAACAGACTCGCTGCTTAGTCTATGAGCTTGTCCCCAATGGCAGTGTGGAATCTCACTTACATGGTAAGCAAAGTAACTGATGATGAAATTTATCAAAACTTCTGAAAGCCAATTCTTAAGAATCTGACTATGGAATAATCTAACCTGTTCCCAGGTGTTGACAAGGAAACCGAACCACTTGATTGGAATGCCCGGATGAAGATTGCACTTGGTGCAGCTAGGGGATTAGCTTATCTGCATGAAGATTGTAATCCATGTGTCATACATAGGGACTTCAAATCCAGTAACATCTTATTGGAAGATGATTTTACACCTAAAGTTTCGGATTTTGGATTGGCAAGAACAACACTGAACGAGGGAAACAAGCACATCTCAACGCATGTTATTGGAACATTTGGGTAACAATCTCGTCCTAGACCATTTACATTGATGATTTTATGGTGTTTATCTGACCATGATGAATTTATTTTTACACGGATTACAATTTTCGTGCATTTCCTCAAGATGAAAACTGATTTTGTCTCGTTGGCACCTTGTTTTGAAGCTACGTAGCTCCTGAATATGCAATGACAGGACATCTTGTCGTCAAAAGTGATGTTTACAGCTATGGAGTTGTACTCCTTGAGCTCCTAAGTGGAAGAAAGCCTGTGGATTTTTCACAGCCACCAGGTCAAGAAAACCTTGTTGCTTGGACTCGTCCACTTCTTACAAGTAAGGAGGGTTTGCAGGAGATTATAGACCCAGTTATAAAGCCCAGTGTTTCTGTCGATACCATTGTAAAAGTTGCAGCAATTGCATCCATGTGCGTGCAACCAGAAGTCACTCAGCGTCCTTTTATGGGTGAAGTTGTTCAGGCCTTGACGCTGGTATGCAGTAAGTTTGAGGAAACATAAGTTCTGTAAGACCCTCAAATTTTTTAGAAGATGGTCCTGTAATTGGTCTTGCAACTAGTGTTCCAGGTGAGACAGTGAGCTTTTCAGAGTGTACCAGAACCCTGCTTCAGCCATGTTATCAACCTAGGTAGCACTATTGTCATCATAAGCAATGCTCAGCGCACGGAGCAAGGAATTTGAGTCATTCGGGTTGTTTGTATAGAGGGAGCTTGAATTTTCAACTAAACTGTGTCCTGAGTCACATTATTTTTCCAGTCCCAAAAAGCAAATTCTAAAGACAAAGCAATTATGTTTACCATTACTTATTATAATGGGATTGGAAGTTGATGTCACAAATGAGGAGAAAAACATGTACTTGAGATGAAGTAATCTATGCATGTTACAGTTAAAGAACAAAATTTTAAGACCTGTCATCTTCTGAGTCTCTGGAATTCAGACACGAAACACCCACACACTGATTTTAGTTTTGAAATGCAGATTACCTCTTTGTCCGAATTCCAGTTTTATTAAAAGACTTTTACTGTTTTTGCACTCTTGTGGGCTACAATCTTTATTTTTCTCTATGAAGATTCCTTTTCAAAGTTTTCGGTTTTAATGGAAGTTATTATATTTTTATTTGATATAGGAATGTCTGGGTTCTACATTAACATTCCTTTGTACATTTCTTTGTTCTGGAATAATAATAATAAGGACTGAGTTAAAATATTTAATTTGAATGAAATATAGAAAATACTAAACTTCAGTTTTTCAAGAATATTAAGCGGTAAGCGTTTTGCATGCTGTGAATTGATCATCCCCATATTATTGTCAAAAGTGTTCTTTGGAATGTTTTTGAGACAAGTAAGTGGACACTAAATATAATTTGGGAGATTAGCCATTAAGATTATGTGACAATTTTTTTATTTTGTTAAATTTGTTATGCTTAGTCACTAGCACAAGAGAATATGGTTGATATATATAAGAACAGTCACTTCTTAGTCTGTTATCAACAATGTGACCAAATTTACATCTGACTAAGGCCCCACATGGAGTGGTAATGTAATAACAACTGTAGTGGTCATATGATAATACGCAAAGACTGCACTCAAATCAATTACGGAGCCATGTGATCAACACATAGCGAATTATTCTTTCGCCTTTTACTAAAGAATACCGTGTGTTTGTTACTTTAATGGCATACCACTATTTTTGGAAGAGTCTTCTACGACTCTGCATTATCAGTTGAAGTTGTTAGTTGAACAAATTGTCCACCCAGTTAAATTACAATTACAAATGTCATATCAAAGCATAAAATTAAAAAAGAAAGTCAAAATGCACTCAAATTAATGTATCGAACAAATGCAGATGTTATTCGTATAACCAAATGTTGACTGATGAATGTATTCAATTACATTCATCAAATATAATTGAATTAGTAATTTTAGAAGTTTTAATGTCAATTTTATCTTAAAAAAATATTTCATTAAAGTTTTAATGTCAATTATATTTACAAAAATATTGACCTCTTAAAACATAATCCTTTAAAGTTAAGTAAGAATAGAATAAACTAAAATCGGGCAGGAGTGGAACAAACTAAAGCGATCCCGACTAAGGGTAGAAGTGCAACAAACTAAAAAAAGTAGAACAGAGGATAGAAGTGGAACTAAATAAAGAGATTGTTTGACGAAGTGGCCTCGTCTCTGATACTGGTAGGGGTTCTTCGCAAATTTAAGATTATCTGAACAAGCTTTGTTCATAAACTGTAAACATAGTCAAGAATTCCTACAACGCATTCCAAACATCACCGAACCACAAAATAAAATATCCCAAAGATAATTGAACTAAGAATTGTAAGGCTTTGCCTAAACAGGAAGCCCTTCCAGAAATTCTCAAAGACCCAAGATTAACTCAGGCCCAAGAGGGGGTTTGGAAATAGTTTTCAACCAGCAATAGACGCGCCTCGGTTTGAACCTCACTAGCTGCGTCATTGCCCCAAGCGCAAAGATGGTAGACTGAGATATCTGACAAGATCTTTTATAAGTTTCTGTCAGTTTCATCAGTTGACATAGTTGATGTGGGACATCAGCCAAATCCCTACTGACTTCACCGGTTTTTTCGATGATAGAGACTAGCATTCCTCTTATTTTCCTTTGTAAGTCTTTGCTAATCACGCATGCCTGAGAAACTATCTGCTAGAGATATTTGGTTTTTTTAAAATGTTTTAAGACACAAGAAACCAAAGCTGGCTTTCATCGCAACTAATGATGTGTAAGGTCTCTGAATGTTGACTTTGTTACACACACTTAATCAACCTAATAAGATGAAGAGGAAACCTGCTAAGGGATTGCATGTGGTGAAAAGATAACAGGAAGAAGCTTTTTGTAGCTTCTCTCTTTCTCTCACTACAAAACTGCTCAAACACTTGTAGCATGTAAGCCTGAACCCTAATATCAACTTTCTCTTATAAGTTACAGATATTCTTTTTCTCCCAGTCTGTCATTTCAAATTCATGTTTCAGATAATATTAATGTTTTCCAGATGTTTCACTATACTGTATTATCCATATTTGTGAATAGGGAACATATTAGTGTGATGACTGGTAATGTGTGTTTGGAAAATGAAAATCCATCCATCATTCTCTACCTAATCATTTTGTTTATTTACAATAGATATCTAATGTCTTGGTCCATGCCAAAAGTCAATGAGTCCTTAAGAAGATGCGTTAATTTCAAGACAAAATTCATGCTATATATGGTATACAAAACATTTTTGTATATGTTATATTTGGATAGTGAATATTTATTATCATAATAGTAAATACATTATTTTTTTATATTATTTTGGGAGATTTGTTTTCAATTTAAACCCAGTGTGTTCAAAAGTCTGGTTAGTCAGTGAACGGCGCTGGTCACATTGTTGGAACATCTTGATGCTCAATGCAGCCTCTAAGTGGTTCCGTTCTCTCTTTTCACATTTCCAACCCATTTTACTTGTATTTTCTTCAATATCCCACCTTCACACGCACCCATTCTACTTTGCCCGCAATCATGAACTTGTTGATTACATCGACGCCTTCTCCCAAAGTTGCCTCACTCTGCATCAAGCTCGCCAGCTTCACTCCCAATTGCTTCTCACCGCTGGGCATCGTTTACCCTTCTTAGCCGCCAGGCTTATAGCCCTTTACGCCCGCTTTGGCTTTCTTTCTGACGCTCGCAAAGTGTTTCATGCAATCCCAGTTGAGGGCCTCCATCATCTTCTTTTGTGGAACTCCATTATCAGAGCCAATGTCTCTCATGGCTACCATCAACATGCGCTTCAACTTTATCTTGATATGCGAAAGCTTGGATTTTCGCCCGATGGGTTCACTCTTCCCTTGATAATACGGGCTTGCTCGTCTCTGGGTAGTTCTGATTTCTGCAGGATTGTCCATTGTCATGCTTTGCAACTGGGATTTCAAAATCACCTTCATGTTGTCAATGAACTCGTGGGTATGTATGGGAAGCTGGGGCGAATGGAGGATTCCCGCCAACTGTTTGATGGAATGTCTGTTAGAAGTCTCGTCTCGTGGAACATTATGGTTTCGGGTTATGCTTTCAACTGTGATTCTCTCGGTGCTTCTGCGATTTTTTAAAGGATGGAGTTGGAAGGTTTGCAGCCTAATTCTGTGACGTGGACCTCACTCTTGTGGAGCCATGCAAGATGTGGGCTTTATGATGAAACTCTTGAGTTGTTTAAGGTGATGAGGACAAGGATAATTGAAATCAGTGCTGAAGCACTGGCTGTGGTGTTGTCTGTTAAGATCGAGCGCTTACCACTAGGCCAAAAGCTATAGCCGTTAGTCAGAGCGCAACTCTTTTTACTTTAACAGCCCAAGCGCCACGATTCAATTGTGACTCGGCCCACCTGACCTTCGTCACAGGACAATTGATGCTACCTGCAACAATCTCCCCCTCAGCAATTGTCCTACAAGGTATCCCACTCTTGGATTGTGACTTGGCCCACCCGGCCTCTGCCACGGGACAATTGTGCAACCTGCAACAATCTCCCCCTCAACAATTGCCCACCAGGAATCGAACTCGTGACCTTGGCTCTGATACCAATTGTTAAGATCGAGCGCTTACCACTAGGTCAAAAGCTATAGCCGTTAGTCAGAGCGCAACTCTTTTTACTTTAACAGCCCAAGCGCCACGATTCAATTGTGACTCGGCCCACCTGACCTTCGTCACAGGACAATTGATGCTACCTGCAACATTGTCTGTGTGTACTGATATGACTGATGTTGACTGGGGAAAAGAAATTCATGGGTTTGTTGTTAAAGGCGGATATGACGATTATTTGTATGTGAAAAATGCCCTGATAGGTACTTATGGGAAGCGCCAACATTTGGGGGATGCACATAAAGTGTTTTTGGATATAAAGAACAAGAACCTAGTGAGTTGGAATGCTTTGATATCGTCATATGCTGAATCTGGATTGTGTGAGGAGGCTTATGCAGCATTTTTGCAGATGGAGAAATCATGTAAAGATGGTCTTTCCCCCATGAGGCCTAATGTCATAAGTTGGAGTGCAGTGATTAATGGCTTTGCTTCTAAGGGGTTTGGCGAGAAGTCACTGGAACTTTTTAGGCAAATGCAGCTTGCCAAAGTAATGGCCAATTGTGTGACAATTTCCAGCCTTTTATCAGTCTGTGCGGAGTTAGCAGCATTGAATGTTGGCAGGGAGCTCCATGGTCATGCCATTAGAAATTTGGTGGGTGACAATATTTTGGTGGGAAATGGTCTGATTAACATGTATATGAAGTGTGGGAGCTTCAAGGAAGGACATTTAGTATTTGATAACCTTAAGGGTAGAGATTTAATCTCCTGGAACTCATTAATTGGGGGTTATGGAATGCATGGGCTTGGTGATAATGCTTTAATTAGATTTGATGAGATGATTAGAGCTGGAATGAAGCCAGACAACGTCTCTTTCGTGGCTATTCTATCTGTTTGCAGTCATGCTGGACTTGTTGCTGCTGGTCGCAACATTTTTTATCAGATGACCAGAAAGTTTAGGATTGAACCTAATGTAGAGCATTACGCTTGCATGGTTGATCTCCTTGGCCGTGCTGGACTTTTGAAGGAAGCAACTGATTTTGTTCGAAACATGCCTATTGAACCTAATGAGTATGTTTGGGGAGCTCTTTTAAACTCATGTAGAATGTACAAGGACATGGACATTGTACAAGAAACAGCATCACAAATTCTAACCCTGAAGTCAAAAATAACAGGGAGCATCATGCTGCTGTCCAATATTTATGCTGCAAATGGAAGATGGGATGACTCTGCAAAAGTGAGGGTGTCGGCAAGGACAAAAGGTCTTAAAAAAATACCTGGTCAGAGTTGGATTGAGGTGAGAAAAAAAGTTTACACATTTTCAGCAGGGAATTCAGTTCATTTGGGTCTGGATGAAGTTTATGTGATCCTTGAAGAGTTGGCCCTTCACATGGCGAGTGACAATCATAAAGGCGATAGTTGGTTCAGTCAAGAATTTGTTTATGACCAATAATTGCTCTTGTTGCAATCTGAGAGCTGAGAGGGTAGATATTATATTTTACCATGACTTAGTCCGTGACTACTGGACAATGACACTCTGAATTTTAGTTATCTAGGAATTTTGGCTACATATTAGTATATCTTGTCATAATGTACTCAATGCATCATGAATTACTGCTGAACAATTAGAAGAGTATAAAACAAATAGAATTACATGATTAAAACAACATAAAAGTACATATTTATACATCATAAAATTTAAAACTAAAATACACTTGGAATGGGAAGCAGGGTGATGCACTCTCAATTCGTTTCTTTGACTTTCTTTCTACAGATTAATTTTTCAGAATCCTTAAGATGAAAGGCCTTATACCAGTAACAGCCTCTATCTCCATATCCATTTTGAAAGGCTGAAACCCTTCCAGCCACCTTTTTCTTTATTATTGGTAAATTTGGGGCGCAAACACTTCATAGGCACATGAATTAATACGTTTACTTTTTATACTCTAAACAGTTGTCATTCTGATACTGAACTCAAAACTGAATATTTGAATGACTTGAAAACTTTATAGTTTCCACATATAATAAGGATGAGGGTAAAATATTTATCTTGAATAAATAGTGAAAACACTTAACTTCAGTTTTTCAGAAGGTGGTCAATTGTAATGGGAGGGATGGGATTTTAAGTTGTCGGTCCTACTTTTATGCATCTGTTTCACCTATTATAATTTTGTGCTGATATATTATTAATTAAATACACGGAATTTTTATTCAGCTCACAACATGTCCCTTCCAAATCAATGACTGTTTCTAATTCATTGATGATAAAAAAAAAAGGGACTTTTAATAGGACAATAAAGAGCTGTGGCAATAATCTGCTGCAGGAACAATTCTATATTACCTTCAGAACTCCTTCCACATTGAAATTCTTGATTGAAATAAAATATTTTCCCATTCTAATTGTAATTGAGAATTAAATGAAAATCCGTTTTGTCTGCTATGAATTGATGATAAGCATTGATCCTGTCACAATTATTGTCAAAAGGGCTCTATGTGTTGCTTTCATATCAATCAGTGAACATGAAATTGGTACTGTACATTTAAATCTGAAGATTTGCCAAGACTAAATATATAGAGAAATTTTCACTGCTTAATTTATGGCATTAAGCTGAGTGTGTATTGTTGAAGTTTATATTTCTGATGAAAGCCCACATCTAGTGGTATTCTAATAGCAGGTGTGATTGCCATAACATAATATGAAAAGGCTGTTTCGTTGTAACTTACGGTGCCATGTCATAAACACATAGCGAATTATTCTTTCGCCTTTTACTAAAGAATACCGTGGGTTTGTGCCTTTAAGTGGCATACGCCTATTTTTGGAAGAGTTTTCTGTTGAAAACTCTGTAGTATTAGTTCAAATTTGACATGTTAATAGTAAAAAGAGATTAGTTTATTTTATCAATGTGGCTTGATAATGGTTGGATGCTTGCCTTATTTATATTGGTAGTATCATTGTACAGAATGTTATTTGTGAAAAACCTGACTATGGAATGGAGGTAAGAAATAGTAACTTGGATAAATAATCTTGTTTGTCGAAAATAAAAACGAGATAGAATGGAATGGAGGTAAAAATCTGTATGTAAGAATCTATGAGAATGTTTATAACCCATTTTGAGGATGTTTATAACCCATTTTGATTGGGTCAGGATAATAAAATGAACTTGAACTTTGGGAGATAAAATGAACTTAAATAGAATGAATGAAAAGATTGTACTTAGAGCATGGTTAAGTTATTAATTTCAATGTACCTTATAATAAACTTTACAAATTAAAGGGCTTTAAACATAAGAAAGTCCTTCCAAAAATTTTCTCCAGCTCTAAGGCTTAAATTATTCTAATTTCAACTAATCAAAATATAAGTCATTATCATTATCCATAAGGAGGCTAAAATCATACAACTGATATTAATTTCAACAAATCAAATTATAAGGCTTTACCCATTAGGAACCCTTCCAAATATTTACGTAGGTCCAAACACTAAAAATAGTTTTCATGTAAGAAATTTTTAATCAAATTATAGGGCTTTACCCATATGGAGCCCTTCCAGAAATTCTCAAGGCCCAAGCTTAACTCAGGTCCAAAGGAGTTTGGAAATAGTTTTCAACTAACAATACACGTGCCTCGGTTAGAACCTCAGTAGCTGCCTCATTGCCCCAAGCGCAAAAAAAGATGATTTAGAATGATATTTGATAAGTTATTTGATAAGAGAGAAATTCTCACTGCTTAATTTATGGCATTAAGAAGCTGAGTGTGTATTGTTCAAGTTTATATTTCTGATGAAAGCCCACATCTAGTGGTATTCGAATAGAGCAGGTGTGATGGCCATAACATAATATGAAAAGGCTACTCTATTGTAAGTCACGCAGCCATGTCGTAAACACATAACGAACTATTTTTTCGCCTTTTACTAAAGAATACCGTGGGTTTGTAACTTTTGAGTGGCATACGCCCATTTTTGGAAGAGTTTACTATTGAAAACTCTGCATTGTAAAGGGCGCTTTAGTCAAAATATGTCAATTTTTTAATTTATGTTTTTTAATTTATGTTTTGATTTGGTCAATATGTTAGTTTTTTTTTTTATGTTTTGGCTTGATCGTAGTTGGATGTTGCTTTTGAAGGTTCGATTTCAGTTATTTGTATCTCTGTACAGAACCTTTCAAAAGAAACGAGTCATCAGATTATTAATTTAAACGTATTATATAACAATATTAGATTATTAATTTAAACAATATTAGATTATTAATTTAAACAATATTAGATTATTAATTTAAACAATATTAGATTATTAATTTAAACGAGAGAAATAAAAATAAAGATAGATTATTAATTTAAACGTATTATATAACAATATTAGAAATTTTAAATCTCTCTATTTGAGAAATAAAAATAAAGATAGATTATTAATTTAAACGTATTATATAACAATATTAGAAATTTTAAATGTCTGTTTGAGAAATAAAAATAAAGATAGAATGGAATGGAGATAAAAATCTATATGTAACTCCTCATAATCATTTTGGTTAGGTGCACTTAGAGATAGAATCAACTTAAAATCTATGAGAATATTTATACCCTAGAATGAATGAATTTAGAATCTATGAGAATATTTATACCCTAGAATGAATGAATTTAGAATCTATGAGAATGTTTATGTCCAGAATTAAATGAACTTAAAGATAAGATCCACGATAAAATGAAATATAAAATGAACTTCGGTTGAGAGATAAAATGAACTTAGAGATCGAATGAAGTTAGATTGGAGATAGAATGAACTTAAAAATCATGAAAAGATAAAATGAAGTTAGATTGGAGATAACCTAGAGCATAGATATGTTATTAATTTCAACGTACCTTAAACTTTGTTTACTTTTTAAAGCTTTAAACATAAGAAAGTTGTTTATTTTTTAAAGCTTTAAACATAAGAAAGTCCTTCCAAAAATTCTCTCGAGCCCCCCCCCCCCCAAGGCTTAAATCATTCTGATTTCATTTAGTCAAAATATAAGTCATCATTATCCATGAAGAGGCTAACATAACTGATATTAATTTCATCAAATCAAATTATGAGGCTTTTACCCACTACGAACCCTTCCAAATATTTACGAAGGTTACACATTTGGACCCTTCCAAATATTTAAGAAGGTCTAAAGACTAAAAAAAGTTACCATGTGAGAAATTTTGAATCTATTTATAGGGCTTTACCCATATGGAGCCCTTCCAGAAATTCTCAAGGCCCAAGCTTAACTCAGGCCCAGAGGGGGTTTGGAAATAGTTTTCAACCAGCAATAGACGCGCCTCGGTTAGAACCTCACTAGCTGCGTCATTGCCCCAAGCGCAAAGATGATTGGGAATGTAATCTGACAAGTTGTTTTATAGAGATCTTGTCAGTCTCATTAATTAACACAGTTAATGTGGGACATTAGCTAATGTTGATCTTATTAGGCCTCTGTCTACCGCTGACTTCACTTAGTTTAATTGTTGAAGCTTTATCCATTTACACAATCCTGATAAATTATTTGTGCAACATATTTTATTTTGTTTTAATATTAAAAGACACTAATATATCAAAGTTGTCCTTTTTAGTTTGTTTCTATACTTTATAACACCCCTTTGGTCCAGATGCTTAATCAACCTATGCATGATGGGCGTGTATATTTTTTTAGAACATCAAATTTTAGACTAAGAGAGACTGAAAAGGAGGAAGAGGTTTCAATATAAATCAATTCATGACTGGCCAGGAGACTGAACGTGGTGAAAAGATAAGAAGAAGAAGCTTTCAGTAAAATGGGAAGTTGAACCCTGATATCAACTTTCTCTTAACAGTTTTAGATATTCTTTTCCATAGTCGCTGCACTGTTGTAATGAAGCTAACAGTTATAGAACTATCAACTCCTAACGCATTATGAAGTAGGAGGAAGAGTAACTCATTACATTAGTATGACTGCACAAAATCTTTCAAAATCTTTATTCAACTGTCAACTTGAATTTTTTTCAATCTATTACTTTTTAAATTTAAAAAGCTTCAGTTAATATTAATGTTTTTCAGATGTTTGATTATATATGTTGCATCATTTGTAGTATATAAACTACATACTAGTGTGTGGCCATTATTAGTAAGTAAATTCTGAAGAAGAAAACCTATGTCTTGCTTGGTGCCAAATTTAGGAGTATCTTTACCAGACGTGCTAATTTTAAGACAAAATTCATGCTTCATACTACACAAAACAAATGTATCAGGTGTTTAAAATGAAATTAAGAACGTGTTTGAATACTGTTAAAAATGCTTAGTTTACCGGAAGTTTTAAGCCTAAGTAAGGATATAGGTCCTTTTGTGAAAGTACTCTAGTAGGTTAAAAGGGTGACGCCAAAAATTGATCATTACAATTTTAATGTTTATAAAATGAGTTATAATTGCAATAACTTTTCTTTTTTCAGAAAATTCAAAACTTAGTTGATAATTTGATAATCACTCTTCACCGTCAATTAACAAATAAAATACATCAATTTCCAATCCTACATGCTACAACTAGTAGTTCTTCTTGTCTTCGAATTACACTCCTTTTTTTTTCATTTTTTTGAGATAACTTTCATATTAAACTCCCATGACTCATCCTTAAATACCAGCCAATTTCCCCAATCTGTCCCTTAGAATCTTCAGTCCCATGTACCTGTGACAAATATGAATATAGTACCATTAGGATCTAAAAGGTTAAGATTATTATTTAATGGTAATTTGACACCCTAAGTTCTATAATGACAAAGTTAATCCAAAGGTGTTCTTTATTCGGTGTAATGTTTTCTATTTACATACCTGCCCATCATCATCACAGTGGCTTGAGGATTGGTTCCTGGCGACTCAGTGAATGTTGAGCCATCTACCACACGGAGTCTGTCAACACCAAGAACCTTATACTCAGAGTTTACTACTTTGCCCACATGGCACCCACCATGGTAGTGCCAAATAGTGATCACCGTGTCTCTACAAAACTGTTCTAGTGACTTTGTGTCATTAGCATGTTTGGGTATGAGATTGATATTAGCCTTCACAGTGAGGTTCAGCATTTTCTCTGCGGTTTCTCTATCACACATAGTGTAGTTTGTGACATGCTGTGACTGGACAACCTTTATGGCCAAGCGGATACCCTCCACACAGCGTTTAAGATCATAAGGGTGACTGAAGTAGTTGAAGGTAACAGCAGGGTTGTCCTCCACGTTGGTGTTTATCAACTTGAGCTCACCAGTTGACCAAGGATTGGCAACTTTTGACAATATGAACCCTCCCCTGAATGCTTCAATTGGTATGTCTTTCTTGCTCTTCACAAAAGCTTCAACAGCTTCTCGTGATCTTTGTTTTGGTGGAATTGTGGACAACTGTCCAATCTGGTTTATCATGTTGAAAAGAAAAAATGAATTCTGATGGATATATCGCTTATTAGTTGCTAACTTAGTGAAAAAATTTCATACCTCAGCTGACAAGAGACCATGGTGGCACCGAATGCTGTCTTTGGACTGCCCAAAGCCACAACTAGTTTCAATGTACACACCCAAATTGGTTATACCAACAGTTTCTATGAGTGACTGCTGCACTGGTCTCTTGGAAGGAACAAAAATTGTGTTCATGGGATTATCAGCCATGCCTTTACCAACGAATTCATTGTCAAGCACCACAGGAATGTTGAATTTCTGAAGCTCTTCTGTGGGGCCTATACCACTGAGCAGTAGCAATTGAGGAGTCCCAATTGCCCCACTAGACACAATCACCTCACTCTGCCTGCCAGTTCCCAGAAATGCCTGATGCTGCTTTCCATTTTCATCCTTGAAAATAACCCCAATAGCTTTTGGTCTCTTTCCTGCAACAATAGCATCACCATTTTCAATTAGGGAATTTTGTTTAATACCTTACACATAATTTGATTATTAAAAATGTTTGTTGCATATGCATACCTGTTGTATCGAAAACAATCTTCTGGACAGTGGCATGGATGAAGACAGTAAGTTTGCGAGGGTTCCCGGAAGCAAGCAATTCAGCAGCAGTGTGGCGACGGCCAAATCTGTCAAAAATGGTTCCACCAACTTTGGTGCCATACTTGTGATCGTAAGTGAACCCATTAAAAGGAGACACACCAGCATCTAGAAGCCCGTCTCTAACCGCTCTCTGCCAATCTGAAAATTTTGGGCGATGAACAACCTGCTTCTCCACCCAAGGATAAGACTCGTTCACTAGCTTTGCATCCCACCCCACCTTCCTTATAAATCTGCATTTTTGTTTACAAAATGTTGAGAAAAACACATCCTTCACAAGAACATCACTGATTCTATATACACAGTACTTAGTATATATTTCGCATAATTATGGTATTTTTTTTTTTAGAATTTAAGATTTCTTTAGTCTTTGTAAACCATAACACGAAAACAGAAGGAAAATCATTTAATGGATCTTTTTATAAATATGTAATTTTGGTGTGAATCCAAAGTTAAACCAGTTTGGTTCAATATTCATGTCATCTATTTATTTTTAAAATGTTATATATAAATAATTGTAATTTAATTACTGGTTTATATAAGATATTAATAATATATTTAATAATGGAATAAAATGAAATCCTAACATTTACTTATTTTACAAAAATTTTCTATGTTTGGCTCTTTTTCTTCTTAGATATTAAATAGCATTGACTGGTCCATACAAACCAAACAGAAACAGTCATAAATGAGAATTGCAAATTCAGTGAAATTAATTGTCATTTTGCAATTTGTGAATTTAGATACCTATCCAAGGATTAGAAATGTATAAGGGATTCCAGAGATGATGAATCACAGGAATTTGGTTTGGCTTATTACTTGATTTTCTTTTTACTTAAATATTAATCAACATTAATTATAATTAAATAAAATTGAATAGTTGAGACTTGATTTAACCTAACATATTTAGTACCATAAATTCAATAAAGAAATTAGAATTGGACCACTAGGGCAAGGGAGAAGGGATCCAGCAAGCATCTTAATGATTTAACCAAAATAAATAAATAAAACAACCTAGAATCAAATTCAATGACTACTGCGTCTGTGTGGTCACTTTTCTTCCCTTCCTTTTCCTAAGATCTCACACTCTCACCTAACTATTTCCATGGCATAAAATAGGGTTACCAAGGAACACACCACCATTTAATTCATGAAGTTGGGATTTTCTCAAAATATATGTACTCTTAAATATTATTAATATAAATTCATATAGGATCTCATCAACCACTTCAGCTACATATCAAGGGAGATTCAAACCCATTTAAGAAATACTCCTCCTTTTTTTTAAAAAGATATATTCGTTTAAAAATAATGATTGGTGCAAAGAAATATGAAAAAAAAATTTAACAAAAATATATATGGTGTAGTTAATGTCATTTGGTTTCACTTTGGCCCACTATTTAATTAAATAGGTAACTTGAGATTAATGACTACTATATCTGTCAATATTAACCCTACACAATTTCTTTTGGAAACAATAATCAACAATAAAACCTAATGATGATGATGAAAGAGAAGGAAGAAAAAACTCTTTTAAGTTTTGAGTAAAATGATGTTTGCACGTAAACACATATATGGATTTAAGGTGTTGTACTTGTTGATAGTTGGAAGCAGACTACGGAAACAAGCGCATAAAATTTCGCATTCTATGCACGCCAGTAATACTAAAAAATGGCACATTAAGAGAAAAAATAATGATTGTTAGACCAATCTCATAAATGTATATTTATTTCATTTAATGAAAATTTAAATAATTAGTACAAATGTATCAATCTGCACCAACAGTCGTATATTGCTTAAAATTTATAATTTTTATTCTTAACAACTATCAAAAGTTCCCAACAGTGAAATTATATATTTTTTAAAGATACATATATAGAACTATAGATCTTTACAGTAAAATTTTTATTTTATTTTGGAAACCTAAATCCATACGAATTAAATTTATACCACTTATGAACAACTCTATTCTTAATATTATAATACTAATTTTACTTTATTTTTATTTTTATTAAATTATTTGATAGATTATTATATTAATAAAAGTAAGTTGTTTAAAGGATTGTATGGTACGTGGTTTTGAAAATATCACTCCTCTTTCTTTTATTTTAAGAAAAATGATATTTTGACAACTCAAATCTATATCACTTTTATAAACAATTCTATTTTAATATTATAATAATAATTTTACTTTATTTTTATTTTTATTAAATCATTTTATATTATTATATTAATATTACAATAATAATTTTACTTTATTTTTATTTTTATTAAATCATTTTATAGATTATTGTATTAATAAAAGGGAATTGTTTAAAAGATGGTTTCAAAATATCATCCCTCTTATTTTAATAGATTTTCCATATCAAAATTTGACCGTGTTTAATATGAGAGTAAAAGCAGTAATATTTACAGTATATGCAAAGGAATGAAGTTGTGGTGTTACCTTGGATTAGCTCTAGTGTAGAAGCCAGCGTTAATGGAACTGCCACCTCCCAAAACCCTTCCCCTTGCATTCAGCACTCCGTCTGTTGAAATGAAGTACTGAGAAGCTGAAGTTGGTGAAGTGTCTGCCAGAGTAATGTGAAAGTTTTGTAGGAATGACACATTTGGGTTGTTGAAAGGAACTCCTCCTCTTTCCAGCACCAGAACTTTGAACTTCTGAGACAGGGTTGCAGCCAATGGACATCCTGCAGTGCCACCTCCCACTATTATATAGTCATAGTCCCCACTGGATGAAGACCCCAATGAACTTGCTCTCCTGATAAATGGGTACCCATCATTCCAGTTCTTCTTACCTGCAATCATATTTACTACATGTTTTCATCTTCTCTATTATATAGTAATGATATTTGTTCACCATCACATCTTTCAAGGTAAGAAAAAACAGCACTGTGTTTTATCATGTACTTGGAAAGTGAACATTTTGTCTATCATCTATTATATTATACTATATTCTACCCTAGTATGATGTAGAAAATACCTGAACCAAAACTTGTTTTGGGATGGGTCTGTGTCAATGCAGCATAGAAACTAAAGAAAATATAAATAAAGCTTGTAGACAAGGAATAATATTAATATATAGAAGGTGCTGAGGGTATATATGAGTAGATGGAGCAGACCTTGAGAAAGTGGTAGATAGTTGAGGAGGCATAGAAGTGAGTAAAGGAAGAATTTGAGTGCACCAATGGAAGCCATGGAGTCTCAGAAAAAGAATCACTCAGAAACTGTTTCTTCAACCTCTAAGTGTCTGGCTCTGGTTGGCCTTCCTTCTGTGTGCATGTGCACCATATAAATATTCTCGAATACATTCTACCCGTACCAACACTGTGCCCACACCATTGTATGCTTTAACGTATAATTTTTTATGAGAAACAGTTGTATAGTTTTGATTCATTGAGAAGTAATATGCTTTTAAAACATTACACAGTGGAAATGAATCAAAATTAGTAAAGTGATTAAATCAGAAAAGAAAAGAAGCATGAAATGAAAGATGGTAATTAATGACAATGAATGTAAGTCTCCCGTGCTTGTTGAGAAAGGGTGAAACAGCATCTGAAGAAGGCATTTAATGAGAAAATGAAGACGGAGGTTTGAGAAGAAGGTGACCGTTGGATTAGGGTTCTTGTTTTTTGATCATAACACAAGCTCTGCAAACTTATCCACCACTTTTATACCAAGACAGCTCAACACCAGCAACAGCAATAAAGCTCCATATTTAATATTCTACCAAATATACGTGTAACTTCTCTCTCCATTCACTGTCTTTTCCTTCATTCTCTATTTTTACTTTATTAATAATTATAAAAAAAAATCTCAATTTCATGTTTTTTTAGAAAAAATAAAATTCTTATTGAAATATTAAGATTAATAATTTTTTTCTTGCTATTCGTATATTTCTCAATTTCATTCCATTGTTAATTTTTAGAATCGATTTAATGTTTAAAAAAATAAATTAATATTGTTTCTTTTATAAATATTATTAAGTTGTATAACAAAAAAATATACTAATACACTCATATGATTGATTACATTTATTGATATAATTAGCGTCGTATTTTTGTTAACGGTTATATAATTTAATGTTGTTTTCCTCTCACATCAATAAACATAGTCACATATTATGTTATAACTTTTAATTAAATAATTTAATAATATTAATATTTTTTTAAAAATTGGAATTAAGAAAAATTAAAAGTATAATGGAAGCCAAATATATTTTAATTGACAATTTTAGTCACTAAAAATATTGGTTGTTATAATGATAATATTAACTTTAAAATAAAACATTACATCGTATGTTAAATATAAGACTATTTATTTATATTGCAAAATTTTCTTTTAATTTCTGTGACAGAAAATCAATCAAAATAATCATAAAATTCTAACTCAAATGTGTGCCATGCGGTTTAATATTAATATTTATATGTCTAAATCTCAATTTAAACATTTGTGTTAAATTTACTGATTTAATAAATTTAAATATTAAATATCTTTATTTTAAAATAAAAGGACACTTTATTTAATTACTTAATCGACATTGATATTATTTAAAACTAATTAATATCTGTTCAATTATGTTAGTAGTAAATGCCAGAAACAGCAAGCTGGAATTTGATAATTTTCATTCTCATCAAAAGAAAAACTAACTGAAAATTTATGAAATAAAACCTGCAAAAAAGTTTTTTTTTCCTCCAAAATCTCCACCCCTTGCTCTCTCTGAATAGAAAAAAATTTCATGGTAATGATTGTCTAAATAATTTCATGGTAATGATTGTCTAAATTATTTGGTGGTTCTGTTCATCAGTTGACCGGTAAAATTAAAGACAAAAGGAGCCGAATGGACAATGAATGACCAATTATTTTAGTTTATCTACTTCCATAGTTTCAAATCATTAATTGCAAAATTAATTTAGTAATAACCATTTCAACATAAAATTAAATTACAACTTATAAAATAATCTAATAATATTTACATTATACCAAATGATATTAGATTGGTGATGTGGGACTTTCAAAATAATGTAGATGTATAATATATATAATCTTTAAAAACCCTATACCACTACAATTGCATGATGCAACAACAACAACTACGTAGTATTTATTATACCACCTCGTTGCCCAACAATATTACGCGCAAATTAACAGAGAAGAGGAAAAGTATATACTATGATATCATTAATATATTATGATGTAACAATATTACAAGTTGCCAAACAGTGTACAATAAATTAATGTATATCATTAATAAATGCTATGATAACAATAATCATTGCTTTATATATATGTCTTATTGTTTTCTTTGCTTGTTGTTGACTCATATAGGTATACAAGTTGAAACACGAAATAATATTGTTACCAAGTTTGTTTGACGATGGAAGAAACATAATATATAACATACATGTTTTCTGAATATTCATAAATAAATATCTGGTAGGTTATTCTATTTATAATCGATTAATTTTATATTGGAACTTATATCGTATCAAACGTAAAATCTAACTTTTTTTTCTTCTAGATTAAAAGTTGTTTTTAGTTTAAAAATTGTTTTTAGACTAAAAAGTTATTTTTTCGTTATGGTTAAAAAAATATGTGTTAGATTATTTTATATATTGTAAATGAAAAATTTGAGTAATTAATAAATTTAAGAAGAAGAAGTTGATGATTCATGGTGCATTAGTTTTTTTGACAAACCAAATTGATGTTGGAATTATTAACTTACACATGCTACATATAAGTAGAGATGAAGAGTTAAAGTATGAAACAAGAATAAGAGGAGTGTAGAAAGAGTTACGACTAGGAAAAGTTATTACTATATAAATTATTTATTTTTTACATTATAAATTTAAAATATTAATAAATATGAAATATATAAATCATATGAAAATATTTAATCAATTCAAAATAATAAAAAATTTAACGATTCATTATAACTATTCTTTCAAATATTTTTTCTTATAATAGAGATAAAAATTGATATATGAAATAATAGAATTCATAAAATATAACATAAGAAAAATATAATAAAAATAAAATAATAATTAAATAATAATTAAATAATATTAGTTATTATTAAGATTAATTCATATTTAGAGAAAGATAATAAACAAAATATTTTTTATTTGTCAAATTATTGAAGAGATAGGAACAATTAAGTTGATTAAAGAGATCAATTAAATATGAAAGAATGAAATATGAATAATTAGGGGTGTCAAAAATAAATTTAATTTAATAGACAGACCTAAAAAAATTGAATAAATTAAACAAAAATATTTAAGGATTAAATTGAAACCAATCTAATTTTGTCCCAACCTAATTAATTTATAACATATATAACATATATGACTTAAGTAAGACTAATCTACACATTTATAGATCGAATTTTGTATAAAATAATATATATTTTTAAAATAAAAATAATATTATATAAAATCACAAAATTAGTACAATTTTAAATCTAAATTATAAATTTTGGATAATTAAAAAAAATACATAAATGGATAAGTCATGCTTAATAATACGACTTATATAAAATTGTACTATCAACAAAAAGAAAAAAATGGTGTTATCAAATACAGCTTACCATTTTTTAAAACATTACGTAAAATTGGTAATTTAAATTTAAAATTATATCATTTTAATGCTTTTATAATAATATTATTTAATTAAAAAATACACGTGGTAAATTAATTTGAAGAGAAATTTACTTATTATAAAATTAAATATTAGAATAATTATCTAACTATCAATTATTTTAAAATCTAATAATTAAAATTAATAATTATTTTAGATTAATAAATTACTTAAAAAATAATAATAATAAAATTTTAAATTTTATTTTAAGATTTAATAATTTTTTATATTTTATATATTAAATCATTAAATAAAATTATTTTTATTACTATAATTTAAATTAAAATAATATATTTTTATTTAAATAATATTTTTAATTTTAATCGAATTCAAAATTAACTCATTAACTTATATTAGATTATACTAACTAAAAATTTAATTAATTATTAACTTATATTAGATTATACTAAAAATTATAATTCATTATTAACTTATATTAGATGATACTAAATTAAAAATTATAATCCATTATTAACTTATATTAGATTATACTAAATTAAAAATTATAATTCATTATTAACTTATATTAGATTATATTAAACTACAAATTATAATTTATTTTAGAATATAGACCATTTAAGTTATTAATTTCCTTTGCTATTTAGTTGAGACATGACAGTTAACATAGCCATTAAATTCTGAAATCTAAAACTTAAACCCTATTTACTTAAATCGGGAAGATAAAGAAAACTATGGTTGGATATTACATATCCCCACAACTTCGACTTAATTGTCAATCACTGCAAAACTTAACCATCTTCTTCCTTCTATAATATGGTGAGTTCAATTTTTTTTTTTTTACTGTATTTGGTTTTATACATTTATGATGCCACCCACTCAACACTACAATTATTTGGTTCACGTGATGTGTTTTCACAAAGTTCTCATGTTTCAAATTTGACGGCGCAGTGGAACAAACAACAACAAACAAAAGGTAAAAAAAAAAAAAACGTTTTTTTATTTTTCACTTTTTACGTCCAATTTATCCATTTTTACTATGCTGGATTTGGGTATTAGCAGTTTTAACCACAATTATACACGTGTATATATATATATATATATATATATATATATATATATATATATATATATATATATATATATATATATATGTTTGTATTTTATTCTTTTATCTCTCTACTTTTAAACTCCGGTGAATTATGACAGATTCAAACAATAGAATTTGAAAAACAATTAAGTCGAGTTAGATTAACTAATTTGCGATTGAGTTTATAAATGATTGCTTTCTAAAGTTATTTTATTATTGTTTGAATAATTTCTTTTAATTTGTGTATTATTATTTATTTTTCTTGAATAGTATTACTTTTTCTATCAATATTATTAAATTATAATGGAATGGTGTAATATTAACTAATAATGAAGTCATATTTATTATGTATGAGAGATATTTTAGTATGATGATTTCTATTTATGATATTAACATAAATTATGTCTAACTATTTGATAAGTTAATATATAGGTAATTTTTTTCTTTTAAAATTTGTTTAATAGAAAACTATTTAAGTTGAGTTAATTTTTTTTTGTTTAGAATAATGATAGATCGACAATTATCAATCCTATTTTAATATATAATAATAATAGTAATATACAATTATTCAAAATAAAAATATTGTTATTATATATTAAAATATAATTATTAACTACTTGTATATTAACCAATAAGTTTTCAAAACATAATGATGTTACAACTTTTTTTTCTTTTTAAAGTTACCATTACAATCACAACTATACAATATTTTACGTAATTTAAAATAAATTTTAAAATTCATAAAAATTAAAATATAATTTTATATTCTGTTATACTTAATTACTTTTATTTTTCAATTAAGAATATTTTGATAATTATTTAAGTTATTGTATTTTTTTAATCGATCAAATTACATTTAATTTCTATTTTTTATATTTTTCATTTAATCCAAACAATTTCAATTTTTTTCTTTATTTTTTTTATGAATTTCTCACTTTCTTTCCTATTATTTTAGAATCTTAAAATAGCTATAAATTTTTTTTCAAACATAGTGAAGTTGATTTTGGATTAACTTTGGCGTCCTCATTTATTTTAATATTATATATAATTTAAGTTATAAAATAAAAAATATTACTTAGCTATTTTAAATTCACAATTTTAATATAAAACAAACATTAAATATTTGTGATTTATGAAAAAAATTCCAACTTAAAGCCTGTTTTATGTTAATGGATAATATTAGGGTTAGTATTTGTTTTTTTTGGAATGGTTAATGGCGTTTTGATTCTCTGAAAAATTACCTAATTTAGATTTTAGTATGAAACTTTTTAAAACAAATAAATTTTATTCATTTATATTTCAAGTACCCAAACTCTATATATTTTAAAAAATACAAAGACTAAAGTTAATATTTTAAAAATTCGAGATTAAAAACACCATGAATTCATAATCTTACAAGTGTAGTTCCAGTTTATATAAGTAATTGATCATTAAGAATTTGGATTATAGATAATAATTATTTAAAAATATTTTCTTAAACTATAATAATTTAAACCAAATTGAAAAAAAAAAAGAAAATCTAAAATGTAACTTGAATTGAATTCATCCATAAAACATGTGAAAATGGGTCAATGAAGGGACAAGTCATGGACACACTTAAAAGAAACCCAACCAAAGTTTTTTTTCCTCTTACCACGTTTTTTCTTTTCAGACAGCTGCTTCCAAGTATTCTCTGCTTTCGTAGACTAAATTGCCCCTCCATTGAAGCAAAAACAAGTTCAGTTGCAATTGCGTGCTTGTGCTTGTGCTTCCACAACCCTTCAATTCAGTTTTTCAATTGCATACGCAGTTGGATTTCTCTAGGTTTGGTGGCTTTGGATCAAATAAGCTGAGGCTAAGGTCAGTCGAAAAGTTTTCGAATTTCAAGCCCCCAATTAATAATCCATTCACTCTCCATTTCTTGCCGATTTCTTACTCGAGGGCTTTTGTAAATTTCTCATTTTGACTGCGGATTCTGTTAAATATCGAATTGGGGGCACCCTGCATTCCATGGGTGTGTCCAATAATTTTGTCTATCTGAGATGTTTGGGATTAACCAAATGTTTTACAATTTACCACTGCAATGTCACTGTTAGGAAGTGAAAATTGTGTTTATGCGTTGGTATTGTATGAACCCCTACTGAACTTTGTCTAGCGTTTATAAGCATAGTTGCCTGATATGTTTTGTGGTAATGCAGCATTTTTGTGTATATATTGCTCCAATTGTGTTTAGACTTGGAAGAAGAAGATAATATTTTATCAATTGTAGACTAGTTAGTGGGTGAAGTAATATTACAATGGAAGCCTGTGACATACCTGTCCAAGGGAAAGAAAAGAGATATTTATATTTTAGTTTCTTTGAGTACTTTAGCGATCAACCTGAAAAAATGAATTCTTTGTTCATATATGGCATTGGCATAGATTAATACTTTAGAATTATTATTCAACATAAAATTAGTAGTCTAACAAAGGGATGCCATAAACTTGTGATTTGCTTTCCAGTTTGGCCAGGTGAAGAAAATGATTCTGGCAAAGCAGTACCGATGCATACATTCAGCTAGCTGTCAATGCACTAAAGGGCATTTAAGTGAAGATGTGATATTCTTAGTATTTTATAATTTGAATTGGAATCCAAAGCTAATTGCTACTTTATCATGTGCATGCAAATGGTTTGATGATTTTGCCAAGCGAGTTCTGTGGAAAGAGTTTTGTCGAACAAGAGCTCCAAAAATGATGCTTGATCTGCAGTCTAGTGGGAGTCACAGTGTTGATGGGAACTGGAGAGCCCTAGGGAAGCTGCTTATCTACTGTGCAGGAAGCAAGAAAGGTGGTTTGTTCACCAATATTCACATCCCTGGTCATTTTGTTTATCAGACACGATTTTCTAGAACATCTGGGAGGAGCTTTCTCTTACCCCAATGTAGAACTGATGTATTGTATGTATCTGATCCTTGCGAGCATCTGGACCAAGGTGAAGAGGGAGACATAGGATTCTTCCGAGGAGTTTTTAAGTCATTTTCATCTTCAAAGGTGAAGAAGATGCTTATTAAGAAAAGTGCCAAGTTCCATCCAACAGAAGTCTGTCCTTATTGTAAAGCAAAGTTGTGGAACATGCTGCAGGCCAAAATGATCCCTCAAAGTGCTAGTTGCAGGCTGGGTTCCTATGAAGATTGTGTTGAGTATTATGTATGCCTAAACGGGCACATGCTTGGCTTCTGCACCCTGTTACCATTATCTGATTCTGAAGAAGCATCTGAGTTGGAGTAATATGAATGATTCTCTGGTATTTTCCTGTATCTGTAAAACCATAACTTTTTTCTTCTGTTTATGTTTTCTTTTCATTTCAATATAAAATGAAAGTTAAGGCTGGAAATTTATTTGTGCATATCACTTTCTATAATTCAGTGACTAATCTGATGCTAGGTATCATTCTTGATGAATTAAAGTGGTGTCAACCAAACATTTGGGGAACAAAATGAATATTTACATGATATTTTTGTTATTGTTTTGAATAATTTTTCAATGATTTTAAACAAAACAATAAATTTCATGATATTAATTATTACAATTAAGTCATTTCTTCAATGTAAAATCTCTGAATCTTTATTTTATTTTCTTAAAATCTAAATCATAAAATCTCAATTCTGTTCCTTGAAAACCCCTATTCTCACTTTTTATGTTTTCAAATTATATTAATTTTTCACCAATTCTTTCAAATTATTTCGGATATCTCAAATCACATTATAAGCTCTAAAAATTTTGAAAATAAAATAAAAAGTTTGGAGTAAGGAAACTAATTTTGTATTGTCAGAATATTGGAATTAGAAGTAAACTATAGAGTATTCACAAGTTCTATCTATCTATCTATCTATCTATCTATATATATATATATTTATTTAACTATCAAGAGACCAATGGATCGTTGAAATATCAATTTGTTTGAAATAAACATAAATATGAGTTTTAAAAAATTTCTTCTGTCCTTTGTTTAAGTATTATAGGGTAGACACGTTTACAAAGTACAGTTCAACTTTTAGCCCAACACATAGTTTTTAACTACACAGGCATTTCATATGCCAAAGCCAAACAAGCTGATAGAAGCAAGCAGTTTCTCTCTACTTTTAACATCGTTTTGCATGATAACCAATTGGTAGCAAACATGATCTTACATACACAGTTGCATCGATCAAAATCTTAAAAATCTAATATAAACACACGACTCCAACGTTTAAGCTTTCAAAAATATACATTCAGACCACATTCAACTCGTACACACAAAGTTGAATGCACTGCAAGTATTAAAAAAATCACAACCTAACTTCGCATAATAACTAAAGAACCTAACTGGAAGAGAGACTTCCATTTCAACGAGAACCTCGGAACAAAACATAGCTCCCATGTGCAGCATTTGCACAAAAACCATATCTTTGAATGTCTTAAAATATGATCACAAGTCATATAGCTGTGAACAAGCAACCCTGCAGACCCCACCATCCTTCAACAGAACAGTTTGCTTTTCAGTTAGATAACTACCTTTACCTACTCGTCTTTTGATGAACTGGTAAACTCGGTTGAGTTGGTTCTTTTGCCCAATGACGTTACATTAGAAGAAGAACTAGATGAGGTAACTCTACCAGAAGGAACAGGCCTGTTATAGCTTTTTGATGGGTTTCTATTATGATTATCAGCTGCAGCGCTTTGTCCCTCCTCTGCTAGTTTTCTCATAAGGTTCATGATAATTGGAATAAACTTGGTAGACAGGGAGATAAGTCCAGGAAGCTGAAAGAAAAAGAAAACATTAGGATTCTAAACATATCCTGCAAAACAGAAACTACTAATCCCATCAAGATGGTTCATAACATGCTATATTGCATCTATTGCAACGGGTTTGTTAGAAGTGCAGAACAAGAGTGAATTAAGTCATATGGCAAACTATATATTGCTTATGCATAACTTTTGACTAGTGCAAGCCTACTGTAGTCCGGAAATTTTTTCAGGGAACACTTGCAGGAGTATATAAACTTTAGTTGGGGATCTGTTTTTTACAAGTTAAGTAGTTTCCAAGTTCCAGTTTGTTTTAATGCTAAATTTAAATGGTAAATGCGAGTAATCAGGCATGTACGGGCATTTCCTAACGCCTAATGGGTGGATTAACCTCTTTTCTAAAACAAATATCAGGGGAAGCTCAGAGATGCTACATATCTTATATGAAAAAAAAATCAAGAAAATATTTTATAATCTAGTAAAATGAATTATTTTACAATCTTTCCTGAAGATCAATTCACCTTCCCTGAAATTACTCACAGCTGAACCCAATGTAGTAGTTAACAGCTCATTATCTGAACTAGATACTAATTGTCACAGCTCAGAACCGAACTCGTCAAACAGGATAGGAAGACCTAACAACAATCATAAATCTAGGAATGAACAACAATTCATAAAAGATACTCACAGCTCCATTTCGAAATTCACCCGCAATGTCAAGCTGCACCCATAGGGCTTTTACGAGAAGATAGCCAACAAAGATGAAACATACATACAAGGGATTTCTGCCATAAAGAAAAAACAAATTTGGGTAAAACCAGCTCAATTAAATAGTTGGATAAAAGTTAAGAAAATGACCATTTAATACTTGATGTTAAACACAAATTACAGGAGGTTATTCTGGTACCCTTCCTCTTTGTGTGGATGCAGACACCCCTTTACACCTTTACAATTTGTAGTTAACATGAGTACCGGTAGCTTTATAAATACAAGGGTGTTGAAGTAATATTCTCAAAACCGTTAACTCTTTTACACTGTTCAGCTACTAGGTTGTAAGTAATAATATTGAATGCTCTTTTTTGTATTTTATGAATGTTAAATGTGTCTAGCAATTTAGCAGCACTTTCACTAATGCCATTCCTGAGGTTGTGGGAGAAGTAAAGAGGGCAAAGCCCTTTGGCAGATTGCAATATGTGTTGTTAATTAATTGATCACATGGTTAGAAAGCAGTAAAAGAATTTTCAAGGATGTTTTAGTTAGTTTGTTATGAGATCAACCGATCTGTTGACATCCTTATGGCGCTCCCTTAATGGTTATTTTAGTCTATGCGGTACATGCAAAAACATCCTTTAAGAACAGAGAATATAGATGGGAGATTAGGAGCGAATAAAAAAGAGCCTTGTTTAATTTCAAAGGAAAAAGTTAGAAAGATATCAAATAGGTAAACTTAGCATCCACCTTAGAAGTGTCATAAATTCATTAAATCCAAGAATAAGCAAAGCAATGATCGCCCATGGTGGAGGTAACCAGTTGTTGCTACGATTGTTGGCTTCCTGAAATGAAAAGAAATTTCATCATCAATAAGTTAGTAAAACGTTTGATCATTACGTAACCTTTACACATGGACTAAACAAGACCATATAAGATCAATATTTTGGGCCAAATCAAGCTGTCAAATTTGAACTTAACGCCATGTAAAATTTCAACTTAATACTAATTGACAATAAGTGAAATGATATATAAATATATAAGCTGCAACCTGAGATCTGAGGCAGATGAAGTGAGATTGTTCCCAATATCTTCCTTGACAAGATGCTTACTATAATATACGAGACTAAAAAGATATATACTACAATAGAGGAGAGACCATTTTTACAATTTGAATCCATGACCTTTAGGTCATAAGACAGCAACTTTACCCTCAAATGCAAGCAGCATTAAGTGTAGCCTAGCCCCATTTCTTTCGTAAAAAAAAAACTAGATGACTTGTTCTACTGCTTTAAAATAGACATTAATGAAAATAAATTCATAGGATTTATGCTTCTTATAATTTTTCTATAATAGATTTCCCTATAAATAGAAGAACCTTGGAAATAGTAAAAAGAATGGAGAGAACATCATGCCTGTGCAGAAATTGCCTGAGAGACAGTATATTCTGTCTCTATCTTGAATTGCCTCCACAAGGATTTGCACTGGACAGGTGTGATCAATGTTTTGGAGGTTGGTACCTTCAAAGAAAATTAAATCACGACAAATGATCAGTCACAAGGATAAAAAATATTCTCAAATCATGAGAACGTGCAAGATATCTAAACACCAACATTCTTTAGCGTAAAATATACATTAACCAATTCACAAGACAACGCTGAGTAATTTTTATGCATTTTACTTATAAAAGTTAGGAATGGAGGACGTTTTTATATTAATTATAAATTAAGTTAGATTCTTGTTACAATTAAATTTTTGGCAGACACGCCCAAGTATGAAAATGAGTACACAATTTAATACCTTTTGTTGATATCCTACATTGAATAAAGATATGGTCAATGTTGTCCTTATAGGGGTGGGATAATCCTCACTTTACAAGTTGATTTTGTGAAGTTAAATTAGACTTTAAGACCAAATCCTAAGATAGTATCAGAAACCCTCTTACTAGAGATATGACTGTTGTAGTCCTTATTAGATTAGAACAATTTTCACTTTACAAAATGGTTTTGTGGAGATAAATCTAAGCCCAAATTCTAGGACTTTTATTGCTTGGAAGAAAAGGCAGGAGAAGATGCAAGGAATCAGAATCACACACAAGTCCTGCTGATTATGTGAATACAGAAGTGGAGAGAAATAATCACCTGCTTACAAGGCAAGAAGTGAAGATGTGAGGAGATTATTGGGAGGGAGAGACTATCTTTGTAACTGAATACCAAAATAGCTAACCAATAACTAACAAATTGGTCCAGTTAATCATTAATTAAGAGGTTATACAAAGAGAGGGGCAGAGTTAGAGACAGGATTTTCGCGAAATTGTTGTGGCGAGGGTGTCAGGTCTCTCAAATCACCTAGGTATTTTGTTTATTCTTTATCTTAATAAAATTTCTATTACTCTTGTATTTTCTTTGCCGCTTCCTCTGATACAATTGTACCAAACTGGTATTGAGTTCTGTCCAGGAGCTGTGGATACGCAATCACATAGGATAAAAAGGTGTCAATGGTGTCTAGTGACTACAAGAATGGAGGTAAGAGTGGACTCAATGGAGCAGGGACCAACACATGCAAGAAACTTGGTTCAACTTGCAACAGAAATTGGAAGAAAGGGTGGAAAAGCTCATGCACATGGTGTGTGATAGATTGTTCCATAGTGAGGACTGTCAGAATCCCTCAAGTACCGAGGAGTTAGTTCAATAGTTCGGTTCAACCTTTTGATTACGGCTCAACTTCTGATCCAGTTTATACCAGCATGCCTTCATTTTTGTTTCGCTTTCTGTTATTTCCATACACTCAGGCTCCACAAGTTCTCTTCTCACCCTGATACCAGATCAGGAGAAGAGATATACCAGTTTATTATCTTTCATAGGTCGCATTGCTTATCTATCTATCATTTATCAAATATAATATAGCAAGAATACATTCGCACCTGCTCCCAAGTGCTTGAAGCCAGTGGATCAAGTGTCGTGATGCTCTTATCTTTACCAGACCCGCTTGATGAATCTTCCAATGCAACTTTTAATGTTTTCTCTATGTCATAAATGTCATCAGCATCAGCCAAACGAATTACAGCCATTACAGACAGCAACTTCAAGCACTGTAAATGATTAAATTTGGTTAAAAGGGTTCTCAAATCTCAAATGCTATACAAATTCAGGTAATAATATGTGAATCTTAATTGTATGTCATACTGCAGAGCGGGAAGACTTTGTGATGGCTCGAATATCTTCTTTTCCCGTCCAAACACGAGGCATTGAATCAGAATCATGACTAAACAATGTCATAAACCTGCTTTGAAATTTAAGATAAGTGCCTCAACTTAATAAGTCAACTTAAATGTTGCATAAGGGTCATACCTGTCCTTCATACGGATTAGAACTCTGCTAGCTTCTTCCCTTGCCTTGGCTTCTATCATACCCTTTGCATAATCCTCTAAAGTCACAATCATGCTCTTTTTTGTTTCTTCGTCCATATCAAATCTGTCAAGTTCAGCAGAGAACCCAGAAACAGCTGATTGAGTCTCACGATTAAGAAGTTTCCTTATCGATGGCCAAGTATCTTTATTAGCTCCATCCAATAGAGTTTCAACAGGTGCAGACAATGCCTCCTTCAGTTTTTCCTGCAAGGGTACTACTGTCAACAAACTTCCTAGGAAGTTAGCCAGACATCTATAGAAACACAGTAAACTTCTACAACTTCATATAAATTTTGAATTTTGAGTTGCCATTATTAATTGGCTAAATAATGATAAAAATACATTGTATCAAACCATCACTTTCCCCCTTTTCTCCGTGATAACTGGAGTGGAAACTCTTTTTTAGTTTTAATTTCAGATGGCCACCTAAAAGATTTCAAAGATATATATGATCTGCAATATTACAAGTTTGTTGAGATCAAATACTTTCAAGAATTTATAAAGCATGAATGAACAATGTCAAACATGTACCTCATATGATGAAACTAGTTCTGATATCTTAGATGCACGAACAGATGAGACATGTGCATCAATATCACGCCGTAGCTTCTCCCTCACTTTAGATGTATCCCAGTCTGCTATTTCAATGACAACATCTACAAGGATAACATATCGGTGTCAAATTGTAATTCACTAACTGCGCATCCTTTATCATACTGAGGCATATTACACTTTAATACCTGCACATCCTTCATCAAACCGAGCCATATAAGACTCTACGCACGAATTAGCAGCAGAAGAAAACCCTTCCCCTCTATTCAAAGCCTTGTCAAATGCTTCCTTGAACTTTTCCAAAACTCCGGACCTTACATGTCCCAGCGCAATTTGGAATGCTGGTTGGACAAGCTAACCAATTGAAAAGGTATTAAGGGAAATATAGCCGGCATTATAAATCTAAGAATTATCACTAATCTCCGAAAACATTTAAGAAGAATAAACATGACTGACAATCCAATATTTTAATTAGTTAGTCTTATTTCAATATCATTAATTTTGTTTCTCTTTTGATAATCCCTATTTCATTTTATTTCAACATGAAATTGAAGGTCAAAAACCATGATTACGAACAAATGAAGTTAAGAAGAATTACTTGCAACAATTTTTCTTGAAGTTGCTTTTGTTTTGCCGATCTAACACCTTCGTCAAAATAATTGGCTTCAGCATCATATCTAGAGTAAAAGAAAATATCTCAATTTACCTTCAATCCACATCAAGTCATTATCATATAATGTTTCAACATGAATGATAGGTCCGTGGAAGCAAAAGAAATGGTCAAGTAATAATATAATTAGCTAGGTGGTGTAAGTAGTAGGGTTAGCTTTAACAGTAGAACTAGATTCATTCTGAAATTCTCTACCTTTGGGGAATTAACAGTAGCTCAGTCGCAGTAAGGGAAGCCATTTTTTGAAGGAAAGAGCATTACGAGATGAATCCTCCCCTTTTCTGTTGACATTTCATTCACCAATAACATATTCATTCTTTTTCTCTCCATCTCTCGTACTTCTTTTCATTCTTGTGTGTGGCTTAGTAACAGTGCATGCAGCATAAATACATCAGACTTTTAAGATTTTAACTTAAACTACATTTTATTTTGAAGTACCACGTAACATCACAGCAATAAAAGAGGTAAGAAACAATAACACCATGAAGTGAATAATCATACTCCTTCGACCACCTTGAGCAATAAAAACCAATCCTCGCTCATGACAGCAGTCCTTGTTCTCTCAGTTTCTTTTTCCTTTTTAAATGAATATCTGTTGCCCTCCGAATTCTTTGTAATAAAGATCTTCTTCTACTTATTATTATTATTAATAATAATAATAATAATAATAACTATATGTATCCCAGTACCAAAGCGGTTTTCGCTTCAAGGAATTATGAAAGAGAGTTGTTGTGCGCAGCATTTCCCTTGCATATCGAAAGAGGTTGCTTCCGAATTTAAACTCATGTTCAACCAATCACAAATAACAAGAAGCAAAGACCAAATACTTCCCAACAAAAATAGTTTAGAGGTACTAGATTTAGCAGAGAGCTTATACTATAGCATTTGCATGGAAGTGAATAAATGAGCCATAAAAAATGTCATAAAATTAGCTATACTCACTCTGAAAGGCTATTGGATAGGAGTGAATTGGCATTTTTCCCAAAACCAGGAACAGGACCAGATTCAACGGCCTCTTTCAACTCACACCAGTCCTGAGTTGTAATTATAAAGCAATTTCCATGGCATTAGTAGATTGTCAAGTGTTGGACAACTACACAAAAAGAGATGTAATACCTTATTTGAAGCAAAAAGGTCATATTTTTCATTAGCAATTTCTTCACATCGTACAGTAGCAACCATGACCTACAGGTGGGTGGATCATAAATAATTAACAAAATCAAGTTACATGTAAAACAAAAGCAGTGGCATCATAGCCTCTAGATATCTACCTTGTGTGCGGGAAGGTCGAGATCCTTATTCTCCTTAATGATTTTCCAGATTTCCTGAGCACTAAAAGAAAAGCCAGAAGCAGGAACTACGCCACGCCGATCCCCTGCAAGGCCACCTGGAGCGATAGAATGATGGAATCGTTTCCTCAAGTTGGCAACCTACATTTAAAATTAATCAATAATATATGCAAATTAGAGTATCTATTAACTTATAAATGGGTAACTTTGCTTTACACTAAGAAAGCTAAAACCAATACAAATCCGTGTATATACACAGTGCGCCACATCAGCCACATGCTGAGAATCGGCCATTCAATACCAACATGTAAACCAGAAGGAAGCTAGTGCACAATTCACACCTGCTCCTTAAATAGTTCTTCCTTTTCTTCGAAACTAGAAAGAGCAACAACTTCAACCTGGTCATTTGTAGTCAAGTGCAAAGAATTACTATAAAATTCCAATATAATTCTACCATGCATAAGTGAACATTGTTAGTAAGTTTAGAGATTCAAAAAAGGAACGATGATCTTACTATGAAGAAATCACTTAATGGGGTTTCCTTATGGGCCTCTGGTTTAGGAACAGAGTCCCATATCTGCCAAGTAAAAAGTAGAGAAATCAATGTGAACAAAAAATTGGATACCTATCTGCTAATATGATATAAAAAATTGAAATCACTGAATCACCTTCTGAATATCTTCACGCAAAACAGGCTCTAAATTTTCAAGTGGCGTCTATGAAAGGAAAAGATTAATCACATAGTAAAAAACGATATATAGACTATACATAAAATTAAATACTGAAAAATATTTAGCATTATCAAAACAAGAAGCAGCATTTTGCTTTGACACCTTTGTCTTATCACGTATGACAAACAGTAGTGTTGTTTTGCGTGGACTAAACAATCTCATCATGACCTGAAGGCAAATAATTGCATGCAATTAGATAAAAAACCATTAACAACTTATAAGATTGAAAAGTGCTGCTTGCAGTCAATAAGCTGTTGCATGATACCTGAAACACAGTTTTTAAAAGAGGCTTATTTGCAGCTTGTTCACGGCCAATGTCATGGCACCACCTTTACAAATATTAAAGAAGAGGAAAAATCAGTTTCACTAAGAAAAAAAGATATGACTTCAAATTTTTAAGTATGTCTAAGGAAGAAGAGGCAAAAAAGAACTCACATGTTTATTAGCACTATATCAGAAATAGCCAAAGCAAATAAAGCACTCTGCTTTTCAAATGCAGTGTCATCCTGAGGGAAAGACAATTTCAGTATAATGGAGAAACAACCAAAGGCAGAAGTATCATTTTTATTTGTCCTAATTTTTCCTAAGGAAATGCAGACCTAGAAGTCTAGAATAGTCAACTTTCTAAGGTGCATAAATGTAATAAATCTGAGAGCTAATTGAATCCTCTCATTTAACATGGCCAAAAAAAAACTGAGAGTACTATTACATAAGGAAAAACTGCAAATTATAATAAAAAGAGGTATAACGTACTATGTTCCACTGGAGCTACAAACAAACACATTGACACATGTGCATTGAAGTTAATGATATAACATAAACATGCAAAATGACAAATGGCAACAACTCTGGACCATGACCACAATGATAAAAAAGGTGAAAAAAACCACCTCTCCACGTTCTCTTCCATCTGTACCCTCCAAATCCATCACAAGTGTACATGGTTCAATGCCAACACATCTAGCCATCCAAATTCCTTTGGTTGTTTGAGACCTGAAAACAAGCACGTCCTATCATGTTACCACCTTCCTGACAGTGCAATGTCGAAGAGACAAATGGGAGTTGCAAAAACATGCCTTCCCTTAAATGCATCCATCTCTCTGAAGTTGGTACTAAACAAAGAATTTAAGAGTGTGCTCTTGCCTGTCCAAACCAAACAATACAACATTTTATATGAATTAACAGCATTCACATCCTCAAATGCAAAGACTTGTAAAAGCAATTATAAAACAATTTAGCTTATGAAAAGAATCAGAAACGAAGTTGAGATGATGAAGATGGAAAACATACCACTACTTTGTGGACCCATTATAGAAACTACGGCATAGGAAAGCCCACACTCAGCTAATTTCACCACTTTCATGAAGTTTTCAATTCCGGCAACATTGATTGTACCATCTCCATCAATAAGCTGAGTGGAACAACATTCGTCATGGTGCGCTGGACAATAAGCACATATTCAAGATTAATAATTTTGCTGTTCAATACATGTTACGGATAAAATGGTCAGGAATAATCAAATCAAACCTAACTTTAAAGAATAATAAATTAATTAAAACTGAGAAGTATTGAAAAACAAACAAAAAACAGATGAAAAGATTGTTATCCGTTATAGCTGCAGACATCATTAATATTTGATTGCAATATTAAGAATATGCATGAAAGAGAAGTACCCATTTGCATGGAACGAGATTGGGTTTGAAGAACAGGAAAGGTTAAGAGAAAAGACAATCTCTCATTTTACAGAATCATTTGCTATTTCGCTTTTTGTTCTTATAAACTATCTTCAAACTGTTTCTGCCAAATGCATTTGCCTCCTCTTGTCTCCGCCATACAACACAACCCATAGATTTTATTTTTGTTTTACGGTGTCAAACATTTTTCCCGTTTTCTTCAGTAAATTCTTGTGTGGTGGATTGTTTACGATTTTGGCTATTTTATGCATCTTTAAATTTGGAAAATGTTTTGATTCAATAACTCTACTTTGTTCTTCTGATTTTGAAGTATTTACAATGACATTTTCTGATAAATATATACAAATCTTTATGTCATTAGTAGATTCAATTCAATTTAATATTACATAGTTATTAATTTATATTTTCCCAAGTAACCATTAATTACGTAACCATATAAAAAAATCAACATAAAAAAATTAAAAGAAATTTATGATAGTGTGATTGCATGATTATATATACATAAGATTCTTTCGTCTTAATAATAAGAAGTAGAGATTTATAATTGTTAATTTATACGAGATTGATTAATATTTTTTAGATTTCTTTACTATGATAATAAATAATTGAATATTATAACATTGATGAATAATTTATTTCACAAAGTAATTAATATTATTTTTAATTTTTTATTAAAATCTTTATTTATATTTTATTTTTTTCCTTTCCTCTATTTCTTGCAATTGAAAATTATTTATTAGTAATAAAATAAAATGGAATTTGTGCGGGAAGAAGATGAAAGTTTGAGAGAATGGAGAAAGAAAAAAGGCGGGAACTAGAAAGCGTAGGGAACAAAACTCTCTAACACTTTTTCTCTCTGGTTTTTTTCTCTTCTCTGAAACGGAGAACGGAGATGAAGGAGGAAGAGAAGAGTTATTCGTCGGTGGAGGAGAGGTACACACAGTGGAAGTCTCTTGTTCCTGTTCTCTACGATTGGCTTGCCAACCACAACCTCGTTTGGCCTTCTCTTTCATGCAGGTCCTCTCTCTGTCTCTTCGATTTCTTCGTTTAGGGTTTTCCATTTTCCAAATCACCATTAATCAATTATGTGCTCCCATTTCTTCGCAGATGGGGTCCTCAACTAGAGCAAGCAACTTACAAGAACCGTCACCGTCTCTATCTCTCCGAACAGGTTTTTTCCCTTCCGTTTCCCTTGTTTTTATATTTCAACGTTTATCTATTATTTATCTTGTTGCTTCGTCTTTTGTTCTTCTCAGACTGACGGCAGTGTTCCTAACACTCTGGTTATAGCCAATTGCGAGGTTGTTAAACCCAGGGTTGCTGCTGCTGAGCACATCTGTCAGGTCAGGTTCATTGTTGTTGTTATTCCATTTAAATTTAACTAAATTCATTGGTGCTTAATTTTTAAGTAATTTACCTTTTCTTTTTTCTGTCTTTCAGTTTAACGAAGAATCACGATCTCCCTTTGTCAAGAAGTTCAAAACCATACTACATCCTGGCGAGGTATGCTTACTAGCTTGTGGAACCACACTTTTCGTTTAGGTCATGTCAATCTAATTTCACCTTTATCACATGTATTTATGCGCTCATGAATGCCTTATTACCACCCTGGCACAACCATTAATGATCACTGTTTTAAATCCTAAATAGTGGTGCCTATGGGTAGTGGCCAGCCCCAAAAATGCAATTTTGATTTTTATTTTTATATTGTTTATATCATGTATTCTTTGTTGGATCGCCATGTTGTTGGTATCGTGTTTATATATATATATATATATATATATATATATATATATATATATATATATATATATATATATATATATATATATATATATATATATATATATTTGGTGCATAAATTTTGTTTATATTGATTATATCATGTATGCTATATGCGTATAAATTCTCCAAAATGACTATAATAACTGAAAGTTAATGACATTCATAAATTAACAGTAAAAATCATAGGTGACGTGAACACAAACATATAAGTAAATATCATAAAAAATCATATATAAGTTTCCTATACACGCTGGGAATCATTTATTATAAATCATCATCTTCTAAACCCCAGTCTTCTTTATCATTGTTTGTCACCGCAATTACAACCGTAGGTTTCATTTTTGAAATTGAAATCCCAAAAGACCCTAATCTCTTTGTTTAGAGAGTTTTTTTTTGGGAATCAATACATAGCACCACTATAGTTCTGCTATGGTCACTATTCAACCCGCTATTTGGTCAACCACGAAACAGCTCCAGTAGCGAACTCGGACTGTTGTGCTGCCATAGCACGCCATTTTAAACCCTGTTTACAATCTGTGAAGTTTGTTTATAATCTACTTGAGCATTGGTTTATTTAATTTTTCAGGTGAATAGAATCAGGGAATTTCCACAAAAAAGTCAGATAGTGGCTACTCACACTGATAGTCCTGAGGTTAAGCTATGACTTTTATGTTTCCTTTTCCCTGTTAGATTAGAATATCATTATATCAAGAATTTGATTTTTTTTTTTTTTACCTTTAATTTTTATCCTCAATTTAGTTGTTGACAAACTAGTCAAAGTTTGATAACTGAATTATAATTTTCTATGTTGTAAACAGGTATTTATTTGGGATGTTGAAGCTCAACCTAATCGTAATGCTGTTCTGGGGGCTGCCACTTCCCGTCCAGACTTGGTTTGTTTTAATACATTCTCTTAAAATAATTTGGTTCTTCCACACCTTCTTTTTTCTTAAGTCAGGTACCTGAAATTTAAGTTCTACCTTTTTGCAGGTATTAACTGGCCATAAGGATAATGCTGAATTTGCTCTGGCCATGTGCCCATCTGAGCCCTTTGTACTTTCTGGAGGTTTGAGTCTTTTTTATTACCTTCTCATCATAAAAGTTGTCAAGTTTATTTTGCATCGATTTAAATTTCTTACTTGAGCTTTAGGTTTATGGAATCTGATAAAAGTAAGTAATCTTAAAATTTGCAAGTTATCAATTTAAACACCCCAAATACTTCTAATCTTGTCGATTGTTGATGTTGCTTCTACAATATTAAACTTTATCTATTAATTTCCTCCCAGCAAAAAATAAATGGTAATGTTCTTACTCTTTCCGGATGATTTACTGCTTATAGACATTGGATTTTTGTAAATTTTGTTTGCATTCATTATGGTAGGGAAGGACAAATGCGTGGTCTTATGGAGTGTTCATGATCATATTTCAACTTTAGCTGTAGAAGAAGCATCCGCTGTTAAACAGGGCTCTAAAAGTGGGGGCAATGATGCAAAAGCTACGGAAAGCCCTACTATTGGACCAAGGGGCATCTACAAGGGTCATGCGGACACTGTTGAAGATGTGCAATTTTGCCCATCAAGGTAGCATTTTCTTGCTTTAATCATACTTGTGCCAATTTTTAATTATCTTAATCGGAGTCCTTTACAATTTTGTTTGGCAAAACACATATGATGTGGTATGTATTTGCTGTAGTTTATTCATTTGCCTGTTATTTATTGCTGCTAGAATAATAACTTTGGCCATTTTAATTTTTTGATAATTTATTTTGTTGTGATAGAATTTGTTGTCTTAATCTTAATTCAGTTTGTTATATCAAAGGAAGACTTGAGATGTAAATAGATAAAAAAGTGAACTGTAATATTTTAATTTCAAACAATGTTTTGGATATAAGTCAAATATTAATGAAATGTCTTGTTGATTTCCATATCATTTTTCTCCTTTGCTGTTTAATGGTTTTTTTGATATACCTCCTGTACTTTTTTGTGACTATGAATTGTAGTGCACAGGAGTTCTGTAGTGTAGGTGATGATTCTCGCCTTATACTCTGGGATGCACGAGTTGGATCTGCTCCAGTTGTCAAGGTTTAACTGTTCCCTTCATCTGAATTATTGCCGCTTTCTTCATGTTTCAAAAATCAAATGTTAATAGCTGAATTAGCCAAAAAGATACGAGAAGTATTCTAAGTTTGGCATTATCATTGTTTAAAAGTTACCGTAATTGTAGTTACTCCTAACCCGATCTTAATTAATGCGAGTGGATTAGGCCCACATAGATGAGTGATATGATAAAAATAGAGTATATAAATGGAATTTAACCTCACCATAAAAGTCATATTTGTAGAGGATTAAGTTGGTTCTAACACCATATTCTAATTCTAATACTTTTATCAAAGTCTATTAAAGATCATGGGTGGTGGTTTAATCCTATATATCAACTAATGATATGCGTAAATAGAATATATGAGATAAGTCTTACTTTGGTTACAAAATATCCTCTAGTCATAAGTAATTTATGCTCAATGAGCCTCTATTTTTTTTTTTTTCTCTTGTAGCAAGTTAGATCAAACTCACATTTTTATAAGCATCCTAAAGAGTTTAGTGCTTGTGAATGTGAACCTACATTTTAGTGGTCCAAATGCAGAGAATTTTCATGACTTCAGTAAAGTTTTTATTTGAGGTTTTGTTACCATTTGGAATTTTGGCATATTTGACAATTTAGTTCTCATAAATCTCATCAATTTTATGTGCTTATACTGTCAATTGGCATATTTGACCATTTGGATATTTAGTTTTTTCTTTCAATTTCTTATGAAACATGAACATTTTCCTCCTTTTTGTCCCATGGTTATCTTTTAAGCAGGTTGACAAGGCGCATAATGGAGATCTTCATTGTGTTGATTGGAGTCCTCATGACATAAATTTTATCCTGACTGGGTATCCCCTGCACCTGACTATTTGAATTAAGTTCTGATTTTTCTCTATTTGAAGCTATCTTTTAGTTCTTAATGCTTTTAATGTGTTTGACTTAGAAGTTAAAATTTAGGTGCTTTTATTTAGCTACTAAAACAGCTTATTGGCCAACTGAATCCTAGTTCTAAGTTTTGTTTCTTTGGATTCAGTTCTGCGGATAATACAGTCCACATGTTTGATCGTCGGAATCTTAAAAGTAGTGGAGTTGGATCACCTGTCTATAAATTTGAAGGTCATGATGCAGCAGTCCTCTGTGTACAGGTGGCTGGGAGATTCTACCTTGTTTCTTCCAATTGAAGTTTTAACTTGATTATCATCATGTTAATCTAGTGCTTGTTAACCTACATTTTTTTCTCTATTTCAGTGGAGTCCTGACAAGGCATCTGTATTTGGTAGTGCTGCTGAAGATGGTATTTTAAACATCTGGGACCATGACAAGGTTTAAACTCAAATTTTCAAGTCAGAGACCTCTTTGTGTAATGCACCCCTTATTAAAATATGATTTGTAATAAATACTAATCAAACGTAGATCATATAACCTTCAACGAGTGTCGGCTACTGAAAAACCTGAATTCGCAAACTTGGTCCTATCATATAATTACTTTTCTAAATTATGAAGATGAGGTTTGAGGGGCTGGCGTGTAGCCATTCTATCACCAATTATATTTTTATGATTTATGTCACTTATGTCAGAATGTTTTTTATTTGTCCAATATTTCATGTTTGTTTTTATCTAAAATTTTTGGCGTAAAGCTAACAATGTGCTGCTTCTAGGTTGGTAAAACAACAGATTCTGCTGGTTCAAAATCATCAAATACCCCCCCTGGTTTATTCTTTCGACATGCTGGGCATAGGTATGATATCGAATGATTGTGTGCATTTTAATAATTTCATAGTAAACATTATGTTTAAGTTGTTGAAGTTTTTATTTCAACTGAAGAAACTTATTGTAATTTAGTGTGGTGTAATATATGGCTGGCAATGGAGTCGTAATCATATCACGTACCAATCTGTACTAGTGATGGATTTTGTTAAGAAGAATGTTTCAATATGGTGTGTACTTGTGCATTCAGGGACAAGGTTGTTGACTTTCACTGGAATGCATCTGATCCATGGACAATTGTTAGTGTCTCTGATGATTGTGAAAGTAGCGGTGGAGGTGGCACCTTACAGGTAAACACAAGTTTATTTATCCGTTGGTTAAAAAGATTTCTTGTCTATCACCGATTGTAGCAGAAGTGGGTTTGAATTTGGCCAAACGTTATTGTACCCCTTTGTTTTTACTTGTATTAAGTAATGGGTTTGTAACTGTTCTCGTGAATTTCTTGATTTCATTATGTTAAAATGAAATTAATAAAGGAGAGATACGAAATATTTTCTTACATTTATAAAATGTTTTAGTCATTCTTGGGTATTATAACTGGTGTTTTTTCTTTTCCCAACTTTTTGTGATGCAGATATGGCGGATGATGGATCTAATATATCGACCAGAGGAGGAGGTGCTCACTGAGCTGGATAAGTTCAGATCTCATATTTTTGGATGCAACTCGTGACTTTTCGTGAAAACTGACTTGCAACTCCTTCAGGATTTTGAGTAGAATGTTATTCGATCTTAGGTTACAAGAAAATTTCATTGTAAAAACTTGGATGTTCTCTATCCAAGCAAAACACGAACTGCGCCTTTTGCTTGGAATAGAAGTTATATTATTTTTAGGATGAAATTTAGTTTCAATTCCTTTTGATGTTCGTTAATCAAATTTGGTCTTTTAGGCCAACAATTAGTATTTGATCTTTGATATTAACTTTTAACTTTGTGTATGAAATTTTCAAATGAAATTATAGAGTTTTGATTGAAAAAACCCATGAGTATTTGTTACTATAAGTTGGCCACCATTTATAAATACACGTGGAAGCAAGTTGAGTAGGCCCGGCTTAGGCTTAGACTGCGTTTAGTCCAGTAAGAATGTGTTTAGAATCTCATTAATTATTCTTTTGGTTTGAGTATTTTATCTCAAAGTTAAGTTTTGTAGCTGAGTTATAAACTGTTATAATTACATAATTTGAAGTAGGAAATATATAACTTAATGGACACATGGATGCGCAAAATTTTATACTTTTTGTCCCATCTTATTGATGAAGATCCACATATTATATATTTTTTAAAATATATTAAAATATGAATTACTTTTTACCATTTTTTGTTTAATTTCTATAAAATTAGACAAATGATGGCATAAATTTATAAAATAATTATGTATCGGTAAAAGATTAATAAGTGACCCTTTATGTGTGAAGAGAGAAAAATTAATGTATATCAAAATTTATATCAAAATTTATTAATATATTTTTAAAATGTGTAAAAAATAAGCATTCCTTAATTATATATTTATAATTGTTTAAATTTAACAAAATCTAACATAATTATAATTTTATAAATTAATGGTTAGATGGATAAAAATTACATTCTATATCAAATTATGAGTGATAGTCTGAATATTTTGTGTAATTTGATTATTTCACAAAGAAATTAATGAGTTCGTAAGATATATTATAATTATAATTAAACCATTAGATAGATAAAAGTTATATTCTATATAAAATCATGGATGATGGTGTCATAACTAGTATAATTTGTAGAGTACTTTGTTCCTTCCATAAATCAATTCAGAGTTAATGAGATGAATGTTGATGTTAAGTTTAGCTTATTTAGCAATCAGGTTAATTTGTAGGCGAAGTTCTGTTTATGAGCTTGTAAATTTAATTGAGTTGTTAATAAATTAAACTCTAAATAGCTTGTTAGTTGGAGAGTTTGGGTGTCTTTCAAGTCTCTTCAATTGCAATTTTTTTGAATTATTATTATTATTATTTTGCCTATACTGTGTCTGTTTCAGGTTGAGTGTTTCTTTCTGCATCTGATAAAATTTGTTGACACCTCCATCCACTCTGGTATGGACATAATGTAATTTATGGAATAAATAGGTGTCAAAATAATTTGGCGTATGATAAACAGAAACCAATTGCAGATCTATTATGGTAACTTCGATAACTTTTTGTTATACACATAAATCATGTGCAGGTATGTAGTACCAGAAGCATTTTGTTGCTACTTGATAACTTAGATTTTCTTCCCAGTAGCTATCAGTGCGAAATATCCACAGCTTTTACCCATTAAGAATCTCAAGAACAGGAGAATGACAATAATATCTGAAAGCTGTGTATTTTGGGCTGTTTATCTTGCCATCTATAATCCAAATACATCTTTGTTTTAACAGTGTTGTTTATATCAACACATTTGGTGACAGTGCCACTTTCAATCATCCTTTACATATTTTTCCGACGCCTGGGAAACAATGCTCATGGTCCTATCTTTTATGCCGCATTAATTTCAATATAACTGGTTTCCATTTATAAATTCCTAAAACAAACTCAAGTCGTACCATCTATATTCCATTAACAACCAAAAATGGCACAGGCAAAGAACCAAAAAGAAAATTCCTGTGACAATACACTACTACTACAGGTATTGGATGTACATCCTAAACTAACTCAGGAAACAGTTAGCCAAACTAATAGTTATTAGCTTGAGCATGATCTTGATTTCCCATTTTTTTGCCTGTGAAACACAGAAAAAGTGGTTATTGGTGACTTGAAGCCAACCTTTCCCCTCCAAGAAAAAAAGAGATGCTTCCATAAACTTGCGAACTAAAGAAAAAAGATGCAAAGGGAGAAAGAGCATAATGAAACTAACCAAAACGAGTCTTTCTTCTCCTGTGCTAACAATTCTTCAAAAGATATGTCAGCAAAATCATCATCTCTGTTCTCTCCCAGTCCACTTGATTTTTCCTTTTCCATGCAAGCTCCAAGTTCAAGCATCTTTGTAAAAAGGTTTAAATAGTTAGCATATCATAATACATGAAATTTTTCATGAAGTGTTGAAAAGCAAGCTGCATGAAATCCAACAGCCGTGTGAACAAGTAGTGTTTCAGTGTAACCTTACATATTTTTGCAATAAATTAAAGAGTAGATGTTTATTGATCCTCATATAAAGTCCTCAAATAAAGAGAATACCTTTTGGTATGCTGGTGAGAGTTTAAGCTGTTGTTGAAGAGAGTTATAAACAAAGGCATCCTCTTCTAAACGTTTTTGCTCTAATTCTAGCTTGTATATCTGAAATATTAAAATTTACATGGTCAAATGTGTCTGCAACCTTAGCTTGATGACATAAAAGTTCCCTTCTAACAACATACTATCATCTAACCAACCTGTTGATGAAGACGGTCAAAAGAAGATCTGTCTGCCTTGCATAGTAAAGCCTTCGTTATTACGAACTTCCGTTGAATCACATCAGCTCTGTTAAAATAAGAGGATGTAAAAGAATCAGAACAATACAGCATAAAAACTTTGGTGTTAGGCCCAGAATAGAATAGTGAATAGAAAGAAAAGTTTGTATTTCTAAATTTAAAACAAGCGAAACATGGAAAAAGATCTCTCCTCCAGGGTATTGCCCTTTCACAGTTGAGCAGTAGCTCAAATGCTAACAATTCAGAATCATCCCTCTTCCTATATATATCTAATCCCCTTCAATAAACTAACTGCTCCAACTGTTCCAAATTCCTAACTAATTCCTTCCACTGAAGTCTCCAAAATAAACAAATGGATCACAAATATCATGGTAGCATATTTGCAAAAGGCAGACAGAAATTTCCAGTGCCAAACAAGTTTTCATAAGTATGCCTCCATGTGCAGGGGGAGAGGGGACCAATATAGAAAAGAAAATATACCAAGTGCTTTATAATAAATCTGTACATACTTGTGCTGTAGTTCATTCCTAGCATCAACCAGACTATTAGCAAAATGTATAACCTGCATTACATAGGATAAGAAAAAAAATTTGTAGTTTATCACATCACAATAAATTTGACACTTGTATCTCATTTTGAATGAAAAATGCCACTGAACAATAATAAGTTGAAATTCGCAAATATCACAGAAAAGAAAAGACCGTTCATGATCCTTTAAACCACAACAACCTATGAATGTGAAAGATAAAATGAAAACTACCAAAGAAAGTTTTGCTTTCAACATAAACACTCTTGCTGGCACAACTACAAAATCATTTGGCAAGTCATGTTGCAGAGATAGTCTTACCAATCATGTACACTGAGTGGATGTTATCTATTCAATTGCTTTGCACTACGTTTATAGCATGCTAGTTTCCTATCAAATTTCTACATGTTTCCAAAAACAACACATCCAAAACCATACAGATACATTCAAAAGGTGAGTAGGTTACCAGTGCCTGCACCGCATATGTTCCTGAATTACATTTACTTGTTCAATTCAAATTATTTCAAAACTACTAATATATTGTTTTTCATCAATCTATAGAAATTACCCCGCTCACTAACACATAAATACCACCCCCTAGATGTAAAATGAAAACCCCCATTTCCATTTTTACAGACTACAAACATATGCAGTTCAGGAGGAAGAACTAAACAAAATTAACAATCTTAGACATCAACAAAAAGCATTAAGCTTGTCGCTAATGTTACCAGCAACCGTTCGTTCCCTTCATTTAAAAACCATAGATTTCTATAATTTTTTTAAAATGTAATAAATTAATGAAAAATAAATAAATAAAACACGTATACGAACGAATCAAAAATTGAAAATTTAAGTAAGAAAAACCTGCGGCAGTGTCAGTTTCTTCAAGTGGTTACATTTGACGAGCTCATCGTACTGGTGTTTGATCTTTCTCTGCATAACGCTACTGGAGGACGTGAACGGGTAATAGGACGCGGATTCAAGTCGGAGCCCCGAGTCGGAACCCGATTTGGGGTTCTCTTCAACTTGCGTTTGGGTATCGGTTCTCTTCTTCTTGGGCTTCTTCTTCTTCTTCTTGGGTGCATTTTGGGGTGGCAACAAGGCGGGAACTTGAGCAGTGTGGTGTTGCCTTTTGGAGAAGCGTTTGAAGAGAGAGAAAGAGAGGAAGACAAGGGAAGAGAGGGAGGCCACAAAGAGGAAGAAGAGAATGGGATCGTGCATTTGTATTTGTGGATGGCGCTCAACAGAGAATGGGAATGGGGAATACGAATACGAAGGTGGAGGCTCCATGAAAATGCAGAGAGAGAAAAGGAAGAGCGAGAAACAAAAGTGAATGAAAAAAGAAAAAAGAGATACTATTCTCTTCCCTGTTGCGTTCTTCTTGTTACCTCTGCCTCTTCCAAATTTCAGTTTTCTCCTTCTCTACTCTTTTTTTTCAGTGAAAACCCTTTTATACTTTGTTTAAAATATTTGAATCCAATTCTAATTTAATAAATGGCAAGTTGTTTGAGTTTAATATATCTAATATGGACTAATAAAAATAAATTAAAAATTATTAGGTGGGTATCGTCATGCATAATCATTTCCAATTAATTCTGATTCTAAATTAGGAAAAAAAATCAGGTTGTGCTTATAGAGAAACACTAGACTTGGAATATATGTTAGGGTTCCTTTTAAAATAAACAATTCTACTAGGCAATAACATTTCTGTGGTTTATATTTTAATGGATGGTAATTATTTGGAGTTATATAGATTGCCTGATAAAATACTCATGCTGTGAAGTCCTTTTAAGTAGAAAAGTACACCAAAAAAGTGAAATTATTAAGCATTGCTATAAATATAGTAATGGTTGAAAAATCAAAGGTGGAAACTTAGTAAGAAAATGGCATTGTCCATATATATATATATATATATATATATATATATATATATATATATATATATATATATATAATTGTTCTGAAGTTAGGCATAGAATAGAAGTGTGAATTTTGAGTTTCCAGATTTTCTTTGTGGTGCAGGTGGCAACTTAGGATTGGAAACAAGCCACACCAGCTTGACTAGTAAATAGTTAAGGATTTAATTTCTTATTTGATCAGGGTGTTTGATATACTTAGTTAACAATGATGCATATTAATCGTTTATCATGATTATTTTCTCCTCATATAAGGTTTGGACAGTGATTATAAGTCTTACAATGCAGTGATTGTGTCAAATATTAGAGAAGAATTTTGTTAAAAACAATAACTTTACTCTATTTGAATTCAAATAACTGTTCAAAATGCATGTGAAAATGATAAGGAGAATAATAAAAAACAGGATTATTCTCTCAATTTCATTGCATACTTTACAATTAGGATGGGAAAAAAACTCAGATTCTAGATGAAATATTAGGAGAAAAACTGCACAATCTGTCTATCTGTATTTAATATGCGGTACATTGATCGCAGATTAACAGTAAAATGGATAAAAAGAAATGCATACACTAAAAATTAGTATCAGTTGTATATATTAATATAAATAATGATTTATCAAATTTCATCATTCAATCGTATTTTTAACAATTCAGATAATAAGAATTAACATTATTCAATCTTATTCCACTTCATTTCGAGATTTTTCATCAATTCAAAAACGTGGTATGCATTATTTCGAGATGCCCAACAGAACTCAAAAGAAAGAGGTAGAAACCAAAAGGCAAAAGACATGAAATAAGGAAATCAAAATCACTGAATTTGATATGTCTGATCTTGTTATATTTGGAAGTTTCTAACAGGAAAAAAGAAACTAAATGGATGCAGCTTACAGTGGAAAAATAATATTACAGGAAGCAAGAGGCTTCCACACTAAAGGTCTAAAACACTAGCACATGGACTGAATCCGTACCGTCTCATCGTGCACAAAGCAAATCTTCACCTTTCACCTCTGTATAACAACAGAACACAAGTATATATACACATATCCACAATCATCTCAGCAATCTTTAGGGGCTTTCAACTACATGGTGTGTTGTGTTTTCTGCAACTTCACCTTGGTAAAGCCAAATTAATCATGCTTGTGGTGATCAGAATTCAGAAGTGTACACTTGGGTTGACCCAAAAGACCTGTATTGAATAGTGGGGAAAAAATAATCTGAAGAGTTTAATTTTAATCCTTTATTTTCTGGGGTTAAAATGATCAGGTACAAATAGCTTCCACAGAGAGTTTCTTCATGACATTTGGACATGGATCTCCTCCAAAATTTTCAGGTGACACTGTTACCGTGCACCAATTTTGTCCAACACAATTCTGCAGCAACAAAAGTTATCATTGAAGAATGAACCAACCAAGTAATAATAACACCATGATCATAAATGGATTATATGACTATCAGAAAAGAAACAAGAAAGAAAGCATTCCAAAAGAGAGAAACAGAAGGCAATACCCTTTCAAAGGCATCATAAGACTTATGAGCATGACAACTTCCTTCATGGAAATTTCCACAAGAACCTACTGGAGTACCAAAGCTGGCAAATTTGATTGATGAGATTTTCTGTCCAGGGCTACATGATAAATGAACTTTTGGCCTGACAGGCGGTTTGCCAGAAACTTGCATCTGATAGCTTATAAGGTTTGGCTGCCACTCATAAATATCAGCACATATACTATCTATATCCCTTCTAACCAAAAAGATTCCATTGGGATCTCCACCTAGCTCTTCAAACACAACCAATAAATTTCCTGTAGGCTTTAGCCATGACTGAGGAACGTGATACCTGAAATTACCAGCCAGTAATTAGTTTGTCATCTCATCAGCATTACACAGAACTTGAGAGCGTGCCATATATTTCTCACTCACCATCTTTGAGATGCCTCGCCACAGTTACTTCTGCATTTATTCTCATTATAAGTTCCAGCATAGTCACAATAATCACAGGTACCGGATGCTTTATAAGCAGGCCAGTAGCGGCCAAGATTCTGTCCATTTAACCACACTTGACCTTTGCCCATGCTGTCCATGTCTAAAGCCAATGGTGCAGTCCCAGCTGGGGCGTCGAATGTTGTCTGTAACAATATTCAAAAGAATTGTTTCTTAGAGGCAAGCCTTCCAACAAGTTTGTTGAAATTTTGGGGTTTAGTAGTGAAAAGAAGAAAAGGAGAAAATAGAGACTAAAATTGATTTGATTTGATGTGATGTGATACAAAAGACAACACACTCTCATAAAAAATCATCAGCATCATAGATATGATAATAGTGTTAAGAAAGATTTTCAAGATATTTTAATAAGTGGAAGTGAAAACCAAAAGGGTTTCTCTTCTATGTTACATCAACTTTTTAAAAATGTTTTTGGTGCTTAGCTGGTGCATACTCGCAAGTGCACCTGGTACATGCACTACGTAGGTTTAACTGTAGAAGGTTATAGAGGTTCCGTGATATATTACTCACTTTGTACCAAGTCAAAGGCTGACTTCTAGAAACTAAAGATCCCTGGATCCACTCCACTGAGGAACTTCCACTAAGAGAGTGAAGACTCAAGGTTTCACCTTTAAGACCCACCTAAACAAAACACAAAGTTAGACCAACTTCAAGCAAAATCAAGCAATTGAAAGAGAAAGCATGGTGACTGTTTGAGAAAGAACCTTGTAAGACCATTTCTGCCAAGACAAGTCCCTTCTCCCTTCGTTGAGACCACTTAATGAAATTGGGCCTAGAACACCAGCATTCCATGTTTCAAAATGAGGACCAACATTCTGCATGTCAAATATAGTCATGATCATAATCCACGTTTGATGATGCTGAAAATCAGCTTTCTGTGACGGGCAAGGGTGTATCTGACAATATTTATTTGATGTGTGTGTGTGTGTGTGTGAGAGAGAGAGAGAGAGAGAGAGCGAACTGGGAGTCCAACTGCAACACTTAGAAGAGAGATCTTGTTAACACCGGCTCTGAGCTTCACTCCTTCACTAAATGTCAGTTTAGGGAATTCTAAGCTTCCATATGAAGTTCCTGATCAAAAGAATACAAGGCTCAATGACAAAGCTACTGAACAATTATTAACTTCCGAAGTAAAATAGTATAATTACACAGTTTGGAAAAATAATGGTCCAATGACAACTAGATCCATGCTGTTTCATTCCAAACACGGGGTAAATTACCCAATGAAACCTAGATTCTAGTATTGTTTCCATGCAATGTTCTAATTTATTGAACCCTCAAATGCATACAACGACTAATTTTAAAGAGTCACCAATTCTTCCACTTGGATGATACTCAGAAAAAATAAGACAGATAACTGAAACAATTCTTATTAGATGAATTAAATAATGATGAAATCTGTAGGCCAGCACACTGTGTTCCTCACCTGATAGCTGACCATTTATAAAAACATGCAAAGCATGCCCAGCAGAAAACACGGTGAGAACAGGATCCTTTCCGTTACTCAGAAATCCTTCATTGGGATCAAGAACAACACTAGCAAAACAGGAGCAAGACAAGTATAAGATGTGGAAAAACAAATTATATAATAAGATTCATCAATTGTGTGCTAACCAAAGATTTGAAAAAAAAAAAAAGGGTGCAGAGTGCAGAGTTGTATCACATACTCTGTGGAGTACCACAAGTAGTCAGATAAATCTCTTGTTGTATTTAACTGCTCTAACAGGCCAGTCATGATGAAGGAACTATCATCAGTAGTTGTCGTTTCTTCATTGAATGATAACCAAGAGAGTCCGCCATGAATAGGAACACGAGTCATCTTCATCTGGGCGCTCTGGGAACCAATCTGTGCAAAGATTTTTAAATTTTTATTATGGCTGAAATCTGCCACTCGAAAATTATAGAACAATTTCGTGTTTTTTCTTTTCTTTTCACATATGGTATTTCTCAAGAAATAAAAAAGCCTAATTTGCAGACAAAACACTAATAGAATACAAAGGGTTATTAAATCCAACCAACCACATGTACGTGGCCAAGCTCTTCTGTACCCCAAATCTTCATTTCAAATTACAACCATCATAGTTAATCTTCTGAAATAAATATATTTCATTTTTCTCACCCTTGCAGTGTTATAAACAGTGTGCTTGCAGTCAGGAAGAATGCTTATAGACCAAGGAGGCAAATTGTAATGCATGTTTCCAAATGCCACAGTTGCATAAGATTTTGGGTTATAATTTGCAAGGAATGCAGCACAAGCTCCCGACTTCGATTTAAACACATGCGCCTGGACATAAATGATGACATATAGAAATTCAGTCTCGCTATAAGCCATTTTAGTAGGATTGATAAATCTCGTCTCACATCACAGAATCAAGTTATACCTCTTGATAGTTTCCAATCTTTGTTACAGCAGGATCTCCCGATACTAAGGCTGGTTCACACAGTTTTATTGCTCTGTGCAGATCCTTCAGATGACCCCACTTTGGTTGCCTGAGCAATCCTGCACAGAGGAACAAACAAAAATGAGAATAAACGTATATAAATATTTATGGAACAGATCCAACTGCCAATTACATGTACCAGTTTCATTGCAACACATCGACAAGAAGCAATACATAAAAAATGTACCAATCACACTCATCACTCACGGGAATAACAACACAGAAAATTGTTTTGGATTTTTGGTTAACATTAAAGGAACAGCAACCATATTCTAATCTGCTATGCGTCACAAGAACAAAGGAGGTTTCTAAACTATATTTTGATATTTATTCCCTGTAGGTCCTACATAAAAAGCAGAAACTATATATTATGTACTTATAGGTCATATCAGGTATTTGGAATCCTCTGCGCTTACCATATTCATCAAGTGGTGCATCATAATCATAGCTTGTTGCAATAAAGGGACCACCAGCAGTTCGACCGAAATTTGTTCCCCCATGATACTGAGAGGAACAAAATATAAGGACTTAGATGAACATATAAAATGGGTGAACATACACACCAGAAACAACAAATAATGAAGTTACCATGTAATAATTCACAAATGATCCTCCTTTCTGTAGAAACCTTGCAACTGAAAATGCCATGTCTTCTGCAGGTCGATGAGGAACAGGACCTCCAAACTCTGTAAACCTGCAAGGATAAAAGAGTAGAGGAATGAATAACTACGCGATATCTCTGGATTGAGAGTTACTTATTCTAATGGAAACTTAAAAAATAAGAAATAAGGCATAATAATACCAGCCAGTCCAAGCTTCTGTCCACATCTTTGGCTTGTAAGCCTTATTTGGTGAGAAATAATCACAGTAGAAGCCATTGCAAGTGTTAATCTGGAAAACATTTTACATTTGATATCAGAAGTTGAATACTTGGAGGCAGAAAAAAGTGCATCAAGGACAGAAAATTTGATGTTTCAAATATGACCCTGTCTAGTATTCCCTCTCAGGAAAAAGAGTTATGGACAATAGAGAAACGACTCTGCACAAGATAAGAACATTTTCTCAAAAAATACACTTCATCTAAACTTACAAGAGGATCAGGCGTGTCATCTTGCTTGCACATGACCCATGGAACCCCAGTACCCAGTCCCACAGCCATATCTGCAGCCCAATTAGTGTAAGCTTTACCGGCAGCACCAATTTCATATTCTATAGGTCCATATTCATTTTCAATCTGTACAAAAACACCAGTAGTAAAGATAAAATTCCTAGTACACATCTCCACTCTAATCAAGGAATGAAAAGCTAATCACTAAATAAAATATCCAATACAATTTAAAGCAAGCATTCAATTAAGTAGATTACCAACAGCATTTTCGTTTTCTACCTGGGACATAATTATTGGACCTCCCTGAGACTCATATAACCGCTCCGATTTCATTAAATCAACGATCTTCGTGGTAAATTTTTGCATTTGATACTTCATTATAGTAGTGCAAAAAACAAAAAGTAATTAGAAGATACTCGCAATGAAATATAAAAGATTGAGAATATTTACCAATTCTTAAGGTACAAGGAAGATTGGAATCTAACCTTAAAAGGTTCATTGTCTGTTCTGAAGCTGATTCCTGGAATGTACTTTAGCCAAACAGGGAAACCCCTGAAAACCAATCAAAGATAATCTGTTAAGATATTTCTAATTTGAGATGCACCAAATTTCTGCAACGAAAGCTTTCACTACCCAAAGTTCCACTCAGCACAGACATAAGGACCAATCCTGAGATGAACATACAGCCCTGCTTGCTGCGCCAGCTTTATGAACTTCACCAGATCATAGTTCCCCTCAAAATAATACTACAGCAATCAACAAAGCAACAATATTAGTTATTCCTCAATTCCCATTCATAACCGTGCAGTTTTCAAGAATGCAAGAAAGAAAAACTAGAAGCCATTATTTTGTACTGTGTTACCTTGCCAGGTGAAGGTTCGTGCCCATTCCAGAAAACATACGTCTGAATCACATCCAGGCCTCCCTCCTTGGCCTTCTGAATAAGATCTGGCCACATCTGAAAACAAAGAAACCCCACAAGTTAAAAATGCAAAAAGGTGAAACTTTAAGGCACCCATTTGAGAAAAAGAACAAAATATGAGGACCCTGAAGCACATTTGAGTGTAATAATAATAACAATACCTCAGGGGTGCTCCTTGGGTAATGAATGGATCCAGAAATGAGGATCCTTCTCTGGCCATTAATAGTGATGGCCTTTGAATCATAGGAAACTGAGGCCTTAGCAGAAGAAACAATGAGAGAACAAACAATAAGCAGTACCACATTCCACATTATGAGCTTGAAGCACACCACCATGGTGCTCCTGGTTATTCTATTGTAAGCCCACAGAGGGAAGTAACTAGGAAGTGTCCTTGGTTCCTTCTCTCTCACACCCTTGCTCTCTCCCTCTTATTATTATTCCTTACTTTCCCTTTTGCAAAATGATGATCAGAATAAAATAATTAAAATAACTGAGCCTGGAACTTGCAAAAAACAAATTGATTACAATTTTCTAAGTGACTTTAATTTGAAGATGTTTTGGTACGAAATGAAGGTGCTGCTTTTAAAGGGTGAGTTGAGGAGTGAACTGGTTTGCGTCGGAGCGATGGTGGGACCCACTTTTGAGTGAACTTTGGGACCCACATACTTGTCCTTACGCACACCTGACGCGGACCTAAAGCTTGAACCAATCCCATTTTTTTTATTGCTTTTTTCTTTTTTTTTTACCTTTTTCGTCCTTCAGTATTTAATAATTATTAACAGTATTCTGTAATTTGTTCGAGCTTAGTGGAAAATAACGAAGAACTGGGAATTGAAGTTAAAGGCGTGTTTGGGGGTAGTGAGAAGCAAGTTTCCCCAAAACGAGATTTTAGTTTTCATTTTTTTGCGACAGGGAGAAAGATTCTCCAGCCATTCCCATTCTGGTCGGTTCCTATTCTCTCATATGTTTTCTGTTTTTCATTCCTTCCTTCATTCCCACGCGCCTCGGTTCTCGTGACACCCACTGCATCATTTTTATTTAATTTTTACGGAAATTATATATGTTATTCTCTGTTATAATGGAATTTTAAATCAATTATCATTAACTTATTGGAATTATATTTTATGTTTCCTAGGAAAATTAATTAGTTGTTTTTACAGTGAGGATTATTTCTAAAAATAGTAAGTACCATTGAAATTTAAAAGTATTTGCTGGCTTGTTATTAATTATCACTTTTTCAAAAAGCACTTATTAATTATTTATCGCTCTCTTATACTCACCACACTAATAACTAGCTAGTGTTAGGGGTTTTTTTTAGCTTAAGTTAACGTGCTTTTATTAACGTTGTCGGCATTTTTTTTTCAAATTATTTTTATTTTTAAGAATTAGAAAATGAAAAACAAATGTACCCTTATATTTTTCTTTTGGTGCTATTTGCTCCAAGTAAAAATTTGTAAAATACATGATAACAAACACAAACAATTACTTGCAAAAAAAATGCACTTCTCTCCTAACAAAGATTATAAAACGATTTAAATAAAATAGTAAAATATTAGTTTTGTTTTATTCAAAATTTATATTAGATTTTAAATCAGATTGTTATAAATTTATATTAGGTTTGAATATTTGTAATAAACAAAATTATATTTAACAAAATAGACTATATCTTTGTTTGTTGCATATATAATCCATCAAGTGGGTCTCTTTTACTTTATATTTTTAATGAAACATAAAAATGTTATTATCATATGATATGTTTTTAACACCAAGATCAATGTCATTTTAGACTGTTGTTAAACTAAATTGATGAAACCTATTAATGAAAATTATGTGAAAAAATTGATAACAAGTTTTGTTGTTAAAAAACAAAAATAACGGTGCAAGAGAAATTTGGATACGTTTTAGTTGAATAAGGTTTTGCTTCAATCAGAAGGTATTGAAAACAATTGGAGAATAACTTCAAATTCTCTTCCTCGCAATGACCTAAATTCATAGTTTGTGTCAGAATATTTGCAGCAGATTTGTGTCGGATAAGGGGTATATAAAGTTAAAAAGAAAAAAAAACTTTTTTAAATTAAATAATCCATTTAAATATTTAAAAATTACATTATTGAATTAAGAAACACATTTTTTAATAAATTAAAATAAAAAAACATAATTAAAATTTGTAGTTATGTAGATAGTTGGTGATAGCTGTGATCTGGTTAGCTTCTAAGGGAAAGATGGACCCAATATTCCCCATCTGCCCCTACTTTTTATGACCAACAATACCCTTTTCAAATCCAGCTAATGTCTTCCATTTCAACCAATAACCCTAATCTAATGCCCCAATTCAAACCTACATGATTCATCACATTTATAACCCTAATTAAATAACCATTTCCACTTGCCTATGCCCTAATTATTGGTCACCACGTGACCTGCACGTGGCCCATTCTCATTTATCACATCGCAACAATAGTACTGCGAATAATTGGGTAGATGAAAAACCGCGTGTAAGCATTCAACACTTTTTAGGTAGTGTTTGGATTCAGTTTTTCATAACGGGTTCTAATTTCACTTTGAAAACCAAAATAACAAATAATCGCTTTTAAGATCTGATTTTGTGGGTTCAAATCGTTTCTGATTAATACCATGCTCGTTTTAATTTTCAAAGCCGATGAAGGAAAATTTTAGGTTTCTTGGAATTCAAGAGATTTTTTATTATTGAATAGCACTTCCCTGTGTCCCAGTCTTTTTTGCACCTCAATGTAAGATTTGATGATAAAAATTTATATTTTATTGTTTTTTACTTGCTAGTTTAACCTTTTTATTGTTTTATTACTAGGGTTTATTTGCATTATATGAACATTTATCATCCAGAAAAATATAAATATATAAACTAAAAAGATTATATCCAAGATACATCTAATATTTTAAATTAAATCAAAAATATAAATTTAATGATACTTACACGTTATGTTTTGGTTACTTTTAAATGAAAATGTATAGTTTCGGTGATCTATCTATCAATCTATCTTAAAAATAATGGGTTAGAGTGGTAGTTTTAATTCGTCAACTTATTTTAGTTTATCTTATTTAATTCGATGACAAACAAGTTTGTTTTAAAAAAATTTATATATTATGAATAAAATAAAAAATATTATATATTTTTATTAAATTATTAAAATATATAAATAAATAATAATATTATAATATAAATTATAAATATTAATCAATTAAATTTAAATTATTAATTATAATTAATTATTTTAATATATAAATATAATAATTAATTTAATAATAATATTAATTAATAAATAAACTTAAAAATTATTCATATAATTAAATATGTATTTAAAATATATATATATATATATATATATATATATATAATAAAATCATATAAAAAATATTAGAAAAATGGTATCCGTTAATTCATTTTTTATAAGATAATGAGTTAACTTGCTAATCTATCTAAAAAATTAGTGTGATAGATTAATAGTTTTAACTCGTAAATCTATTTTAATCGATATCACTTAATTTGTTAATTCGATTGACTAATTATGCTTGAGACAAACTAACTTGTTTTAAAAAATATTTATATATATTAAGATTAAAATAAAAAATTATAATAAAAATTAAATTTTTTATTGTACTATTGAAATATATAGATATATTATAATATTATAATTTAAATTATAAACATTAATAAATTAAGTTTAAATTATTTATTTTAAAATAAATATAATAATTTGTTTTTTTTTTTAATATTAGTTATTAAATAAAACTTGAAAATTATTATGTAATTAAAGATATATTTAAAAAAATATAAATATAAAAAGATTATATATATATATATATATATATATATATATATATATATATTAAGATGACTGAGTATGTTAATTATCATTTGATGAGACTAATTAAAATTTATAATTCATCCCATCTCATTTTTTATAAAATGGATATAATGATATTTACATCTACACTTTTGTTGTTTTTAAATTCTTTTGATAAAATGGACTAATAGATTGGTCCGTCAATCTTCCTAAAAACTGATATTCTAGAAAGATAATTTTAACTCGTCAACAGATAGGCTAACTTGTTTTAAAAAATATAATAAAAATAATATATTTGTTTCGTTATCTTATCGAAATATATAAATATATTATAATATTATAATTTTAATTATATATATTAAACCATTAAGTTTAAATTATTAATTTTAATTAATTTTTTTAACATAACTATAATAATTTATTTTATTTATTTAATAAAATTATTAATAAATAAATAAAATTTAAAAATTATTCATATAATTAAATATATATTTTAAAAAAAATTAACGGTCTTCCTAGTCCTTTAATTCATCTTTAACGAGACGAGGTTAAATTTATAATCATCCATGTCGTTTTTTATAGAATGGAGCAAGATGCATAAACCCGATTTATCATCCTAATTTAGACACTCAACAACAAAAATTAGAGTTGGACTATATGGTCCCCAATGGACCCCTACAACATGGCCCATATGGCCCATTATTAATTTTGGTTGGACTTAACTAAATTTCAACTTATACTCTATAGCCTTTCAATAAAAGTTGGACCTAAAGTATTCATGATTTCGTCTTCATTGAAAATTTCAAATCAACATTACCAAATTCTAAAGTACCAAAACATTAAACAATGGCCACTGGAAATAGTCATCATTTTCGCTTTCATTTCTTACAAGATTATATAATTTAAAAGAGTCATATATAGATAAAAAAAAATCGTTATTTTCTCATTTTCAATTAATTACTTAACTGGGTATGTAGAAAGTTCATTACTTTACCTAGTATACAACATTAATATATATGTTTATATATTTCCCTCATGTTTAGGTTAGGTTAATAAAGACATGAACTTTTTTACCTATCTTGAGAAGACAAAGGGAATGAAAAGACTTGTTCTTATCTGAAATAGAAAGCGAAAGAAAACTTGGGACGCACAAAGCAAGGGTTGAAAATTTGAGGCCACTGAAGGATGAGATTGACACACAAGCTCAACATGCATACACATCATCCAATCTATAGCAACAGTTTTGCATTAACTCATGGCAAAGACAAAAATGGTTTGTGAGATATAAGAAGATGAGGAAGCCATGCACAATCCACAATCATAGGAAGCTATCTCAAAATGGATGAGCTTGCCACATACATTTTGTGGTGGCATAGCATAGCCATTGTTGCTCATCTCAGTCACCATCCTTAGTCACTGGACTTGATGTTAGGGCCCCTCACATTTAATCCAATACCACATGTGTGGGTCAAAAAGTGCATGTGTGTGGGACAGATGAATGGTGACTAATAACAATTCTTTAATGTCTTCTCAACATGTGAATGTCATTTTGATTCTGTGTTTTTACTTATGGTTTTGTGTTATTCTACCAATCAAAAAAATGGTATTTTTTCCTGATTTGTTGTTCAACCTTGTGTGCCTATTCCACAAACTACACTAGACTGATTTATTATCATGGTACTCTTGAGATATTAAGAAGAGATTGAAATCCACATGGAGGCAATTAGATGCTCATAAACTGAAGACATGATGGCGTTTGGTATGTTATTTTATGAAAGCATCAAAACCTAATTAATGGCGTCACACCATGGCTGCTTCCACTAATAAGTAATTGAATAGCAAGGTTGTGCAAGGAGATTTCTTTTAGTTGAGAAGTGTCCATCATGCTTTTCTCTTCCACACTACGTTTTGTTTAAAGTTTAAGCATGCATGTACTTTGTTTTTCAAAATATAAAAATAGGATATAGAGGTCATGGTGGTGGCTTTGCAATTATCATTATTCATTCGATTGAAATTTCAAAGCAAAAGTAATCACTTTTTTGGTTTTCTCTTTTTGGTTTCTTATGAAGTGTTGAGGTGGTAGAGATGATCAGTTTTCCTAATGCTGAGACAATTTGACTCTCTGTTGTCTCACTCACACTCCTAAAGTTACAAAGCAAGCATTTCCTGTTTAATCAATGGCATAGATCAATGTCAAATGTTTATTTTCTTATAATTAGTTGGTATTTAATTATGGCCATAAAATATTATCAGAATCATAAAATTTGGCTGCAGTGTAAGGAGTATCATTCTCATCAATCACTCTTTCTTTTTCCCTGATACACATTTCCATCAATCTTGGTCAACAAACGTTTTAAAGAACACCAAGTTATTGTAATTGAACTTATCTTATTGTTCTCATCATACTCCATATCTGTACCTAACCTATTGATGGTTTGTGAAAGAAAAGTTGTGTACTTCAAGAATATAGAAGTAAACTTGGCCTAATTCATTCTCATAATTGAAACTTGTTTCCCCGTAAATGTAATCTTTATCTGTAACCTGAGAACATCATGTAATAGCCAAAATCTCCAGGCCTCTTTTGGTTATGTTTGTCTGCAACCATAATGTTTGAATGTATAATACTTGTATTTTTGGTTCAACCACCATTGCCTTAGAATACTATATGTTAAATATTATGTTCCTCAAAAGTTTTGAAGTTCCTGGGCCAAATGAACTGCTTTAAGCAACTTGTGAGTCATGTTGATATGGGACCAACAACCCCATGTAACCATGTTCTTCTTACATTTTTTTTGCTTAGTGTCATTCGTCATAGTCACGAGACTCGATGGACCAAATGTTCAATTAACCACACACAATTGTGCATGAGGATAACGTTGGCTGCCTCCAATTGAATTGGGGCTATGGAGAGAGAGGCCAACTATGTCTCTGTTCTACCTCTTGGACCACCTTATAAAAGGAAACAAACTACAATTGCAGTTTTATGGAAAGGTGAAAGAGCATTCTTCTTTCTATTTGATAATGATGCTGCACAGTTTTTGGCTCAGCTCCTCTTTATACAAAATGAATTAACTTTTTTGAGTCAAGAGTAAGATTACAAAAGGCAGTTTATGTGGGGTGGAGAAGCTTAAGGAAGAAAAAAGTGATTTTGGTGGGACCAAGTTTGCATACCAAAGCAGTAAAATGACTTAAGTGTTAAGTGTATAGAAGACTTTGTCAAGGTACTCTTTGGTGTGTATCTCTCAAGGGAGGATAGTTGGTTTAAGATGAATGCCACTATTATTGTTATATGATTTTTTTTTTTTTAAATCATAAGATTATATATTGTTGAAAGTCTCACATTGTCTATCTTATGTCATTTGGTATGATTTAAATACATGTTAGACTACTCCGCATATTATCAATTGGTTTTATGTTGAAACTTTAACATGGTATCAGAGCCAAAGCCTAACATCTTTCCGCTTATTGTCATGGGCCAAAAGTTGCCCTTTAGTTGAGTCAAAAGTATCTTTTGCCTGGTCCAGCAGACCTCGTTGGAAGGTTTGTGTTAAAAGTCCCACATCGCCTTCTTCATGTCATTTGGTATGGTTTAAATACATGTTAGATTATTCCACATATTGCCAATTGGTTTTATGTTGGAACTTTAACATATATAAAAGACTTACTATTAATATGCAATCTAATTGGATTGACATTTCAAGTTATACCCATCATTTACAACATATCGTATAATACAAAAATACTTCGGATTAGAGACATGATTTGATTATATTAAATAGGAATATAGGTATGATTTGATAAATACATTGGATTAAGGTTATGATTGATTTTAGTATAACTTGTTAATATGAACACACATGAAAAAAATTGTTGAATCAGCTATGGTAATAACCCGTAACGAGATTAGCATATGTCAATATATTGACAGATAAAAATATGAACACCCATGAAGAAAACCTTGATTAGTTGAATCATTTCATAGCTGTTGCTTCATTTAACTTTTGGCAGGAGCATGTTGTTAATTTATTAAAAATGTGATTTGAAGTGTGAATAAGAGGATTAGATGATTGAATTTGAGGCAAAGGAATGGGATGTCTTTAGCATGACATGGCCTATTATTAAGTATTAATGGAAGTACATCTGGAAAGAGTTGGCTGGTTGGCCTACTTCATCCAAATGAACAGTATGCTAATTTTGAGTCATTATCCAGTCAGCTTATTCATTATCTATGTCACATTTTATTCTTGGATTAAGTTTTAGAAATCAAATGCACTGCAAATACAGAGAGGGACTCTTTACACATTGTTTCCCTACATTTGCATATCACTGCCACACTTCAATCAATTTCTAAATAGTTTGGTAGGGAAGGAATGAGACATTGTTGTTATACCTGTCTTTAAGCTCTTACAATTTAACCTTATCATATGAATAAAAAGGGACCAGTAACTTTTAACGATTTAATCTCTCATTATATCTTCTTCTCTCTGTCAAATTTATTTTGTTACCATCTTTTAACATTTTTTGTATATTATCTAAAATTCTTAATTTATTTTACCCTAATCCTCAATATCTTTAGACATTTTTCCCTAAAATTTCATCTGCTTATATTTTTGAATTTCATTTTTAAGAACACTTATAATTTATCAGAATTTTTGTACACCGTACATCTATTTCAGTAACATGTGCAATCACAAAATTCATCGATTTTTTCATCTAAACAATGCGTATGATAAAAAAAGTACTAAAAAGTTTGCCATGATCCTTTTTAAAAGATTCCTCCAAATTATCTATTGCATAAATTGTTTATAAGATTTAATACTGTTAACTATTTTTTTGTGAAGTAGATTAAATAATAGAGATAATGATTCCAAAGTAATAATGGTACAAGTGATATACTGGTCCCTGTATCCTTGGTATTCTACTAATTGAATTCACACATGAGCCTACCAACTCAATGAAATTCGAGCAAAATTTGCTAACCCTAACAGAAAACTACTACGTTGAACCAAAAGTTTCGCTGCATTACTATCTTCGTCTGACTAAACCTCTCAAAAAGATAAATTTCTAGCGGCCTATGGTGCCACAACCTTTGTACAACATAAATATTGTTATAAAGGAGCTCAGAGGCTTCTGATCTACAGCATGGAAAGATATGCTGAATGTGGTTGTGATACAGCATCTCCCACCACCGCCAAAGTAAAAAGAGAAAGTCATATATGCTTCGTAGAAGAATAATGATTCGAACAAAATCTTCAGAAGTTGTTACGCCTGCTCCTGTCTCAGATTGCCTGAAGATCATATTTATCCATTCTTCAACTCACCTGCCTAGAAGTGGAAAGAAAAGGCAATTGGCACCAAGCTAACCAAGAATAGAATACGTACATTACATGTTTGCTGACACTTGTCAGATAGAGGCAACCTCATGAATGATCAATGTTCAAGTGTACTACATAAGGGCAACAAGAAAGAGTTGCCTGTATTAGTTAGATATGCTGTTCAGCAAACGCAAAAAACAGCAGCCTTGTTTGAATATTTTGAATCTCTTTATTTCCCATGTATGATGTATTTGTATTTTAATGATGCATTATACAACATATTGCTGCAACAGAGTATTATTAACTCCTTCCCAAAATTCCAATCACTCTTTTTACGTTTCTTTCATATTTCAGTTCCTGTAGTTTCTTGGTTAATTCCCGTTTAATGCGATAATGGAGTAGGTTTCTATCAAAATTCAACTGGGAAAGCAAAAAATCAAACGATAAAAGTAAGCATGAGTGGATATATGAAACTTACTATTATTTCATCAATATTCAAAGTCACTGAAGAATCAACTGAGAATCCCAGCTCTAACATTAGCTTTTCCAAGCGATTCACATTTGTCAAATACAGATAACCAACCTAGTTCAATGTTTGTGTCAGAGAACAGGCAGAAAACAAGTTTCAAATTACAAGAAATAATTTGTTTCAGATTATTCTTATCAAATACTCTGATTTTCAATTACAAATGAACAATATATGTAGATAGATACGTAGCAACACACATGTAAGAAGAAATTGCAAAGTATTAATGTGCAACTAGTAAGAAGAAATTGCAAAGCATTAATGTGCAACTAGCCCTTATCCTCAGTAGTTGATTGTGCTACATAAATTGTAAAAATAAAAATAAAAATAAACATGCAAATATTTCATATAAGCTTTCTTCCAAAAAATGGTTATATGATTATGTTGTTCTCATAAGAATCATTTTCAGGCTTAGATGTGATTTTAGATCTTTTAAATACCATGCTTTTCTCATTTGGACTCCCATTTTTAAAAAGTTATAATATAATTTGGACTCGCTAAAATGAATTATTATATAAATTTTTTGTAGGGACTAAGAAAATGATTTCAAGTAGAAGAACCGAATATAACACTGTTATAGCATTGACAAACAGTAACTAATTTGTAAGCATGTTTTCATATAGAGACTAAAACGTAAGATTTTCATGTAGGATTAAAACAAAAAAAGGTATCTAGCATATATATATATATATATATATATACCATGTTTTAACAGTAATCTCAGGAAATTATCATGTTGTAGTTGCCATCACCATTTTAGAGTTAAACATATATATAAAGGAGATTCTCAAGAATCAGATAACCATTTTTTGCAAGATTTATATCAACAGAAGAGAAAAAACATAGTTTGAAGGCACTGACTAATGTTTCTAGTGAAGATGCTCTGCTATACACAGCTGTACCAGCACGTTTTTTTGTCTTAGTTTTGCTGGGAACAATGTTTTTTCCCCATCGAAGAACATCCCTGAAATAAATATCATTAAAAGCCATAAGCCAAAACAAAAATTTTACAGATTTACTATGATCTGCCAATTCCTATCATGCTGAGAGTGTATAATCCTGTATTGAACCAGCACTACATTAGACAATTGTTAGTCGAATCCTTTTCCTTATTCCATTTTTTGCAATGTTTACTGTCTATTGGCTCCATCCAATCATCATGTACAAACCATGAGAGAGAATGTAGAATCTAAATATAGTCTCTAATGCAGAACATGAATATGATCTAAAGCTACATGTCCCAGACATTTTAACAAACATTTGACTAGCTGTTCAATCAATAAACTTCAACTATTCTTTTAACAAACAAGTTCCAGGACCACAAGATAGACTCCATAGGAAACAGTAGAACCCGTGAAATGATTTTTTATGATTCAAAAGTAGTATTATTTGGACTCCTTTTGAACTAAGGCTCGTGGATATAGTAGATCTGTCTGGTGACAAACCAGAATATAACTTTGTACTAAACTGTAGTCTTCAAATAGTCCACCTCGTCATGCGATCGACCTTATGGGTCAATCTTGAGAATTTTGCCTAAAATCATGCTTGTTACCAAGAATGAATAATAACTGAATGTAGGGGATCACAAACGAAACTCATGTCCAAGAAGAGCTGTCAATATAAAGAATTATTAGAGTTATAGGAGGTAGGTAACTTAGAAGGTAATACTAGGGATCAAAGGAGAACTTTAGAGCATTAAAATAAACAAAGGTTGCAGCCTTTTTGTGGAAAAATTCAGTTATATACCAAAAACAGTTCTGAAAAAGTCCAATTGACTTCAAAGTTTCATGCCAAAACATTTCTAAAGCAATGTGCTAAAATGCCTACAAAATGTGCCAACACAATTTGTTTTTACTTTTAGTGATTTCTGGAATAAGCACATGTGTATTGTGGTCTATACAACATTCGATGCAATAGTTGTATGGGTTAATGCATCATCAGTAATGCAATATTTCTGATGTTCATATCAATTTCCGATGTAGTATTATCTTATTTCAATTATATTTGCATTTCCTTTTATAAATTAAAGAGATTCCATTAGTATTTGAGATAACAGAATATTATTTCAGTAGTTTACAGACCTATTTTGATAAGGAAATCCTTTTTCAGGGGCATTTTATTTTGTAACAGGGATCTTTATTAAACACCACTACAATAGAGACAACAGTGAGACCTAAAAGTAACATATTCTAACCTCTCCTGATCTGATAAGAAGTTACTTTCAAGAAGTTTCTGCAGCAAAGCATCCTGGAATGCAGAATACAAGAAAAATTTAAGATATGTTATAATTAGATTAGGAACACAGTTTACTTCATTAGTATCAACAGAAGTACAGAACAACTGAAGCAAAAAATAAAACACTTACGATGAACAACTACGATACGTAATTCTAACAATGCAAAGAACCGTTCAACAAATTCAGCCTTGGGAGAAAAGCTTCTGAAGTTTTCAAACAAGAGTTAGGAGGAAAAAAAATTAAGCACATGATTTAATTATGAAAATTTAAGTAGTGTTTAACCCAGACTATTTAAGAAAACTTTGAAAGAAATAGATTTTTTAAGACAAAGACTAGTTTTAGGCGCATCTGGTTTATATTTCTCATTTTCATTCTTTATTTCAAATACTAACACACAAGAACATATACCCAAAACTTTTTTTAACTAAAATATAACATATAAGCTTACAAATTATAGAATTACCAAACAACTTTAACTTTAAAAATAAAGCTCTTACTTACGTTTTGAGTTAAGTTTAACTTTAAAGTACTTTTAAGCTATGAAAAAGTTGGGCCAAACGCTACCTCAATGCTTAGTGAATTACTTCTGTTCCCTCCTGGAATTGAACTCTATTATTTTCTGCTACTTAAAGTATAACCCATTATCATGGTCCATGATTGTGATGAGAAGATTTACATTTTACAGCTTAACACTATGTATGTATGGAGCAAATCCTATATGCATGTAAAGCTATATAGTATTTGGAGAGAAAATTCGTGAACTGTACAAAGTTGAGAGAGAAAAAAGTATAGATCTTATATAAGACAGAAAGATGTATGAGTATATAACAGTAGACCAAGTTAGAAAAGTACATAAATTCCTAACTCTCAATTAGGTAACAACAAAGTCTGACAAGTTTATAGATTACAAAGAAGAACGGAAAAAATAGATGCCCATCAAAATACTATTATTCAAGATTTAGCATGTTACTTATCTAGTTCCGTATATGACACATGAACATACAATAAGCAGAATGGAAAGAAAATATACTTGAGCCTCACAGCGCACAACTGCCATAACACGAACATTGTATTCTTCAATACTTAGAGGAGGAAATAAAAAGTGCCTACGAGCATATAGCTGCAAGTTTCAAACATAAGAATTGTAAGAATTTTACTGAATACGACATATAATGCAAACTAGGCAAGTATATTGACTCTGTTCGATTGACATACTTGATGACAATTTATTCTTCATTTCATAAAAAAAATAAAATAAAAAAATAAATTAGAATAGATCTGTAGACTTATTAAAACTCTTGCAATCAAAATTTTGTGGGTAACAAATTTAATACTTGAACAGATACCCTATTTTTCATGCATCGTTTATTCTTATTATAATTTTACTCTCCATTTTGTCAAATTTGTCATGTTTCCATTTTAGTAAAAAAAAAAGCATGCAAAATAGCTTATAGCCATGGTTTTAAATTGTGGGAAACTGAATGCAGCTGAACTTGCAGTTGTCGACCACAATTTAAAACCATGCTCTAGATATAAAATATCATCGATGTTAACGGTGCTTGCATAACTTTAGCACAAGGCACAACCTCATGGCTAGTAGTCAAAGAAGAACTTCCTTGAGGGATTTTTCCCTTTTAATCAAATAGTGAAATCCAAAACAGAGTGCTAAAAGCATACTAAGCTCAAACTTCAAGTGGTAAAGCAAAGCCCATACTACTAGTAGATTCTTAAAAGAAATTATTCTTAAAAGAAATTATTCTTTACCTTTTCAGGCAGTCATATGTATAGTTTTTCCAAAACAGAGAGCATGAAATTTGGAGCGAGTAAGCAACGAAAGAGAAGCATCAAAACAGACCTCATATATGCAATCACCGATATAAGCGAGAGTAGCAGCGTTAAACACAGATCGAGGCTTCACCACTTTTGGTGGAGTTGGCAGCCATTTCTCATATCCCAGATAAGTTTCGTCTTGTTCTTCTTCTACATGTGCTGCAAACAAACAGATCATAACATTCAAATATGAAAATTGCAGGTAATTGACAATAGAAAGGAGGAAGAAAGACGGAAGCAGATACCTATAGTGGGAAGAGGAGTGGCGCGCTTGAGAAGTTCGGAAATGTATTGGTCTCTCTTGCGCGTTATTGGTGCCGTGGAAGTGGGAGTGGGAGTGGAAACGATGTTCTTCTTGAGCTTTCTGGGAGCGTTAGGGTTATAAGGGAGTCTCTGTTGCGTGTCCCATGAAGCTCTCACTGAGAATTTCAGAGAAGAAGATAATGATGGTACAGATAACAGAGTCTCCATTATCGCAACACACACTCTCCTTGCAAGAAAGAGGGAGTGATAAAGTGGCAGTGATGATGCTGTTAGATATTTGTGCATTGGGTATTGCTATTGGCACTCCTTCTCTATTTTCTAACCCTCGCGTAGTATTATTTAAATATATGAATTATTTATTCATAAAAATAAATATATAACTTGTATGTGTTAGAAAATATTAATATTGCTTTCAATAATAATTAATTCGAACCGATGGTTAAGAAATAATTATTGTAATACCTATATGTTTGTTTATAAACAAATATTTAATTTGTCGAAATAAAATAAGATGTGAGTTTCATAAGAGAAAAGAAGAAAAAAATATAAGAGTAATTTCGTATTTATTTTTTTTATTAACGGATGGTATAAAAAAAGGTATATTTTGGAAAATATACTTGAGTAGCGGATTCGATTCTCTTTTTCACCTTACTAGACCAAAAAGGGAATATTTATTTATTTATATGGAAAAGGATATTAATGCTGGTGATGTAACGACGCCGTACAAGGCATATACAATAGTGCTGTGAGATCGATATTTTGTTCATTCATTGGAGCGTGGCTGCTGGGTTGGGTTTGGTGTTCGCGATCTTTGTTCCATCGGAGAAGACCCTTTCCCCTCTTTTCTCTTCACAAGGTTTTTCCTTTCTCAACCATCTATGCGCTCCATGTATCTATCTATGAATTCGATTGAATTTTTCGTTTTTATTGTTATAGCTCTTTTTAACCATTCGGTTTTTTTTTTCCTCTTCTCTTAACAAGTTTATTACCTATATGAACATGTATGTAATTTTAATTTGTAATTGCAATTTTATCTGTTTTAGGTCACCTGATATGGCATCAAGACACCGTGTTCACAGAGAACCCTTGAGTGCCAGAAGGGGGTATCCGCCGGATGGGCCTTATGCTCGCGGACCTCCGATGCCGCGCCCGCCGCCAATTCCTCCTCACCCGGCTGTGTTGGAAGAGGAACTTGAATTTCAGCATGCCGAGATGCGGCGGTTGGTGGCAGACAACAGGAGGTTGATTGATGACCGCATGGCGTTGCAGCGAGACCTGGCGGCCGCGAAAGAGGAGCTTCATCGAATGAATCTCGCCATCGGTGACATTCGCGCTGAGCATGAGGCGCATTCGAGGGAGCTTGTTGAGAAAGGCATGAAGATGGAGGCTGACCTTAGGGCAAATGAGCCCCTGAAGAATGAAGTCATGCAACTGCGGGCTGAAGTTCAGAAACTTAATAATCTCAAACAAGAGCTGACAGGGAAGGTTCAGACACTCACACAAGATGTTGCAAGGTTACAAGCAGATAATCAGCAAATTCCTATGATGAGGGCTGAGATGGATGGCCTGCACCAAGAGCTAATGCGTGCCAGGTGTGTGGCTCAATTGCTGACAGGGTTTCCATTCTCTATTGTCAAGCTCTTTTGTGATAGGTATTTCCACATTTGTTGCTCAAACTGATGATCATTTTTTCATTTTCGTTTTATAGAACCATGGTGGATTATGAAAAGAAGGCAAACATAGAGTTCATGGAACAGAGGCAGTCCATGGAAAAAAATTTGGTTTCCATGGCCCGGGAAGTTGAGAAATTACGTGCTGAGCTTGCAAGTTCTGATGGAAGACATTGGGGTGCTGGTATGTCAGGTATGACATTGCAAAGATTTTTTTAATTTTTTTATAATTTACATGTATATAATGTAAAATGTATGACACACATCACAATAGTGGGTATGCTACTGCCTACTATAACATTTTTGCGGTTTATCACTTCATGTTGCTATCTAGGATTACTAAATATGATAGACCACCAATCTTTAAGTATCTATGTATCATGGCCTGAAAGTGGAATACATTAATCGATATTGAAAAGCCTGCTTGACCCATATAATTGCAATTTGCAGAGATATTATTATTGTTTTTATCCCTTTTTTTTTCTTGTTTGCTTTATTTATGAAGGTGGACCATATGGAACACAGTTTGGTAGCCCAGAGGGTTTTCCAGCTCCATATACAGATGGATATGGCATTCACTTGGTATGTGCTATCCTTAATTTACAGATTTTAGATTAAGCACTCCTTAACCTGCATGAATATGGTGTTCATTTTTTATGTTCTGCTGTTTAGGGTTCTGCAGAGAAAGGTCCTCCCTATGGGGCGAGTGCTGCTTCAAGAAAGGGACATGAGAAGCCTCGCATGAATCGTCGTTGAAACTCAAGTAATTATTATTGGTGATGAAGAAAGGCTTGTCATCGCTTTGCCTTCTCTGTTATCAGAATAGCTGAGATTGAGTTTGATGTCCTACTGTGTATGCATGTGACACCAATGGTCATTTTATCTGGAACTCTGGATATATTTAGTCCTAAACTGGCATATGTAGGTTTTAGTGTTGCTTTACTTTTTCTTAGGAAAAACATTGCTGCAGTATCTCTATGTTTAAAATTTAGTATGATGGATTTCTTCACCTTTTTCATTGATACATATTTCTTGTTTCAATTATGCTTTTTGTTGGTATTGTTAGTAGTCTTTCTTCTGGGTAAAAATATGTTTTGTGTTGATCATTAGCTGGAATGAAGGAGTGTAAGGTTGAGATTTTGTATCTCCCTTGTGTTGAACAATGAGGGTTTGTGAGGCTAGCATTATTAGAATACTTTATGCTCCTTGTTGAAACCCGGGAAATGTGTTGAATGAATGGTGTCGCTGAATGCAATTTCTGTCACGGATAATGGATGTATGATTTTGGAATTAGTCCTATGGATAATTACTACTTTGTCAGAGGGTGACCATATCTAGAGGAAATTGGAGCATCAATTATATTAGGTTGTATTTCTGGTTTACACAAGTTATAAAAATGAGTTTTATGCGATTAGAGTACGTTTTTGTAGGATAAAATGATAGATTTAAGTTTGTAACTATTTGTAAGATTGGATAAACCTTTCCTGGAGTTGGTGGTGGCATGGTGGCTTTCATTTGGCTATAACCAGTATACTCCTGCAACTGGTAATTAGGCATCCTGCTCAAATTATTGGGATATAAATTTGGGAATGGGTTATCTTGCGAACAACTTCTGGGGTGTATATAGGATGCTTTTTTTCCTGGAGATGAAGTTGCAAGCTCAGTGGACTTTATTTTTCATTCATTTTTGGAAAAGTTGTTTATATTGAAGGTGGTTGTACTCACATTTCGAGGCAATATATGTACCTTGCACAAAATATATATATGTTTGGGAGTATTCAAGCATTTTTCATTTCTTATTTTCTTTCTCTGCCAAGTTTCTGGTCATGACTATACTTTTTACTGGTACGGAGGGTGACTGGTGAAATGTGTAGCTTTTGTCATAAATGGTATTATAACAGTGTGGCCGGGACATGTGTTTTCCTCTCAGATAGTCTTACATTCGGTTATGTTTGTTGATAGAGGAAAACCAAAAAGACAACGGATGTCAAGGAGTGGATACATATAAATATGTATGTTGTAACTGTTTAGTCTTTCTCAAGAAAACCTGAATTGTTCACTTAGACCTTTTGGGATTTTGACAAGTTTTATGTGAACTGCGTCTACCACAACCCTCCTCCTTTATCCAGAATTGGGAATATCTGAGACTTGTTAGTTGGATACGACTTTTGTTGTTCAGTTTGACATTGGGTGTTTAAGTTGTAAATTCTATATGGAGGTTCGTATTAATTACAAAGTATTATCGTACATGAGAATCTGAGTTCATGGAATTGTTACATTGTGTCATCAAGTTAGTAGTGCTATAGTTCTTGTATTGCTCTTGCAACTATTTATTTGAAGTGGACCAGAAATTGGCTGATGAAGATAAGAGAAGATGTTAGAGTTAGGTTGCAAATCTGCCTAGTTTTAGGATATCAGAGGATGTATCCGTTTTATCCCATCTTAATATTGAAAATTGGAAAGAGAAAAAAACTGCTAGTGTTGGAATATCTTTATACTTGGTTGAGGTGCTGGAATCTCTTTGGTCAAGATCCTCCATGATATACAAGCTCTCGTATGTTGCTAGATTCACCATGGAATATCACAAGGGAAGGCTTTGAGCCGGCAGTGTGTGTGAAGGCCAGCTGTTGATCCAAAAGCTCATAGGCAAGTATTCTGCTTCTCTTTATCGGTCTCAATGATCTAACACATGTAGAACTTGCTATTTGTTACCCTGCTGCTTACAATCACGTAAGCTTTAGTATGCTGCTTAATATGAAACTTAATTGTTGCACACCTGAATTAGAGCATAGTAGGGTTAGATCATATTCAGATTTTGTTTCTAGTGATTCCATCTAGCCAGAAGTTTGAATATAATGATCAAGAATTTAAAACTTAATTATATGTTAGTGTAATGATTTAATGCAATGCTAGCTGTTGATGTATCCTATTTAAAGTGTTAAGAACTTAGCTGAATGCCTGGAGCAATCTAAGTTGCAGGGTGGAAAATTTTTCTATTTGCTATGTTCCTATAGGTCTTGATTTTTGTTAGGCTTCTAATATTAGCATAGGAACATTGATAAAATCATTCAATACTGTTAGCTCCTTTTGGATTGCCAGACCACCCAGTTAAGTCGGGGCGCATTATAGCTGAAGTCAGAGTTTGCAGCTTATAGATTACATTTATTTCGAGTGGTGGGTTGAGCATACAGTTTGTTGTTGCTACTTTTCTCTGTGAGAGATTCATATGTAGTAGAATTTGGAAATTTCAAGGCTATGTAGTTAAGGGCAATAAGCATCAACTAGATAGTCTACTTTAGGTTGTATTTAAATTATGATCTCCGCTTGAACATGACTTGGAATTTGCAGTTGCTGGACTAAGGTTGACTGAGAGTATTAGGGAGACAAGATGAACTGTCAGCTTCCACATAGATAAAAAAATATAGCTGCATTCATTTTTTTTAGGTAGTACATAAGCAATTGGCCTCATGAATCTTTTTGAGGTTACTGTTACACTTTGTCAGAGCAATGGATGCTAGCAGTCTCGGGGCTTACTTAGTTCTCAACAGATTTGTGCGATTATCATGTATAATGGATACTTTGTTTGGTTCCTATACCCTCATTTCTACATAATATAGCTGGGTTTGTCTTTTATTATGCTTTTCTCGTGTATTTTCCCCTACTGCTACTGAACTTTGTATACTTATTTATGTATCTTGTTATTTATTTCATCCTAATATAATATTTTATGTGGTTGCAGATGAAAAACTGGGAATCTTTTTTGGGACAGAAAAGTAACGACAACTCCTCTATATATTTGTTTTGAAGGACACCAGTAGGTTTTTTGTTATTTCAAAAGTGAAATCGAAGCTTCTTTTGGACAGAAGAACCATTGGTTACTGGTGGATGGATTTTCCTGGAGGTCATGGATTGAGATAATGGTATTAACATGCCTTTGTGACGTTGGATCATCTTATTTTTAGATTGAAAATCGATGCTTTGGTGGTAATCATCGATTGTCTCGTGAAACTTACAAATGTTATTTGATCACGAGTCCTTGGTTAAGACTTTGCTTAGCGTGTCTGCGGGATGCCTTAGTATCTATCTTGACGTATTGTTCAGTACAGGCTCCAAATTCAGATTGATTCTACCTACCCATTTGTCTATTGTTGAGAATGGGTTGGAAAAGTGAAGCCTCTTATACACAATTCTTTGTTTTTTCTCGTTAGATTTGGCATTAAAATACAATCATGTTGCAATGTGTAGGATAGTGTCAATACGAACCTAACACGTTACAGAAAACTCGATCATTATTTTTGTTTTCATTGATCGAAGCCCTACGTACTCATCCTATGTAACTCGATCATTATTTTTTTTTTCATTGATCGAAGATCATTATTTTTTTTTTTTCATTGATTGAAGCCCTACGTACTCATCCTATGATCAAACATTTGCGTTCTCTCATCTTAGAATCAAAGCTGTTCAGAGCCGTTTATAAATGTGAACTGTCCACTTGGTCGGTCTTGCAAAAAGTAGCCGGATTTGTTCAATCCGTGCCTAATTTAGTCTTTTGTACATTCCCTTTTCCAATTTTGTGTATTTATCTTAGTATTTCATTAATTTCGGATACTGTTTTTGCACCCCTTAGAGCTTAGGAGTAAATAATATTCTTGAGCAATTTTGTACCAATGCATCAACATTCCATATCTGATTTGCAATGGAGAATTTTGATTGGATTATGGTAGTTTTGTATAAACCATATTCCACACACACTATGCATATGTCGATGTAGAAGTCTAAATAAACAGGCCTTATATAGCATTTTTTAGGATTTGAGATAAAATGAAATGTTTTAAAATTTTAAAAGATCATCCATTATATGAATTTTAGCTCCAAAGTTATTATTATTTATAAGGTGAAATTGGAAAATTGAGACTCCGAGGTTGTATATATTAATTCGAGCTTTGTTTGTTACAATATTTCTGGTTATCACATTCTTAAAAATGTCAAATGTAGAAATGTAATAATATAACTTGGATAAACCTAAACGGAAATGTCACGTAATTAGGAGAAAAAATTATATTAGTTGTCCAAAAATTAAAGTATATTTTTAACCGTATCATGAATTTATTATATAATATGAAATATTATTTTCATTTATAAGGATTGGGTGAAATTATTTTATTTATTATAAATAAATTCATTCAAATTTAATTGGACGCCTAAGTTGTAGGATGGATTTTATTAGTTATTATTTAACATAAATAAGTATATATATATATATATATATATATATATATATATATATATATATTCTATGTAAATACAAATTAACTTTCTATTGTAAGTTTTATCTTAAAATAAGATTATAAGTTTACTTTATTATCTAATAATTTTATATTAGTTTATTTTTTTATATATTCTACAACATTAAAAAATACATATTTAGTTATAACTTATTCAAAAACCACTAAACCATTAACTAATGCTTTCATCAATCTTCCTTTGATTTACCCGTTACTTCTGAACAAAAAAACATTGAAGTCAGATATTAAATAAATAAATTAATGAATAAGATTCTTCTTTAAAATATTGAAGTCAGATATTAAATAAATAAATTAATGAACAAGATTCTTCTTCTTAATTCTATCAGTACAAAATAGCAGTGTCACCACAATATTTACAACAAAAATACACTTTAATATATATATATATATATATATATATATATATATATATATTATATAATAAAGTATAATTTTTAGCAAAATTTAAAATTTAAAAATCATTTATATTTTAAGGTAATTATTTTATTGTAGAATATTTTTAATAAAAAATTAAATAAAAAGAATTCTTATTATAAAAATTAATTAGTTAACTTTTTTATTCTGATATTTTCATATTCATAATACTGAAACATATTTTAGCCAACAAGGTTTTTCAATAAAAAAATTATTTAAATAAACATTACATTTAATTGTATGAAAATTTTATCACATTGATAAATAAGTATTAAATTAAATATATAATATATGACTAAAACATAAATATAAAAAAGTAACAACTAATGTGAAAAAATATTCATTTTATTCAAGTAATAATCATTAAAAAATATAAAATAATTTAAAATTAATATTATATTAATAAAGAAAGATTTTGAATGAATGTATGTTCAGAAAAAAGTGTCAAAAAATTATTTTTCTAAAAAAGTATTAAATTAAATATATAATACATTACTAAACCATTCACAAAGGTGGTAAACTTAACACCTTGACTTCAGCTTCTCTTCAAATAAACATTACCTATAATGGTAGGTACAAAGATTTATCACCTGGCAAATACATCACTGAACCATTCACATATAAAGAGCTAATATATAAAAAAATTCACGTAAAAAGATAACATTCATTTTACTCATGTAATAATCATGAAAATAATTTATGAAAAAAAGAAGAAGAAGAAGATTAATATTATATTATTAGAAGAAGTTATGGAATGAATGTCTGATGAGAAAAAAATGTTAAAAAATCTCTTTTTTTTTTAATATTAAATTAAATATATGATACATGACTAAATCAATTCACACAAGGTTGTAAACTGAACACTTTGACTTAACCTTCTGTTTGTTTTTTCATTCAAAATGATCCCGCGAATACAGGAACCCATTTTGAGATTCACAACCAATCCTCAATCACTGCATATCCTTAACTTCTGTTGAGATGGCATGGCAGGTTACAATAAATATTAAATAATAATCACTAGTGGAGAAGCACTCCACATTTTCTTATTTGGTTTCATCTTCCTCTTTCCTCCTTTTTTTCACAAATTATATTGTGAGTTTGAGCTTGTTGATTTGCTTTATTGCTACCAAATAGTAGTGGAAAGAAACCTTTCTTCTGAGAAAAAAAAAAAAATGAGTGAAGAAAAAGAAGCAGACATTACTGGTAACAGTGATAGTGATATGATGACACAGTTGCCAGACCCCATTTTGGAAAACATCCTTTTCTTGTTACCAACTGCTGATGCTGCTGGCATGAGCACTGTCTCCAAGTATTGGCTCAACCTATGGAATTCATTCATCATATTGCACTTTTCCTTCCATGAAAGCACTCAGAAATTTGAAAACTTTTTGCCTTTGGTTGAAGATTCTTTGTTCTCTCTACCATCACCTGCGAAGAATCCAATCATTCACAGCTTTACATTGAACATGCACTTTGGCAAAGAAAGACGAAGCCCTTTTGACATGGATGGTGTGCGTTACATCTCCGAAGTAACTGCTAATGTCAATGATTGGATCGGTTTGGTGCTGAAATATTGTGTCAAGCATCTAAAACTTATTTTTACAAACATCCAATACAATCTGCCCTCGGAAATATTTATGGCAAAATCCTTTCTCTCAATGCATATCCAAGGTTGTTCTATCATGGGATACCCATTTTTTTCCGGTGATAATGCACCCTTTAACTGCCTTAGAGAACTGGTTTTGTTGAAGGTTGAAACAAGTAGTAATAGGATTCACAAGATCCTATCTCACTCCCGCTTGCTTGAGAAAATTGTTCTCAAAGATATTAGTAAAATGAACTCCCTTATAATTTACGACCTTCCCAGGCTTAGTTATGCTGAAATTGATGTAGCACTTGAGGAAAGCCTTGAGATTGAAGCACCAAATCTTTGTACCCTCATCTTACACTTGAAGGGGTCAGTTCAAACTTATGTTTCTGATCATGACTCAGGGTATGGTAACTATGGATTAAAAAAAATTGTTTTTGAACATGCCAAGTTGGAGACTGTGGAGCTGCGCTTCAACTCATGTGCTAGGTTACAGATTGCTTGTTCTAATCTTAGAACTTTGTTCTTGTCAAACAAGGGTTTTGACAATCGACTGGATGTTGAGGTTGATGCCCCAAAACTTAAACAGCTCCATTATGAAGGTAATGTTATTCCATCTTTTCATGGTATGGAATCTCTTGTAAAGCCAACAGTCACACTCAAACTAGGTATTGGAGGTCGTCCTGGTTTGGATGTTGCAGTCAGGAGTTGTATTGAGATGTTCAACCATCCAACAGTGCATTTAAGTTATTTTTATGGCGAGGTATGATTTTACTTATACAAAACTCTCCAACTCTATTTATAACACCAAATTTCCATGATTAACAAAGTTGTTTATAACATTTATCTGTCAAATTTCCAAATTCTTGTTGTTAATTTTTCTCTCTTCTAGACGTTTGCCAACCTTGCACCACCTATTTTAATTTGGAGTATTTTAGTCTAAGAACAATTTACATAAGAAACATCATGGATTATCTATAAAAGAAGAACTAATATTTCTTCTAATTCGGAGTATATAAGTTGTTGATGCATTTTTTGAAGCTTGAGACCTGAGATACTTTGTTGATCTTTTCTCTGTTCCTTGGTTCTTCAACCAGATTTTCAAAGCACAGGAGATTCTGTGGCCAGGACAAGTACAACAAGCTGAGGTTACTTCTCCACCACCTAAAATAAAATGTCTGATATGGTCTATCAGCCCTTCAACACCACCATTAGCTTACCAATTCCTTTTAGATGGTTCACTTTGCAGCTGTCATCCGGAAATCCTACGAGTAGAAGCACATCCCCTAAATTGGGAATTCATAAGGGTAATACAAAAACCAATTTCATCTTTGAAAACAAACACAGTGAGTAAAATATTGCACAAAATATGTTGACCCCAATTATAATCTGTTAATATGCTGACTTCCCTATTAGTGTTAAGAAATTGTGGTTACCTCCTATGTATGTAGTTCCTGTGTCATAAACACAGAATTATTCAGAAGGATTTTTTTTTTTATTTACTGTTTCAGAATGAAGGTTTCTATAAGTTTTAAAACTAGGGAGGGAGATGAATACAGAAAGAAAAGAAAACAATTGTAGTTAGCTTTTGATGTAATTGAGTGTTTTATTATGAACTTGCAGTTCCTTTCTCATGAATTACATAATATAGAAGAAAATCCATCCTGCTGTAAAGATGAACCTAAGTTCAGATGCTGGAGACATTACTTAAAGAGTGTTAATGTTGAGATTCAAAGCCATCCTGAAAGTGAAAAGCCAAAGACATCCAGAGGCAAAGTTTTGACGAAAATACTGAAGTATAGTGTGCAGTTTAACATGAACTGGTCTCGTGATTAATATGAGATCACCCCTTTTCCTTTTGTTATTCCAGGGATGTCTTGAAACTTTCTTCATTCAGTAATTACATAAATGCCAAATAAATGTACACCCTTTGCTCTAAAGTTATTATCCCTTAAGACTGGTAGCAATCTGGAAATAAAAATTTTACTTCTTCAAAATGAAGATTACACTTTAAAAAGTAAACCAGGATATTATAATTATTGATTAAAATATAATGGAGTAAAATGGCTACTCAAAAGTGAGAATTTCCATGTCGTACAGATTATCAAAGTTTGTACTTATTCTTCTTTAATCACTTATTTACATGAATTAGTTTTACCAATTGAGAAATGTCAGTGCTTCATTGGTCAATATGCCGTAAAAAACGAAACAACAGAGTTTGTATGTAACACTGTTTGTTCCTTGCTTCTAATCAATGCTTATAGCAGAAAAGTGTCAGGATGAACTTATCTGCAACTTCTAGCTTAGCACACTGTTTAGAATTTTAAATTTAGTGAAAAATAAGGCAACACTACTATGTTTTCTCTAATTATTATTTTTTTAATAAAAGGAAATATATAATATTATAAATCAATGTGATTTTTCAAATTTACTGATTAAGTGAATCCATAACTGGTCTTGTTTATATTGATTAGATTAGATACTTTGGCTATTACAGCAACTCTGGGTTAAATGAACACCTACATGATGTTCTCCATTACTTTCACAAAATTTACTTACTTGTGACCAGCCAAAAAACTATTATGTTTGCTTAAGGTAATTTTATAAGATGAAGTTGGTTCCTCAAATAGTTTATGCCACTAAAGTTGTGAAGCTCATGACAAATTATTTAAGTATGGGCATTAGTCATTTGAACCAAAGTTAATTTAGTGTGGTAAATTGATGGAAAAACTAATTTGATCTAATAGAAATATTTCAAGAGATAAATGGAAACATTTTAATTATGGGGAACCAAGAGATAAATAAATATAAAATTTAAATAAAGTGTTATCACGTTAAAATTTAGCTATTGGGAGAATATAGTCCAATAACCATTTATGCTGACAACTATTGGAGGTTATTAACCTCCCTCTCTCATGCAACACATTGTACTATTAACAGTGACAATGAAACAAATCAGAAACATCTTTGCATGATTATGAAAGACTTATTATTAAAATCGATAAATTTATGATATATCATTGTTGTTGTAATTTGGTGATAATACGTGCATTGAATATCTTTATATTGACTCTGCATAAAATATTTAGATATTTAGTGAAGTTAAATATTCCTTACAACTTTTATTGTCCACAGCTTTCAGTGTATACAAATAAGAAGAACACTTATTTCGGTGTGAAAAGATAAGCAAAAGAATGGTCAGTCTAGTCTGTGTGTCCATTTCTGAGTTGTATAGTTAACTTAAGTGGTAAAGATAGGGGTTAAGAATTTTGATCTCTTCCCCCTCACTGGAGATTTCGTGTCAGGAAAATTACAATCACTGTCATCTGGATCCTGCACATACCCTTCTTGAGTTATTTTCACAGGGTAACTTACAAGGTGCACACCTTCCATGTCCACAATTTCTTCACTACTGTACATCTCCCACATATGATCCCCTATTGACCTCATTCTCTGCACACATGCCAAACTTTCTGGCTCTAAGAACAATTCCTCAGCACTTCCTGTGTGCTCATACCACAGTGATATTCTGTATGCATGAATATCACTATGGTTTATGTGGTGATCACCTCCATGTTGAGACTGGTAGGCCCCTATGGCAATCTCAGTGTCCCTTTCTCCATCCATGGATCTTTGGTTCACGTTGGCTGATCCTATTAATATGTATAGGTCGTCCACTGGTGTCAAAAGCAACAACAGAAAATGTTAGATAACCTACACTCAAGTTTGTACCACAATTCTAGAATGGTCCAGTTCCGTATTTTTATGCTTAAGCATAAGTTATTTGAACAAATTCATTTGCACAGTTCTATTGGTTATTACTGAAATGAAAAAAAATGATTATAACAAATTATTCTAAATAAGCTTTTGTTGCAAAGTGGTGAGAAAAAAACTGATTGGAGAATAATAGAAGCATACCTATCATCATCTTAGAGTGAACATAAATCGGGAACCTCCTATTCTTTTGTGCATTCCAGTATTGTGTCGCAGGATGGGGAGAAAGTGGTGGAAGAAACTCCTCTTTTTCCTTCTTTTCCCTATTTGCAAGGCAGAAGAAATTCAAGTAATCTCTTGGATGTCCTGGTTCCCCACTTTCTATTATTGCTTCTCCAATCAACTGATACATCATTGTCATTGTTTCTCTAGTCCAGTGCAGTATATCTTGAACTGGTTCACTTTCAGGCACTCCTTCTGGCCACATTGGTATGACTATGTACACTGCAAACCTCTCTCCTGCTTTGATCTTACTAACCACCTTGAGTGCAATCTCAACCGGAATCAGATTGCTGCATCCACTATGCCTATCTTTTTTCCACAAATGGCACCCCCCAATAAAATATTGGTTTTCAATGTATACAAACCTATCAGCACGCCTAATTGCTTCAACATAAGCTTCATGAATGCTTCTCTCCACAGTGAGCTTTCTAAACAACTGGCTTGCAGACGCATGGTCAATTGACCTGTATACTTGAACTTTCCAATTCCTTTCTATACGAGTGCTTGAGCATGTGGGAATGAGATTTTCTAAAGTGTTGGCAGGAACTAGAAGAGAAGGATCACACTGCTTTGTCCATCTTTGCTCAAAATTAGTTAACACATCCCAAGCAGCCTCACCAATAACACAAGCATGAGCATCATGCCAAGGCTCTCTTGGCCCTCCTTTCTTAAGGCTAGCTTGTGCAATGTTTGTCTGGTAGAAGTCAAGGTAATCGGATTCCTCAGCAAGTGTCTGAAACAATGAGTGTTTTTCTGTGTCATATCGGCCACCACACAAATCTATACCACCCAAAAAACTCATAATTTCTCTGGCATGAGCAGAATAGAGTGTTCTGGTGTCCACAGTTATGGTCTTCTGATGGTGAGCAAAGAGTGTGGGGAACTTGTGATGTAACCTGGGACACTTTGTGCATATTACTTTAGTGTGTTTGAAGTAAGCAAAAGCGTCCTCATCGTGAGTGTTCATCACACCTTTGTTCTTAATAAAAGGCAAAGATGTTTCATCATCCCAAATCATAACCCTTACAGCTACTCCTTCATCAGCCTTCTTCTTCAATAGCTCACCCAGATTTATTTCCCTAGCATGAGGGATTTCTGTTTGAGGATCTCTAACCTGCAGAAGAGGCACATTAGCTTCTCAAAAATGCATATCAACCTAGTCCTTTTTGGATTATACATTAAGTCAAAATCAGTTGTTAGCTAAGTTAAATGAGAAAAGTTTTATAAATTAATTTATGAACAAGTTAATTTTAACTTATCAAGAAACTAAAGTATTTTACCATAACCAGAAGAAGTTGAAATGAGATCATATTTACCAGAACCATCTTGGGATTGAAAGACCAGCCTGCAATATAAATCAAATATTTTGCACCCTCAACGGCTTTATAGACATCTTCCCACAGCTTAATCGGAGCGCCACAAAGATCAAAAGGAGGGTGGAAGGTGGATGAATGGTGAGCATCATGATAGAGTTTGACCTGGCAATTGGACCTCAGTGGGAATGTAGCATCCCTCACCCCTTGAAACTCCCCATTGTTTAGTACCTTTGTCCAACTTGGTTCCATTTCTGCTGGCTTGAACCACAACATAAATCTTAACTTCAATTGAGGATTTGGTTTTCCATTTTCCATGAGGAGAGGGAAGAATCCATTGATCAAACTCTCTTCCTTCAACCGCTTGGCCTGCATGTGGAATTTTCCCAAAATGAAACATGATGTCTTCAGTGTAATGGTGATAGTTGAATCATCTGGATGAGCACACTGAATCTGAAAGGTTTGGTTCCATACACGTCCACGTTCTTGAGTCGTTTTCGCCACCTTCTGTTTCCCTATCCTGATGGACACATAAGCAGGTTTTCCTTTTGCATATACACACTGAAAAAAAGTAGAAAATTAACACAAGTTATGAGTTTATAGACTAGTACACAATTTCACATGATAGCTAACACTTAACACATGCAAATATGTTGAATGTTATAGTTACGTGGAGTTTACATTGAAGGGAAAGAAAGGTGAGTAAGGTGTGGCATTGAAGATGGTAGCTTCAATTGTTCCATGGATGAGGAACTTAGACATTTCCTCCATTGATTTAGCCACCAACACTGAGAAGGAGGAAAGTAGAGATTGAAAAGTAGTAACTGTGTTTTGACTTTTGAGGGAATGAAGGTAAATTTACAACTGTTACCAAGGACATATTTCATATATATAAAGGTTGTAAAGTTGGTGTTGCAGAGGAAGAAGCAAAGGGAACCTTACAATGCAATTGAAACTGTTGAAAGGCTGCAAGTTTGGGAAAACTTGTGGAATTATGCATAATAAAACGTATAGTCACAGCCAACTGTCACGTTCATTCTATCCAAAAACACAAGTTTTCGCTTCAAGCTCAAGTTTCTTAAACTCAAATCACAATTTTTCGGCCTCACTATGACCAATCTGAAACATTGGTCGAGTGTTTCGTATATTCTCATTACACATACGAGGAATGCTTCAAAGATTCTCATCCAAGTTCGCATGTTAAACAATGAACATTCTTTTGTCATCAGATACAATTTCATACGATTGCCCAACTCTTTTCTGTTTTTAAAATTTGGAATTTTTAATTGAATCTTGTGAAAATAAATCAAGATATATAGGATAAGATAAGACTTTCATGAACAAAGATAAAAAATTTCATCAAAATAGTAGCATTTTTTTTTCTCTCAGCTGCACATACATCTTAGAAAAAAAAAACTTTTTTTTTATAATAATTTTTAAAAATCCCAGGCAGAAAAAAGTAATTTTCTATTTTTTCAGACGATTTTTTTTTCATAAAAAGCATAAAAAAATGAAAAAATTTATATAATAATCATTTAAAAAGATACCACTTTTTTCAAATACTAAATGATTGATACTTTAAAATTTTAGAGACCATTTTATCATTTTACTTATTTTAGAGATAAATGTGTTTCTCTTTCACAATTACAGTGACTACTTTAATTGACAATTAATGTAAATTCTCAGAACTATTTTAATAACTTTAAGAACTAATTTAATGAAACATTACAAATTTAAAAACTAAATTAATATTTAATCTAAAAAATAGTTTATATGATTTGAAAAAAAAAAAAAATATATATATATATATATATATATATATATATATATATATATATTGTCTTTATTATTATGTTATTAAATTAATCTTTGAACTTTGATAAGTACTCAAAGTGAATTGTTTCAATATTATACAGACACCAATAATTACTTTTTAATTAAAAGCAAACTTAGTTTTAATTGGAGAGAACAAATTAACCGTTAATTTTGCCAACTTTATTGGAACAAATCACGTGTGAAATGCTTATCACTAGCACAATCATAGGAATATTTTATTAAATGTTATTCAATTAAACACAAATATATCATTTTCACAAAATTCCTTCTATTTTCTTTTATGTAAAACTAACCTAATCCCACTTAAACATTACGTTACACCAAAAAAAGTTATTATTATAAATTTTTTAAAATAATAAATTCAAATATTATTATTTTTTTAAAATTCATAAATTTCATATTGTTCAACTAATAACTAAAAAAATAGTTTATATAAAATTCACATGTGGATTGAGTTCAAACTTATAATTTTTTTTTCCTAAAATGAACAACTACGAAAGTAAATTATAATAGATTCGTAAATTTTAAAATCATCTACTTGTCACAAATTATAAACTAAAACACAATATAAATAACAACAATAAAAATATTAAATGAAAATATAGTATAAAAAACAAATGATCCAATTTGAACCAAATCACATGCTTTATGCTTTGCACTAACATCATGTGATTCAATTTTTTAATGCACATGTGATCAACTTTTTTAGACTTTTCAAGTGCTTGGTGAGGTCACCACTTAAAAGGCTTATTTTAAGTTTTTTTTTTTATCAAAATATGATTACTTTTGATTTACAAGTGAAAATAAGATTTAAAATTATTAATCTATTTTCTCTTTGTTATATTATATTTTATTCATTTAAAAATGGGATATTCATAAATAAAAATATCAATCATTAATATATAAAATGAGATTTTTATATCAATTATTTTAGATTTTCTACGTGAAACACAAATTTAACATGACATAAATTTATATTAATATAATTAATTTTTCAGATATTAATTAAATCAACAAAATTTAGATGAAAGAAAGTAAATTATATCATATCAATCAAACTTTATATAATAATTATACCTTTCCCAGTTAATATACCGTGTATATAACTAAACTCAAATAATTTTTTTAAAAATTAATATTATTAATTTATCGTATATTTAATATCAATTAAAATAAATTTATAATTATTTAATAATAAATAAGAAAATATGAAATTTCTAATTAATTATTTTAATAAAATTTTAAAATAATATTATTTATTACCTAGTAAAAATTATATAAAATTATATTTTTGAAATACTTATTGTCGTTATTATATTAATATTATCAATAATTTAATGAAAATGAAGCTTCTGCATAAATTTATTCAACAACACACAATTGTTTTTTTTTTCAACAATAATCATAATTTAATACGGAAATGAATGATTAAGATTACATCAACATTATATATAATTTTGTTGAATTCTGACCACAATTAAAACAATTCAAGTTATTTCTGTAATATCAGTAATTTTATAATTTATTATTAACTAATATAATACAAATGATAATTAAGATTTATTTGTAATCCCATTAAAGAAAAAATAGTTTAATTTTGTAAGACTCATATTTTTCTTTATAAGCGTATTATAATGTAGATATGCATATATGAACAAATGCTTTAAATTGATTTTATCTAATTTTATTATAAAGATTATTATGTTCATGACACATCAACGCGAACGTACATGTCATTTACTAGTTAATTTATTAAAAAGAGGTTATCATTCTGATCAAAATTAGTTTAAATATCTCTCTATTTTATTTGTTTCTTTATTCTTGAATTTTAATCACATGGACATTTCAATTTTTTTCACTTTTTAATAATCAACACAAGTTGATTACATAACGTATTTTACATTATTATTATTATTTAATTCATCATTTTTATAAGATAACAACTACTCTAAGGTGACATTAATTTTTTATTTATTTGTTGTCGTGTTTCAACACTAATTCAAACTCTCTCTTTTTTTCTTTGCGTGTTTTTAAACATCTTATGTATGGTTAATCACATGTTTCAACATTGTATTCAGCGAATTGTGTTTTATATCAATTAAAAAATCAATGTTAAAAAATCAATTTAATCCTTTAATAAAAGATTTTGCATCTACGAAGGTTTGAAAGACGAGGTTTTGATAAAAATATAATTATTTTAATTGAAAAAACTATTTTTATAAAAAAATATATATATATTATTGGTTTTCCCTTAAAGGTTGAATAGTTGTTATAAAGAAAAAAGAAGAAGCATAAATCCTTGAAGTTTGAATAACATAAAGTATGTTTCTTGAAGCATTGAGAACCCAAGTCTAAAAATTTCATATTCATCGTCGTCATCGTCATCATATGATTCGTTAGAGAATTAGTTTCACATACCAAACAACCTGAATACAAATAAACCTTAATTCAAATAGAACTCTACTCCTCCACTACTTTATGTTGGTGTGTGTAATTGAAAAACTTTAGTTTAAAGCACGAGCCATCAAATTAAGGAATTTTATTTTATTCATGTGTTTGTGTTTGAATATTACTTCATAGCTCGAGCCAGCAATAAAACATGTCGCAATATTTTCAAGTGGATTAATATAGAAATTTTTTTAATAACGAGCCTTAAGTTAATTATATAAGATAGTATGATATTATTTTCAATTTAAAATCTTACAATATTAAGTTATAGATTTTTTTATTCATATATTGAAACTTTTAAACACTTAATTCAAAAAATACTTAACCGTATTCTATTCATTCTCATGATATCAATTATATAATTATCAGGTAAAAAAATTTACATGAAAAATAAGAAATTTACTCAAAATTTTAAGCGAGTCAAAACAATATATATATATATATATATATATATATATATATATATATATATATATATATATATATTACAATTAAATTTTAAGATCAAATTTATAAATTTATAACTGATTATAAAATTTAGAGGAGTTGGACACTCCATATAGAAAGGTTCCATAATTGATTAAATATGAAAAAAATATATCATTGATTGAATGTAAAAAAAATGTTTGTTTAGATAAGGATTTGATAATATATTCTCGAGAAGGTTAATAAAGAGAAATTTTTATAAATAAGATCATAAATTAATTTTGTAAGACATCGCGTTTAAAAAAAAATTAAAATATTAATATTTAGATACTTTTCATTTATAAATTATTTAAATTTTTTATTATATAAATTTCAACTTTATTATAAATAAAAACTATTTTAATTTTTTAAATTTAAAAACAGTGTTTACAAAATTTTAAACTGAAAATATATTAAAAGGATTTTAAATTTAATATGTGTTATTTTAGTTTTGTGTAATAGTTATAGCTACCTTAATATTAATAGGAAATATCCCATATATGAGATTACCATTTTTATTAGGTGTTTTTAGTTGAGTAATTTAAATGTAAATATAAGTTTATAAATGATAAAGTTGAATTTATATTTTTATTGATATTGTCTTTTCTAAATGAATTTTTTTCTCAAAATACTCAATAATAATATCATAGTCAATAGTTTGTGTGGTGACCGTGAGTTTAAGAGTAGTTCTTATATAGTGGATTAATGAACTCTCACTTGAAGAAGAGATTATTTGATGTGAACATGACCTATGATAAGAACTAGAAGAAGAAAAACAAATGCAGTTCTTCAACAAGTATTGTTGGTTGATCAAATTGTGTTTTGGATTAATCAATTAATGGACTTTAGTTTGGTTTTATTGCAAGTTGTAATAAGGGTCCAATTGAAAATTTAGTTATTAATCTTTGGGAGACAAAAATTATGTATAGGTGATTGACTTTTGGATGTCATAATTTCAGTTACAATATATCATTAAGTAGTTTTCAACTCGTAGGTTAATAAATCATTATTAGTATTTATTTTCCTTTAATGAATATTTGTAACTCTACAAAGCTTCTATATAGACTGAACTATTTTTATCAGAAATAACAAGTTGAGTTTTATTTTTAGAAATATTAGAGTTTATCTTTTTTATCTTAGTAAGAGTGATTATCTTAAGTTTTTGAGTGATTCAAGAACCTTTTGGCGGTATCAAAATACTTTCACATCTTTTGTGAGTTGCCTCTATTGGAAAGAGTAATTCTTTCCTTCCATCTTATCACTAAATTCCTAAATTTCTTACAAGATTCTAACCCTAAAAATCTTAAATCACTCCTTGTAATTCATATCATTATTAAAGAGAAAATTGAGTAATATATAAAGACATTTTCAATAAGAACAACTCACGTAAGTTGCTTCTTACCTTAAAAAATATAAAAGAATGATTTATAATATTACGTCATTTTTTAACCAACTCTATTGTTGATTTTACTCTATTTAGAAGTTTTCTTAATAACTTTTAAAAAATTCATTCTCTCTCCTATTCTCTCTCTTCATTTATTTTGATTTGATTATTTTTATAAGTTACTTGATGAAACAATTATAAAAATAATTTAAGTATTTATCATGTCACATTATATTCTTCTAATTGAATATTTTTTTCAAACAATTATAAAAATAATTTAAGTATTTATCATGTCACATGATATTCTTCTAATTGAATATTTTTTTCAAGTAATTAATATTTATTTAAGCATATCGATAAATAACTTTGATTGAAGATACTTTAAGGAAATAAAATTTATAACCTATATACCTTAAAGATTTTGGGTTGAAGTAATAAAAATTTATAACTTAAATGACTTAAGATGAATTTTTTATGGGAATTGTGTTATTGGCTGTCTCTCTTAATAAATTTCTCTTAAAAGGTCAAACTTTTCCTTTACATATATTTTTTTATTCACAAAAATGAAATAATGTTTTTATATATATAATATGTTTGTTGATTAACTTATTAGGTGATGAATTTATGAAGATCTTGGTAAAAGTTTGTGAGTTAGGGCTTGAAGAGGGACCTCTCCAGAGAATTGAGTTTGTTGGTGGACACAAGACAGCAAAGCAAAGGAGAAAAGGTTTGTAGAGGATGATACTTATCAGTTGAAGATTCAAGCAAAAGAAAAAACAAGTCCTTCTTCTCCGGGTACCCTTGTGGACACGTGCCCTTTGTTCATTCGTTACCTTGCCGTCCTACAACGTTGGTTCAACGTATGTGGTCTGGTCTCGTCCATTCAAGCCGTGTCCCTTCTTTTGAGTGTCAATTGCTTCAAGTTAAAAACACTGAATTAAATTATATAAAAAAAATCATTCCCAGTTCTCAAAAATATACTGAGTTTAAGAGGCCAATTTGAATATTAGACGAGACTTGGTGATTGAATTGAATGTGTTTAAAATAGAAATTAGGTTAATTTTCAACTGCATCATCCATGGAGAAAGTGGCCCAAGGAGGAAGACAAACCCTCAGCCACGTTACCATTAAAATAATCCATAACTTAATAATAATAATAATAATAATAATAATAATAATAATTCAAAATATAAAAAAATTTAAATAAAATTGGAGACTTTATTAAACGAAGGAAGGAAGGAAAGAGAAGGGTGTTCCGCAACCATGACCAGCTACGGCACAATCCCAACCTCTTCTTCACCTTCCACAAACCTCGACTTCATCTCACGCGCCAAGCACCGTGTCAAGGAGGGTCTCGCCACGCGCCGTCCATGGAAGCTCATGTTCAACCTCGGTTCCTTCGGCCTCCCCGCCGGTTTCTCCGACGCCGTGGGGCGCGTGCGGGAGAACGTCAGCTTCTTCCAGATGAATTACGCCATCGTCGTGCTCATCGTCCTCTTCCTCAGTCTCCTCTGGCACCCAATCTCGCTGATCGTCTTCGTCGTGCTGATGGCGGCGTGGCTCTTCCTCTACTTCCTCCGCGACGAGCCGCTCTTCATCTTTGGCCGGATGATTAGCGACCGCGTCGTGCTCGTCGTCATGGCGGTGCTGACCATCGCGCTCCTCCTCCTCACCGGCGCCATCCCCAACATCCTGGTGGCGCTCCTCATCGGAGCCGTCTTGGTGGTGGCGCACGCCGCCTTCAGAAGAACCGATGATTTGTTCTACGATGAAGAAGAGGCCACTGCTCGCTTCGTTCCTCCTCCTCCTCCTCCTCATTCCGGTGCCCCTCTTTCTTGATCCCCAATCTTTTCCTTCCACTTCGTGTCTGAATTTTTTGATTTGGTGAATTTAGTAAATGATTTTAGGTTCGCTTCAGTTTCTTCCTTCTCTTTCAGTTTAATGTTTTTGTTTTGTGCCCTTTTTGAATGAGAAATTTGGAAGTGGAGTTTGTGAAGCTAAAGATGTCGGTTGCCATCCATGAAGTGAAATTCATTGCTTTCGTTTTCCGTGAAATCTGATTCCTGCTTCTGTTCTAATTTCGAACCACAATTTCTTGAGCAGTGATATCGATTTGCAAAGAGGGTTAGTTGGATACTTCAAATTGAAACGTAACTAATTGAATCATATCTAATTTTGATAGTCCCAGTTTGAGAGTTTCTTTGTTTACAATTTATTAATTGAAGTTTTGGGAAGATTATCAATAATTAAAATTTTCTTTCAATCTTAATGAGTTGATAATCTCAATATAGTAATGGATATTTATCATATATTCAACCAAATAGATTGAAACATCTCCTTAAATCATCACTGTTGTTATAATTGTAGTTATCATCACTGTCATCGATGTTATCACTATGTTAGTTTAGTTTACTATTCACATCATATGGCTTTTAACGAAACTTCTAATGTAAAAAAATGAGTTGTCTCCTTCGTTAAAAATCTATGCCCTTGCAAACAATTTCATGTTTGTATTAGGTCTTTTTAGCCAAAAAAAAAAATTAATACTATTTGTGGCCCATATTTGACATTCCAGCAAAAGATAGCGCTTGTGTAACGTGTTAAAAAAAATGAGAGACGTGTGTAATATTTTAGAAAATGAGGGGTATTTGTAAAACATGAGAAAATTCATATAATAGTTTTTCAGTAGATGAAGAGGTAGATGAGGAAAAGTAAATGCAAAAGAATAATGAAAAAAACTTTTAACAACTAACAGTCAATTGATGGAGATAAAGTAGAAGTGTCAGAAGTAATGATTTTGAATTGATGTGGTCCATTTCATGTGTAATTACATCCAATTCGTGAAGTGTTTTGTAATTAACTCAGTTAAATATGAAATAAATAATATACACATTACTTAACATAGTTTATTTTCTTATTTAAAAATATTTATTATAATTAATTTAATCATTATTAAAATATAATTGTTTGTTGATAAGAAATCTATCTGTTGCTTGAACATTGAGGTGCTTAATGCCAAAGATAATTATTTATTAGCTAATAGTTAAAAAAATATGTCTACAATATATACCTATTAAATATTTACAAATTCACAATATTCCAAATAATTGATCATTGAGCCCGTATAATATTTTTTTGAAGGAATGCATGAAACCGCGTAGTTTCTTAAATAGAATCTTTTTCTTTCATGAAACCTGAGAAAATACTTTTGCATGAGGATTCTTGTAAATATTAGATTATATTTAGAATAGAGAATTGTTTAAATTCTAATTAATAACATAAATGAAAAATGTTATATTTAAAAAAGAAAATAGATTTATGTTAAAAATTAAAAGGCGCTCTTAAAATTAATCTACAAATATAATAAGAAATTTATATTTGAACCTATACATTACATAATAAACATATAATTATAATTTATAATAATAAATAATTTAAGTTTATAATAAAATTACTCTCAAATTAAATCAAATAGACGGTTGAGAAAATTTATGTAGCAAAAGACAGATAACAGTTTGATGATAGTAGAAAGATATTTTTAATATCAAGTTGCATGCTTCATGAAATGTATCCATCAAAGATGAGAGAGGACCCGTTGAAAAGAGAGACCCTTGCCCTTCAAGTTGAAAATTCTTATACCATAGGAATAAATAACAAAAAAACATTTCTCATCTTCATAGTTAGAAATGAAACTTTCTCATGGATGGTAATTAATATCAACTTAAATAATGATTTAACATAGTTATATTTAAAAATGAAAACTCCTTGTACTAATCAGTATTTTAGATCTAAGTGGCTCCGTTGAAATTGGATCTAGAACAAGCCTTACATCCATTTGTTTGTGTCGGTAGCCTTTAATATATTGAGAAAGTAGGCAAACTTCATTCTAAACAAGGGTATATGGTTTGGACAAAGCGCTATAAATATTTACAAAAGCACCATGATTAAGCAACCTATCTTTTCTCAATATTTTCTTGTCCAGAAGATAACACCATAAGTAGAAAAATATCAATGCAAAACTTTACCTGCCCATTCGCATTATGATATGATGCTCTGGGCGCCCGCAATGATCAATAATTCAGGTTACCAATCTTGGCCTCAAATCCAAGCACCAACACTTGTAATCCGATCTAGACATGGCATAAAGTTGATCTGGTGTGAGGTTGTCAAGTTCCCTGGATCTCCAGCTATCAGGCAGACTAACAATACTGTTTCTAGGAGTCAATGTTCCATGGCCTTCCTCTGGATGAATTTGAGCTCGTATTCTCTTGTATAGTCTCATGACAGAAATACAATCTTCATACGGGTCATGAGTGCCTAATTGGATATCATAACTGTAAAGCAAAAGAAAAATTAAAAATAAAATAAAATTGTGAGCAGTTAACCACCCTAATCTGAAGGTTAAACCGGTAAATATTGATGCACATCGTGGATAGATTTTCTGCTTTAGCCAGCAACTAGACACTTTAAAGAAATGTGGAAAACTAAGTTGTTAATGTGTTTAGGTTGGATGGTGTTTACTAAAGGCAGGGGATCTAGATAAAGAGAAAAATAATGCCGATTTCTTTACATTGAATTCTCACTCCTAACCATAGGAGAACTGTCCCCTTCTTATGACACATCCACACATGCAAAAACTTTGGACATATTTAAGATGCTTGTAACGAGAGATGAGAGAAACTGGCTTACTTGTTCTTCAAAGTAAAAGCCAAAAATCAAAACTCATTTTTTCTTTAAATTGATATAAACATGTATAAAAAAACCAAGTTAAAAATCATTTTGGCATCATTTATGCTTTAGAAAGAAAAAAAAGATACTCAAGTTTTTTATTTTTGGATTTTGAAACAAATTTCAAAATAAATTCATTTGACTAAAATGGAGACGAATTGATTTTTAACTTGGTTTTGAAATACTTTTATCAAAATTAAAAAAAAAAAAAGTATGGGTTTTGACTTTTACTTGGAAGAACAAGTAATTCAGTTTCTCTCATCCCTTATCAACCATCCATGTAACCTGTCATCACTAGAACTACCACCCATCACCTTGCCGCCAGTTTACCACCATTGTCACCACTACTCTAGTTACTATCACTGTCAGACCACCACTGTTGTGCCCGTTACCAATCCACCATGGTCATAATTGTTGCAGCTCCCCACTAGTCAACTATCATTGTCCTACCTGTTGTCAGTACCATCATTCTCATCCTTACAACTAGAGTCATGGCCTTAATCACCAGTCACCACCTCTACTTATTACCATCACCACCTCCACTATCGCCCCTAACTCTGCCACTTCAACTGTTACCTCTCAAACCACATTTGCCACCAAACAGACCCAGATGGTGAACAGTGATTTAGGTGGTTTGGACTTAAAATTCGGTACTAAAATTTAAAGAGTGAAAACCACAAAAAAATGAAACTAAAAAATAATTAAACTTAAAAACTTATTTTGGTAAATAAAATTTTATGATTGACAATCACCTTGAACACAGACTTCAGCATTAGTTTATTTGTATTCAATATAAGAAAGTGTTACTCACCTTGAAATGATAGTCAATGAACAATATTTCATACAAATGGAACCTATTAGATCATTCCAATTTTTTTTTTTTTTTTAAATAAAAGGAAAACTTGAAATTGGAAGAAGCAATCATGGAAAAAAGATTGAAGTTCAAATTAACTTACCCAAGATAAGTTCGGGTGAGATACTTGAGCGAATGGCTGACCAAGTTTGTCTTCATCAAGGGACGGTACTTTGCAGTGTCTCTACAATGCAACATAAATAATAATAATAATTACAGAGATCTGCTCTCAAATTAAAAACTGTTCATTCAAGGAGAAAAATAATCTGGCATGATCCAATATAATAATAATAATAAAATAAATAAAAAGCTTCTAAATAAAAATAGATCTTTAAAGTCTTGAAACTTGTTAGGATACCACCTTATATGATAAAAAGGACAAAAACAGAAGAAATTCAGGGATTTCTAACAACTGTTTAGTTCATTTATCATCATGAATCCTTAAAGTGATGATAAATAATTAGTGTATGACATTGTTGTCAAGAATGATTCTGCCAAGCAGGACTAAGAGCAATTAAGTTACTCAAGAAGAATCTACCTTAGCATATGATCAGGATAATTCATATTCAAGCAATCTAAATCATGTGCTAAGTCATGCCCCACAAGAAGCCTGGCCTTTCCACCATCTCGTCTAACTTTGGCAAAGGATTCTCCATTGTATAGAATTTGCAACACTTTTTCTCGAACTTCCTTTAGGGGCATGGCATTTCTGAGATGTTCTTCTGTCAATCCAGTTATATCATATCTGAAAATATAAAAAAAAAATCAACCCTAACATTTATTCCCTATTCACTTTTCTCTTTGAGAATAATGCTTAATTGGATTAGAAGTGAGTAAAGAAATACGAAGAATAGAAATAAAAGATAAATGTAGCTGAAAAAAAAAATGTTGTTTGGATTGATAAAAATAAGGAGGAAAGACGAAGGGGAACTTGCCTCGTAATTTTTGGAGGAGTGAAAGGAAATATATAAATTGTATGAAATATCCGTGCACTAATTTAATCCAAAAAAATATTTTTTTCTATTATTTTCATCAATAAATTATTTATTATTTATAATTTTTTTGTTATAAAAATATTATTTAATTTTTTAAGAAACTTAGAAAAAAAAATGAAAAATAGACATCATCTCTCCACTCTAATTCGTGCCAATTTTGAAAGGGGTCCTTTAGAGAGAACTTCCCTCATCCCCGTTTCAGCTCTCAGAAAAATAGAGAAAAATTTTATTTCTATCTTGTCTACTCTTTACTTTCCTTCTCCCTATCAAACCTAAAACAAGCACCGTGTAAGAGAAAACAACGAAACAAATTCAAAGTACCTGTAATTAGTAACAGGTATTCGAGGCTGTACATAAGTGTGAAAGATTAAGTTCTCATCTTCATCAACCAAACATACTCTTCCACAAAGTTCCAGAGAACCATCACTTCCTCCACCAACCATTTCACAGTCCATTGCAACTGCTCCCCCAGGGCCCCCGCCAACATGATTTTCATCAGAAGGACAGTCAAATTGGGAATCTATATAGGGCAGTTCCCTTGTTCCCTGAAACAGTTCCACACACAACATAAACTTCCTAATAGATAATAAAACAATATACAAGAGAGGCAGGTTTCTTTGATTACTGACTGTGAACAGTATAGGAAAGTTAATTTTATATAAATGCTTAAGATTGTCAATTATCAGCTTACTAGACGAGTAGGGGCATATACGCGACATGTTTCTTTATGAACTAGGAGAGACCCAGGACTATCAAATAGTACTAAGCAAAGTTGACAGCCCTGTTGAGAGAAAATCTTCGAACAAACTCCCCTTGGCAAAGGTCCTAAAACGTAGTTAAACAAATCACAAGAAAATACAATGAGAATAAAGCACGGATGCAATAAGTAGATTCTACAGCACAGATTGAATGCATATATGACTAACCAGTAAGATGTTCCCTCAGAGACTCAAAAGATTTGCAGTGCTTTTGACAGACCCCACACATAGGTTGATGGACAGAATGGTTTGAGGTTTTCATGTGCTCAATTAGATGTTCTTTCTTCTTGTATTGCTTATAGCATGCTGAGCATTTGTGTCTGCAGGAAAAAAATCAGCTATTCTTCAAACAAACTACGCCAAGAAACATTTATAAGCAAAGGAATAAAAAAAAAAAAACAAAAACTGAGTGTAATGATTTCAATATATATTATTCTACTCAGAATCATGAAAGATTCCATCAGTCATTATATATTCCAGATACTCATTTGTCATTGTAAATATTAAATTCAGGCAATTATATACATCAGATGCTCATTAGCCCCCACAAACTGATTGAAAACTAACTAGAATATTCTCACACACAAGTGACTTTTCTAAAGTGCAGCAGAGAACAAAATGCAGCTTGAACCAATTTAAAAACTCAATAATTTTGAATTTGATTCTATCATCCTCTAATTTGTTTTATGACAATATTCGATTCCCCGGTTAAGGAAAATACCATGATCAATCATGATGGAAAATAAAACAAAGAAACATCGAAAGTGAGGCGCAGCAGTTTGACCTTATAGTAGGGTTTTCACTTGAGTTGGCCTCGGCGTCCATGGGAAATGAATGGTAAAGCAAACGCATGCAAAGTTTGGTTTGGTGTGGCACAAATATGATGAAATGACTCTTATTTCGCGTCAATAGAAGAATCCCAACATTTTGTAGTATCCTGGGGTACAAGGATAATCAGGTCCTCTGAATGGCCTCTTCCAAAACCTAAAGAAGAAGCTTTGAGCCAGAAAGCAGCTAAGAGGTAGGAGTGCTAGCAGCACAGTAGTTTCAATTTAATAAATTTAATTTGTTTAAAATACATCATTCCAGCCATTATTTATATTAAAATTTAGTGTGTAATGATAAACTTTTATCATTATAAAGTTTATATAGGGATTAAATTCATCAAATACATATTTTTTTAATACTTTAAATTCAATATTTAATAACAATTTTATATGTACAATTATGAAATATTTACATATATTTTAAAAATTAGAACTGATTAATTCATTTTAAAATAAAGTTACTAAAATTAAGATTGAAGAACGATATAAAAGCAAAAATATAGTTAATTAGTTAATTTAAAATATAAATATAATAACAAAATTATTAAAATTACTAGATTTTTTTAATTTTAAAAATAAGAAATATTATATATATAAATGGTTTAAAAATAAAAATGTTATTTTTAGTATGAGTTTCATTTCTATAAATTACTCAAATTAAATAAATTTATTCATATAATTAATTTTTTATATTTTTAAATAACTTAATTATATTAGATTCCCACTAAAATAATATTTTTATTCATAAATAATTATTCAAATAATTCTGTTTATAAATTACATATTCCCTCTATAAGTCATTAGATATAAGTATGGATTTATGGTTTTAATTTGTAACACAAACTGTAAGAACCATTATTAGGATCATTAGATTAGTACAAAGTGTGTGGCAAATAGGTTCTTAGGAACAATTTTAATTATCTATCATGAATTTAATTTTCGGTGAAATATTTCGTTTAGTGGTTACCTAACAGTTATATCTAATCATTTTACATTTATAATTGTTCTAAGTGACGTGAAGCAATCGTTTTAAAAAATTTAAATACACAACAAATTGAAAATTTTGAAGAACTAAATTTAAATTTAGCCTATTTATATGAATTAAAAACATTTTTTTCATAACCTCGTCCTCTCTATCAAACCAAACAATGCATAAAGTAATATAAACTTAAGCCGAGAAAATTATCTTTAGCTCTTGCTAAATCTAAGTCCTATTATAATCTTACACCAATTTCGTAGAGAATAATGAAAAAGTAAAAGTGGATTTGAACAAAAACACAAAAATGGCATAAAAGCTAAATGAGAACTTAAACCTCAGATACCAAAAATGAAAAAGACAAAGCAATAATGACACTACACGTGGCACGTACATGATGAACAGGTACCTCTGGATTCTGCAAGACTTGTATCAACGATGAACCCGAGGATAACTTGTGTAATCCTTTGTAACAAGATGCTAAAAGATAACCCAGAAACAAACCTTTGACATGCCAATTGATCACGTTCAACTTCTCAGTCTCACTCTTTTGTCATCATCAGCCAACCAAGGTTTCTTTGTTTCACATGCTTTTCATATAATGACACCTCAACTTTTCACCCTTCAAATAAAGCCACCACTCTTAACTTTTTCTATTGCTAGTTAAAACGACCAGCCTCAGCTCAAGTTTGTTTGTTTCTTAAAAACAAGGCTAACGAAAGCACATGCATTGGGGAAGGATTTAACCAAACATAAAAAAAAAAAAAAGCTTTTTTATCCATTTAATGAGCATAGTCTGATGAGGTTGTTTAGCACAGGATTACATAATTTTCATAAAAGAATTTCAAAAGCTTCTATATTACTTATCCTACTTTCACACACTAGTACTATACACATGCAAAATTAGATTATATTGCAGAGAAATAGAAACATAACTAACTACAAATGAAAAATACTAAGACTTAGCATAACAAGACAGCAATCTTCTTCGTGAACTGTTTTAACTGTAGTCTCTTCACATGTTGTCTGTCCACTGAGACAGACCCGTTGCTTTCCAAATAGGCAAGGCTTGAACTCCGAGCTTCCCAATGAAAGCTTCCAGTGACTCTTACAACAGGGAGACCACTATTGTTAGGGAGACCACTATTGTTATGGCGCTGTCCTTTCTGGCCAAAAAGCAAAATCAACCACTCCTTTTTCCCACTTCATAACTGGGAGTTGAAATGTAATTTGGGTCCATTACCGTGTCGCCATCCAGTATTCGCAGAACCTTCAACAAACAAGACAAGTATGACATCAAAGATCAGGTGGGGGAAACCATAAGTGGTGTAACATCAATGCACAAAGTTAGTGTTTAGAATATTGGAAGTAGTTGCTATTCTTGGTTCTCACAATAAAAAATAATCAAGATTGATTTCATAAAAGTTAAGTGTTCAGTTCAGCACAGGAGGAATTCCTTCAAGTTCCCAATTGACAGTTGGATGTAACCTATAAGCCTATAACTTCTTAGATCAAGTTTTAGTTTAGGAAATATGTATGTAATGTGTAGCCCACTCATGTAAAACATGACAAAACAAAAAAAAATTTGTTTAATTCTTCTCACCTGTGACATGCGTGGTCTAGAATAAGGATCTCTCCTTATGCACAATGAAGCAGCATGTAGCATGCAATAGACCTCATGCTCCGAATAGTGACTTCCCAACCTTGGATCAATTAGTTCTTCGATGGCATATTCTTCTAACAGTGGTCGTGCCTGTTTAATATCCATATGCTCACATAATTACTCAAGGCAAAACATTGAAAGAAATTTATGGTCCACCCTTTATCTATTGGAGTACCGTGCTTCTTATGATGGAACTTGAACTCTCAAATGATGTCATCGTCACAATTAAAATCATAATAAATTAGATATTAATATCATTTGACTTACCCACTCAGTAAGACACTGCTGTCCCTTTGGCCTAGTGAGATCCACAGCCTTTCGCCCTGTAACAAGTTCCACTAATACCACACCAAAAGAATAAACATCAGCCTTTTCAGTAATTTGGCCGCTTTGAGCATATTCAGGAGCCAAATACCTACAAAGCACCAACAAATCTTAGTTGAATTGTTTATATTGTGCAGACAAACTAGACAATGAAACTAAAGAAGGATTAATACACTGCATACCCAAATGTTCCAATTACTCTAGTTTCCACTCCTGTGTCACCATCAGGCTGCCACCTCGCCAGTCCAAAATCACCAACCTTTAAGAATGTAACGCCACTTGATTAACTGAACTTTTTGAAAGAAATATGAAGCAGTGGTGCCTTTCATTTGTAACCTATAAAACCATACCAGTGGTTCAAAATCATGAGTGATAAGAATGTTGTTTGGCCGCATGTCTCGGTGGATGATGCAACCCACTCTGCACTCTTCATGAAGATATCGCAACCCTCGGGCAGCTCCAACAGCAATTTTTTGCCGGGCAGACCATTCTAATGGTTCTCGTTGTCTACCTGATAGAATTCCAAGTAATGTCCCGTTAACAAATCATTCCAGTATCAGTAAAATGCACCCTATACTATATGATGGTGCAATCACTTAATGCGAAAATAACACAATATTTACATATTCTGGATTACTAGTCTTCAAGAACAAGAGAAGTCCTACTCCAACCAATGGTTTGGCAGGCATATGAAATGAAAGTCTTCAAAATCACTCAAAAGAATAAATGCATGATAGTTGAAATATTAGCTTTACAAATATTAGATGATACATAACTTTTCAAGTAACGTATAATCTGGACCTTTCACAGACTACATGAATATGCATGTTCAATGAAGTTCAAACCTACTACTAAAAAACATGACCTTGCCTTGACAAAACTTGGTGTGAAAGCAAAAGAAATTACCATATAAGTGAGAATCCAATGATCCATTACATATGTACTCATAAACCAATAGCCTTCTCTTATCCTCTATACAGAAACCAATCAACATAACAACATTTCGTTGCTGAGCACAGCTCAGGACTTCTACCTCTGAGCAGAATTCAAGATCACCCTGAGAACTGGCTAATTTATGTTGCTTCACAGCAACGACTTGTCCATCTGGCAGAACCCCTCTGTGAACAGATCCAAATCCTCCTTCTGCCAAGAAATTAGCGTGCGAAAATCCACCAGTGGCAAGCTCCAATTCAGCATAGCTGAACCATCGGGGAGGTTTTCCAAAAACAGGAGCCTTGTGTTGACAGATTGAACACAACGGAGGTGGACCAGGTGGAGTATTACTAGATAATGCTATTGCTTCTCGTACATTTCCACTGAAATCCAAGTCAGTCTTGTAGGTTGAGCTTTCAATTTCAGCTTCTCTATCAAGTCTAGAGAACTTTTCAAGTAAAGCTCTAGTAGTACATGATTGAACCCTATTATGCGGCCTCTCCGTTTTTTCTTCCTTCGGTTGAGATGACCGTTGATGCAAAAGTAAATCTGTGATCCATGGCTGGAATCTCAAGCTTGCTGAACATGTGGACAAGTTTTCACTGTCTGTGTCTGATATAGAATCACCACGTTCTGGATTTTCTTTGATAGTTTCCTCTTTTTTTGAGTCACTGTTCATCTCAGAGATGAAAAATGGTGAAGTTCCTTGATCGGAGCTTGAAACCGATGAAGTACCAGCTTCCGTAGCAGTGAAAGGTGTCCCTAGCTCAGGGCTGCTAGATGGAGTGACAACCGGACCTTTTAAGGAATTTAAAGAATCACCCTTGTTCTTAGTTTGTTTTCCAAGTATCTGATCTTGTTCAGAAGGTAGAGAACATAATTCTTCAAGATCCTTTTTTTTGGTCCCAACCAAGTTCAAGCGGAGTACCTTAGGTTGAGAACGCTTCATAACCACAATGTTGCACTGCAGCTCTTCCATACATTGTTTTTCCTCATGTTTAAGCTGTCTGTACAAAGAGAAAAACCGAAATACCAACAAGTGAATTATGATCTCACATCAATAAAATAGTAAACCAGATATTTAGATTTCATCAAGTTTGTTTTTAGGGGAAAAATATGACAGAAAATTACTTGTCTAAAACGACCCAACTGGCTTGGGCTTTCTTGGCTTCTGCAGCCACTGCTCCGCAGGGTGATCCAGAAACAATTTTAATCTTCACATTTATCTGTTGAATAACTGTTAGGCTGCCATGTAAATGCAAATACAACATTCATTATGAAACATTCTTACATCAAGGCCACTAACCTTGTTAGGATCATAGACATCATGGAGCTGAAGGATCATTTGAGAGCAAGAATCAGTGATATCACTCTTCTGTTCTGAACCTGATGATCCTGAAGAAGATTTCTTATGACCACTGGCACAATCGCCAGCAAATCTTGGAAAAACCCATAATCTTCTGCCTACATATGTGCAGAACAATAGTTAGGTACACAGAATAAAGGAAGAGTGAAGGTTCAAATAGCCAATCAAAAACAATAACAGAGTAAGGGTTTTTTCATGCACATCAAGGGGTTATTACATGTCAACCTGCTATCCATTTGTTCATAATTCACACTTAAAACAAAACAATCCATAAGGGAGTGACATCCCAATTAATTTAGTATTTGGTTGCAAAAAATAGGCATCATAATGACCACACGGCAAGGAATAATGTCTGAGAAAAAAAGCACACAGACAAACAAATTAAGGCGAAAATTGGATTACCCGAACTTTGTGAAGGTACAACCACTAGCAGTGTAATGCAATCGCCCGGTTGCACAACATGAGTTAGGGACCAAACAAGAGCAGTCTTTGGAATTTCCTTTGATGCCTTGACGGCAACAATAACCTTTTCAGCTCCATCACAACCTTTTTCTTGCTTCCCTCGCTTCTGTTGTTCTCGGCTCATCAGTTCCAACAGTCCCACAAAAACTGCCTTGCTCAACGGATATCACCCAAAAACCTTCAAACCCACATGTTCCTATATTCTAAACAACAAGGGGAAGAAACACGAGCATGTCCAAGATCACTAGTTTTCTCTCACCTTGTCAAGCTCCATTGGAATTATCATATATAACCAACATGCAACATGCTTACAAGCAATGATAGAACAACCACTGACAAGACTCTTTTAACCAGAACTCAAACCTTCAGTGCTACAGGATGGCAAGTAAACTTTATCAAAATCATGCCTATCAGCCACTACCAGAATGGATTCTGCAAGTAAGATACCAAAATAGAATCAAATATGTGCAGAATCAGATACACTTTTGGGTCAAATAGCAAGAAGTTGCATCCCCAAGCTTACAATTACTATGCATCTCCAGTTTCAGAAATTCAACAGGGTTAAAAGCACTGCACAAGAAGGCCTATGAGACAATCAAATACTAAGAACAGTTACAAACACTAGCTGTGCTGTGGAGACTTCAAATCATTCATCTAGAGTCAAAACATTTGGCTTCAACTGGTTGGCTTTACTTTTTGATGAAGCTCTAGAGGAACCCCTGCCAAAGATTCCACTACAGAAATAGTAACATGTCCTTCACATATCAAGAGTTGGAATCAGTATTGATATGACTAAAGATATAGAGGTCTTCTAGCTTTCCAGGGTCATTGAAAGTTCAGCATTATTTTTACCCTGCACAGTGACAGGAATCAACTTTAAAAGTTGAAAACAGTGGTAATGATACCATCAATAAAGCGAAGAGTCTTACAAAGAAGAAAAAAAAAATGCATGTAGATGTGAGACATACAGATAACTAATCACTAGCAACCACCATTTGATTGTTTAAGAATATAAAAAAAAAATATCATTGACGATTAGAAAACAGTAAGAGAAATGTCCGGAGGAAGGTCCAAAACTTTCTTTTTCTCCATTATTGTATCATGTTCATTTATAGTTTGTCAATCCTCAGGACAATGAATATCCAGCATAAAATAACAAAATAAAACAACAGCATCGAGAGCAAATAATGACCCACACTTTGCTGCTTATTCTTGTCATAATATAGTAACCATCAGAACCTGAAACATTTCAGTCAAAACCGGCATAGTTAAACCTCAGAACAACTCCTCACCAATAAAAAGTCGACCATGTAAAAATAACAAGAAGAAAATTTCAGAAGCAAAACCTTACCAAATAAAACAATATCATCACAATGGAACATTGTGACTAAAAAGAACCATTGTTTTCATAAACTAAAAAGAAAACAACGATTTGGACCCTTCTGCTATGGTTCAAAAAATTGAAAAAAGCTCAAAGCTTTGAGATAGAGGTTCTTTGGCTTACCTTGTTGCAATTTTCTCTTGCATTTGGGTAGTAGCAGAATCCCACAAGAATGAAGAGAAAAGATGAGAATGGAGTGATGGAGAACCGAATGAACGACCCAATAGATGAAAAAGTTTTATCAGTCCTCAAAAAGTATGCAGAGAGTGGGAAAATGTTTTGGAGAAGTGAACAAGAGAATAGACCCGGTTATTGGTTACTGATTTGAGTGAGGAATAGAGATAGAGACATGGCAAAGGTGAGACAGAATGATAGTATTAAGTAGTAGTATTTGAAAAATTACACAAGTGTAATTTATTAGAATGAACTGCAAGTGCAATGGTGCTACGATTTGTGTAGGAGATGAAATGCACACACATGACATACTTTGAATGCAGAGAGAGAAAGAATCAGATTTTGTGCAGGGAGTTCAGCTGTAAATCGCCGTCTACATGTGTGCCCGTTTTGTCATCTGTGATCATTTTTTAAATGCCCTCTCTTTTCCCCTTATCATTATAAAATAATCTTTTTTATTTTAGCATAAAAGGTTAATATTTTTTTACATACAGAAAATAAATAATTAAACTAAGAATAAAATATTAATTTAAGGCTTCCAAGTAAATAAATATATAAAAATCTCAGAATGAATGGTTTTTATTTAAATAGATTTTAAAAGTTAAAGTTTAATTTGAAGATTTTTTGAGGTTGACTTTAGTATTAAAGTTTTCAAATAACTACAAGGTAATTCTAGATATACTTATAAACTAATAAGCAATAAAACTACTATTATTACACAAAATAGAATATAAAAAGTTGAGAATATAGAAGATAATTTTAATTTGTTTTATGAGTTTAGTTTATTTTTAAGGTTAATTTGATTTGATGACAATTTATTTAAGATACTAATTTATGAAAAAAAATTCCTCTAAATATTACATAAATTTATCTTCGTTATAAATTTATCATTTTGATTTGTTTTGTTTGTCAACATACTTAATATTTAAAAAGATTAATAAGTATATTATTTTGGTTTATTATAAAAAATATAATGATAATATTTAAAAATATATTTGTTTATAATGTTTGTATTTATTTAACTATCTTAGTGTCTATCAAAATTTACACAATCTTTTGAATAAATTACACAAAATATAATTCAATAAAAATTACACTTTGACATGTGAAAATATTATTAGTCCCCTCTTATATATCATTTTAACTATGTTGATCCTTTTCTAAAATTTACAACAAATAATGTTTTGTTGGTGGAGGTGAATTTATAGTTTTGGTAGTCTTATCTTTGGATTGACCATGAATGTTTTCTTAACATTAGTAAGAAAAATATGAAAATTTTAGTTTGTTTTAATATACTGATTATGAAAAAGTAATAAATAAAATAGTTAAGGTGATTTGATATTTATACCAATTTTTTTCTAAAAACACAACTGAGTAAATTATTTTTTAATTTATCATTATTTTATAATTATTTTTACATATTTTTTGTACACAAGTTTTTTTAATCACATAAAAATGAAGTCAACTATCTTTAAATAACTTAACAATGCATTTATTTTAATAAAATTAATTACTATTAAAGTCAATTAAAACAAAAATTGACTATACTCAATTAAAATAATATATATTTTAATTATTTTATATAAATTCTTTAATATACATTTTAAAAAGAAAGAAAAAGAAATACAATACTTTTTAAATTTGTTCACTTTGAAACACAACTAAAAAAATCTTGTTCATTTATTTTTAAAGGTATTTACATCATTATATTAATTTGTACATTATTAAACAAAAAAATTCTCACTAAAAGGACATAGTCATTGAATGAAAAATACATGGAAGAGAATAATTTCTAAGAAAGCACAAAATATCAAGGTAATATGTACAAAAGTGAAAAAAAACTCATAAATTGTATAATTAATTATATTCTAAACATAATTTACTATAATATTTATATTAATTAAAAGAGTAAATAATGATATATATATATATATAATATTATAATCATAATAAATAATTAAAATACTAAAATAATAAATAAATTACTTTTTATGTATTTTCAATGTATTTTATTTTATATAATTTTTTATTTTAATCTTATTATTTTTATTTATTTTAAGTTTGTTTGTTTAAAAAATAAAATAAAAAACCGAAAATCAAATATATTTACATGAACAACTAAAAACAAAATATATTACATAAACGTTTGTACTAATTCCCTTTTTGCAATCTATTATTTAATTACATTGATACGACCCTTAAGCTAAAATGTACCAGTGCTATGATATTAACATCATGGGTAACAAAACTTCACTTCCAAAATCATGCATTTTCTAACGAAATTCACATGATTAGGTATCAGAAAAGAAAATTTAAAATCTGAATCAAAGTTGAGAAAGAAAATGAGTAGTGTAAGTTTGAAAATAAAGAAAAACACAAATGGTGGCAGTAAAGTGTGAAAGCATTTACTGCACTGCATGAGTATCAGAAGGAGTATGTGTAGGTGTAGAACATGCATGAGAAGAAGACAGTGGTGGTGCATGACAACAACCAATAATAATATTGTCCCTTTGTACCAATTTATTATCTCTAATCCCAAATCAACTTTTTGAAGCCTGTCATAGAATCATAAATGCCACTGCGGTGAAACTTTAATGATAAAATCGCACCCTCACATCAACAACTTATCTTTCTCTCTCTCTTTCTGATTTTCAAACACAACCAACACGTATCTCCGAGGAACCAAAACATTTGTTCGGCATCAGTGGTTGTGATGTTTTGGTACCACACAACCACTGCACTCTGGACCCACTAGCCGTTATCCATCGCCGTCTATTCCTTGTCCATTCACCACCTCTGTCAACTTCATATCATTTCTCGATAATAAATTAACGTTTTCCGTCAGTTTCAACCTTGCTGTAAAACAGCATCACCGTCTCATCCCCGTTTTAGTTTTGCACCACGTGTCCTCTGTTTATCCTTGTTAGGTAGTTTCCGAACCAGCAATTTATTATTTATGTATGATCAAATATTAAGAAGCACAGTAGAGAACACTTCACACCGTAGGGAAATTTTGCCCTAAGTTGAAAACATAATTTGAGTATACTCAATTAAATATATATAATATATAGAATGTATAATTGAATTAGATATTTTATTATTTTTAAAATTTATATTATAAAATATATTAAAAAGTTGTTTTTGACATATAATGTGTAAAAATCTATTATCGAAATTGATTTTCAATGGATAATTAGTAAAATCACTTCCTCTATCGTAATAATGTTGATCCTTAATTTTTTTTATTTTTTTTACATTAATAAGTAGATGGAAAATGTATGAATTTTACCATTTGTTTCTAATTTCTACTATGATTAATATTGTTAGAATATAATAAAAAAGAAAAAATGTATTTTGCAAAAGTAAAAAAAATTCTTGTTTCATAACTTATTTCTTGTTTTTAACCATGTAACAGTTATTATAAAAAGGTTAGATGAGAAACTAGTGTTAATATAAAAACTACTTTTAATAATTTAAAAAGAAAAATTCTAAAACTTAGATTAAGATTTTCACTATTAATAATAAGATAATCAAATTTTACTTATTAGAATGATGTCAAACTTAAAATCAAACTAGACACATCTAATAGGTGTGAAAACTCATCCTACAACTATTATTATTATTATTATTATTATTATTATTATTATTATTATTATTATTATTATATAATAATAATAATAATAATAATAATAATAATAATAATGATATTATGTATTTAGTAAGTTTGATTTTTTTATTTCATCATTACGTACAATGTTATGAGGAGATTAATATCTGATTCAATAATTTAAAAAAATTATAATAAAAATAAATAAAACAGACTTTATTAAATACTTATTTAAATAACAAAATTTATATCAAAGTTTCTTATTAATTTAGTTTAGAATGAAAATAGTTAACATAAATAATTTTTCTTGATAAACAATTTTATTAAACAAAATAAATTTAAAAGACCATCGTTTGTGTTTGAATATAAATTTTCCTTTGATTTTCTTTAATATTTCAACTTTTTTCTTAGCCAACAACTTGTAAAATTCTTTTGTTTTTACCTTTCTTGCGATTTATATGTGTGAAGACTCCACTAGCAAAAAAATAACTACAATATCACATATCAGATTGGTACATGAATGAATGAATGAAACTTGAGAATAAAAAAAGAACATAGATTTCTTAAAATGTAAAGAATGTAGTGAATAGGAAAAGTATATTGATTTGGTTAAAGGTGTGAGTTTTGAATGGTCCCTTTTGAGAAAATTCATGAATGGTGATTATTTAATGTGTGAGGCAAGTGGGGATTTGGATGGTTGAAGGATCATTTAATGCTTTCTTCTTCCTCAACTCACTGTTTTCTACAGACATCAATTGGTGGATGGGAGCAACCTGGGAACTCGATCTTCTTTTACTGTTCTTGCATTTACTTTCTTCCCAGCTACTCCGTTCTTACATTCAATTCCTCCACACACAATTGTTTCTGCTTTCAGTTTTTTCTCATAAATAGCAATTCAAAAAAATTGCAGATAAGAATGAAATTATGTTTTTATTTTATTTTTCTAAAAGTTGTATAGTAATGATATTTAACCTTATATGTATATTTTGCAAAAATATCAAACAAAATATATAATATGCTTTTACTTTTCTGCGTGACAGTTTTACATAGTAGAATCAACACATGTTGAACAAAATCATAAAAATGCTATTTTTATTTTGTTGTATCCTTTTTAAAATACTCTTTATGTTACTTTTTAACGATTTGTTCTTTAGAAAAAACATTATCAATATAATTTTTAAGATAATTATTATAAAAGTTTACATTTTCTTTTTTTACAGAAAGACAGAGACAATAGGATAGTTTCATGTATATGTAATATTCTATTCAATAATTAGCATAACTAATTATTAGGAAGATTTTATAACACTGTCATGTTTTTTTATTGGTCCCTATCATTTAACATAGCTTGAATCATCATGATTCATACACATATCTTTTAAGGTAATGATTTGAACATCGAATGTTTACTTAAAAATGATTATTTTCCCTTCCTCTCTAATTATTTCTATTACATTTCAATTTGAAGCACATGGGCCATGGGCCATGAACATGGAGTGGTTGGTTTAATGAATTATGCAGAAACTAAGTTGAAGCTAGAAAGTTTGCAGTGTAGAAACTTTTTATAATGATTGATGAACAATTATTTTCACTTGATGACGAGCATAGTTTTGAGTACACAAATCAGAGCACTGATTAAATGACAAATTAGGAGCTTTTATTAGGGATTAGGGAACATGTTAGGTGAATTGGTAGGGCAGTGGAATAAGCTAATCTTGATAATTAAGATCATTTTCGTGTGCACTGTAGTGTGGCCTACATGTACTATGCATGTTTCTTTTTCTTCTTATCTGATGCCAGATGCTGGCCCTTGTGTGCTAGGGAGACACCACTGCACGTATGGCCTCAACTGTGTAAACTCCTTTTCATATTCTAATTCTATATCTGCATGCCTCCATCATCTGTTTCATAAAGTAGTGTGTTGAACCTCAAAGCAATACATTGATATTTATGTATACATTTTCCATGAATGGCAAAAGTTGTGTCTAATCATGAACTAATTACCATTTTGATTGATCATAAAGAGCAAGTACAGAACCCCTCTTGAGCAGTGGAACATTTGTGTGTAATTTAGATTAACACATCTACGAAATGTTTCTTGGTTCATTTGATGACTAATGATGAGTGATTACTATTTAGTTAAAACATTCCACACTGGTTCATATTCTAGTATTATGCTTTTTTCTGAATTAGTCAATACTTTGAAGGGGACAGAGGAAGGAAAAAGGTAGGGGCATAGGGCAGTGAAACAGGACTGCCTCTAAGCAAAGACTCACATGCAAATACATGGACAACTCAAAGATTATGGCCAATCATCTTTGAAGTCACAAACCTACCTATAAAAAATCCACAACCAAAAAAATTAAAGGAAAAACTTAACCACTCCAAGCTCTTAACAGTTTGTGCTCAAGTGCTTCACAGCCTCACAGGGTCAATAATGCAAGGCATCATGGGTGGGCCACTTGGAATTTGTGCCCACATGCAATTCATACCATGCAAGGTGTCTAAGGTACATCCCCATGTTTTACCTTGTTCTATGAAAAGGTGAGAAGGCTAGGTTAGCCCCCACTGGAGGGTCTTTATTGCTACCACCATTGCATATTTCTTCGTGTCTGTCACCATTCTGAAGTTAATGATTCCACGTAAACTTGGAAGTAAGAAGAACCATGTAATAATTGTGTCCATGAACATCAACATACAACATTTTGCCCATCTCTTACCACACTGCAAATCCAGTAGACATCCAACCTTGTCTGTTTATGATAATTAAAAAAAATATTCTGATTCCATTCCATTATGACATCTAAATATGGTGATCCATTTCCTCACTTTCTCTTTTTTGGCTTCAAATTTTCCCTGTCCTTCTCCTCTTCTTATCTTATCAACTTGATGTTTTGGACCTCGTTCCCTATTATGCACTGTACTGCATGAATTTGCTTTGTTGCAGACTATGGTACTAGGACAAAAATATTGTTCTGAAAACACGTGGCATATGTTGATTAATGTCCCTTTGAAAACTATTCATGTTTTTGCAGTTTGCATAGTAAATTACTTAATTCAGCCTTAGTATAAATCAGTTTTCTTACTTTCTCGATGTTTCTTAAAGCCTTGGAGCCAACAAAAAAAGTGAAAAGCATGCTTTTAATTGGCCAGCTTCCCCCTTATGCCTGTGTCGCTTTGGATAAAAAAATTGTAAATGCTTTTTTCTTTTATGGATCCATCTTAAACTGGCCATTCTTGCTATTTAAGAAGAAAGTTAGTACCACATCGTCCATATGTAGAAAAACTACTGGGTTTTCAATTCCAGACATCAACCAGAGGCCCAACTTCAATTTGAATTCAATGAGACCAACTCATCTCCTTCTGAAATTTTCAGACCGTTTGGGTTTTGTTGGACCTCTTGTTTATTTCCTTTGTTTGAATGACCCAAAAGAAAGAAAAAAAAAAAAAACTACGAAGTTTACATAATGAAAAAGTTTACGAACACAATTTCTAATATACGCTTCTGGATACATTTTTTCTCATTGGTTAAAATTTTGTGGAAAAAAAAAGGGAAAATTGAGGTCGATTCTGTTTGTTTATTTTTTAGTTTTTAATAATTTTTAACCCTGTCCAAAACTTAAGGTTGGAATTAAAGTCTGATTTAACATCTGACCCAACAAACAACAACCAAACCTGTTTCCACTAGGTGGAAAACATAATTTTTTTATTAGGATTATTATATCTTGTTTCTTCATCTTTTCCTATCTTAATAAGATATGGATATCAGAATCCTAAATTCAGACTCTTACTTTATTATTTAGGATAATTTTTAGATATGCATATTAATTACTGATATCTTTACTTTTATTTTATCAATTAGGATAATTGATAGTTATGAACTTATGATCCTATTAAATAAGAATCACTTTAATTTTTATATCAATAAGGATAGATGTTAGAGATATCTTTGTAATATTTTTAAAAGGCAGATTTGATTGAAATATAATCAATGACAAATAATTGTCAGAAAAAACTTGTGCTAGTCTAGGAGTCTTCTTATTGCTTTTAGGTTGCAAGAAATGTTATTCCAAGTCTAGGCCCATGACTTGATCCTACACGAAGGTTCATTACAGTTTTATCATAAATCATGTGAACCCAACAAACAATAAAGCTATTGAGTTTGGACAATATATTATTGAATATTGTAATTAATGCTATTAATAATAGGGATGCGAAGGGTTTTTATTAATTACTGTAACCATTTCTAGGGTGATAGAGTTTTATACAATGTATCCACTTGTATGTTGTTTCCAATCAAGCCTAGCCCATTATTTATAGAACCATTTGGATATGCAAATGTATTTTACAGCAGATCAGATCTCCTTCCACCATCCATTTGACTGCCAAGGTTGTGCAATGCATAATTGTTTTGGTCACTGTCTTGCAGCTTCTGGTGTCGCTGCGGCTGGGACTGTGACTGCAATAATAATGTAGAATCAACACCGAAAAAAGAACTGCTGTCACTTGAGAGATCCATGTTTGTATATGAATTATTACTGCTGACACTAAATCCTCGAGTTGGAATCATCTGGCTAGTAACTCTTGGCACGCCCACCGGTGGCACATTTCCTCCTGAACCAATGGAAAAATTTGTAGAAGACTGCTGGTAATCATTAGACAAACCTGCAAGAAGTAGACCCAATAATGCAGGGAAAGAAAATCATAGTGAAAAGACTAAGGAATAAAAACAACTAGAATTACCATCAGATAGATCTATTTAAGGAGCTGCCAAGCATGCCACGTGCTGGTACATGTTTACACTATTGACAGATGGGGATGCTATGCTGTTACATCCACAGGCAGCAACCACTGAGGCATCCACAGAAGATGGTGTCACCATGGTTGAATTTGTAATATGTGACATACCAGGGGTTGGTATCATTGTACCTGTTGAATATAGGGTTAATTTCCCTTATGTATTTACCACACATAGGACAGTGTATTTATAATAAAGAAAGGTACTCCTCAAAAGAGTAACAGAATACAAATAGGGTAAATAAAAAGATATTATTTGATATTGTGATTAATAAAATGTAACAATATCTAACAATATCTCAACAATATCAAACAATATCAACTAATATCTAATCATATCTAACACTCCCCCTCAAGCTGGAGCATACAAATCGTATGTGCCTAGCTTGATACAAAGATAATCCATCCTAGGTCCCCGTAAAGACTTAGTGAAAATATCTGCTAATTGATCACATGAGTTAACGAACTCGGTCTTGATGTCTCCGGACATAATCTTTTCCGAATAAAATGACGAGTCAATCTCAATGTGTTTAGTTCTCTCATGAAAGACAGGATTAGAGCTTATATGGAGAGCAGCCTGATTGTCACACACCAGTGTCATTTGAGTGACATCTCCAAATTGTAGCTCTTTAAGCAATTGCTTGAGCCAAATAAGTTCACAGGTAGCTGAGGCCATAGCTCTATACTCGCTTACGCACTGGATCTTGCCACAACACTTTGTTTCTTACTTTTCCATGAGATCAAGTTACCACCAATGGAAACACAATACCCGGATGTAGATCTTCTATCGGAGGGAGATCCTGCCTAATCGAGCATCCGAATAGCAGACAACTCTTGTATGATTATGGGAGTCATACACCAAACCTTTTCCAGGAGACTTTTGATGTACTTCAATATACGGATGACTGCATTCCAATGATCTTGACAAGGAGAATTGAGGAATTGACTCACCATATCGACTGCAAAGGAAATGTCGAGGCGAGTAACTGTAAGATAATTTAATTTTCCAACTAATCTTCTATACTTGTTCAGGATCCGACATTGGCTCCCCTTGATTTGGCAAGAGTTTGGTATTAGGATCCATGGGTGTGTCAACATGCTTTGAATTCATCAACCCGAGTTTCCTCCAAAATATCCAATGCATACTTTCTTTGAGATATAACAATGCCATCGGTAGATTGTGCTACCTCAATACCCAAGAAATATCCGAGTTTGCCAAGATCTTTGGTTTGAAAATGGTGGCAAAGATGTTGTTTCATCCGAGAGATGCCATGATGGTCACTACCTGTAAGAACAATGTCATCGACATACACTATCAAATAGATACATCCGAGCATTCGAGTGACGGTAAAAGACCGAGTGGTCCGCCTCACTTCTAGTCATGCCAAATTGTTGAACAACGTCTGCTAAATTTTCCAAACCAGGCCCTAGGAGACTGTTTTAGGCCATATAAAGATTTGCGAAGACGACATACCAATCCGAGAAGACTCCCCTGAGCAACAAATCCGGGAGGTTGCTCCATATAAATCTCTTCTTGCAAATCGCCATTCAAGAAAGCATTTTTGACATCCGAGTTGATAAAGAGGCCATTGTTGAATAGCGACCATGGCAATGAATAAACGAACGAAGCCATCTTTGCCACTTGGAGAGAAAGTATCACCATAATCCAACCCAAAAATTTGGGTATAGCCTTTGGCTACAAGGCGAGCTTTGAGGCGATCAATAGTACCATCAGGACCAACCTTGATAGCGAAGACCCACCTGCAACCAACAACAGATTTTCCGGATGGTAATGGGACAAGCGTCCGGGTTCCACTAGTCCGAAGAGCACCGAGTTCATCTAGCATGGCCTGACGCCAACCAGGGTGGGCTAAGACTTCAGAGACAGATTTAGGAATAGACACGGAAGAAATAGACGAGAGACAGGTATAAAATGGTGAAGAAATTCGATGATAACTTAAAGCGGTATAATGTGGAGAAGGATTACGAGTAGAACGCGTACCTTTACGAAGGGCAATAGGAAGGTCAGACTCTGTGGACGGAACCAGAGGAGGCAGAGTATTTGGCACTGGGAGTGAGTCATGGCGTTTGTTGTGGGCGAGGTCTGCGACTATAAACCTGAAGGGGTGATGGAGGAGGAGGGGCTAATGGTGGATGGTCCTCAACATAAGGATCAATGAGAACAGGAATGGGAACTGTAGCAGATGGAGACTCAGCAGGTAGGGAAGGGTCCTTAAAGTAAAAGGAACACTCATTGAAGGTGACATCGGCAGACATAAAATAGCGATTAAGAGAAGGAGAAAAACACTTGTATCCTTTTTGGGATCGAGTAAATCCTAAGAAAACACATTTGTGTGATCGAGGAGATAACTTATCATGACCAGGATCAAAATTGTGGACAAAACAGGTAGACCAAAAAACCTTCAGAGGTAAAGGATGGAGAGTGTCATGAGGAAATAAAATAGAATGGGGAATTTTGTTATCTAAAACCGAAGAGGGCATACGATTAATAAGATAACAGACAGTAAGAACAACATCACCCCAAAAATGTTGAGGAACCTCACCATGAATTAAAAGAGTACGGGTTGTTTCAATAAGGTGTCTATTCTTGCGCTCGACCACCCCATTTTGTTGAGGGGTATAAGCACAGGAAGTTTGATGAAGAATGTCATGAGAAGCCATAAATTGTTTAAACGAGTTTGAAAGATATTCATGGCCATTATCACTTCGAAAAGTTTGAATAGAGACACCAAATTGATTTTTAATTTCATGATAAAAGTTTTGGAATATAGAAAACAACTCGAACGATTTTTCATTAAAAATAACCAAGTACAACGAGAGAAATCATCAATAAAAGTAACAAAATATTGAAAACCTAAATTAGACTTAACACGATCTGGGTCCCCAAATGTCGAGTGAACTAAGGCAAAGGGGGATGAGGCACTGCTGGGAAACACTACGAGAAAAGGAAGTACGACTATGTTTGCCTAAGCGACATGACTCACACACCAAATTGGACAAGCTGGGATAAGGCTGGGAACAAGTTGCTATAATTTGCGCGGACCTGGGGTGACCAAGTCGAGCATGAAGGAGAGAAGGAGACTCCATAACTGTGCCAACATGTGGAGAAGGTTGAAGATAATAAAGTCCATGTGACTCACATCCGGTGCCAATCACTCTTTGCGAGCTCCGGTCCTGTAGGGAAACAGAAGTTTTGGTAAATTATGAGAAGAAGTGAAAGAGGAAAATAAGGATTTGTTACCTGTGATGTGATCGGTGGCGCCTGAGTCAAGAACCCAAGGGCCAATAGAAGAAGAGTGAGTCAGACCAGCAAAAGATGTACCTGTGTGGGCAACAGAAGTAGTGGAACTGGAGGGCTTTCGATCCTCATACCATTGAAGAAAATCATTGAAGATAGCAGATTTGTCTGAAGGTTCAGACAAAGGAGGATCCACAACAGATGATTGTGCGGAAGAATCAGTCTGAGCAACTGCAGCAGATCGGCGAGGATAACCATGTAAAGCATAACATTTGTCAATTTTGTGGCCTAGTTTGCCACAATGGTCACACTTGACATGCCCTTTGCCTGGCTTGTGAGAGCGATTACGATCATCACGGTGAGAGGCCAAGGCAGATGAATCATTAGAAACTACAGGGGGAATATTGAGAGGTTTACATGGTACCCGCAAAGGGAGGAAGCTGGTAGCGGTAAAGCTGGGTGTAACAGGGGAACCCAAAATCCGGTCACGAACGGGGACATATTTATCGGCAAGTCAGTGTAACATCAAAACCATGAAAAACTTTGATCGTTGCTCTAATTCTTGGACAGGAGTCGAGGCAGGGGGTAATAACTCATTAAATTCATGGAGAAGAGCATGGATCTTACCCACATAATCCGCCACAGGATCCTTATCTCGAGGAGCAATAACATCAAGAAGATTGTAACAAACACCATAAAGACGTTGAGTGTCATTGGTGTATAATAATTTGGCTTGTTCCCAAACGTCATAACATGTGTCATATGATCGAAAAATTTGTTTTAAAGAATATTGGATGGTATTCTTGAGAACCATACATATATGAGCATCAACTTTCTTCCAACGGACACGATCATTGGAAGGAACATCATCTACCTTGGTAGTAAGATGATCAACATACCCACGACTCTCAAGCCAAAGTCTAATATCGGATGCCCAAGTTGCATAATTCGTACCATCTAATTTATCAATGGGTAAATTCACATTGACATAATTAGTAAAAGCAGTTGCTCGAGACTCACCGGAGTCGACGGAGGTAACTTCGAGATTGGAAGTGGCGGCGGAAGATGCCATGGAGGAAGAGAGAGAAAACCCTAAAACACCAAAGAGGTCCGATTGGAGCGGCGAGGACAGATCCGAGAGAGAGGAGAAGGAGGCGACGCCGGCGCAAAGATCGGCGGCACTGAACGGCGGCGAGATGCGCCGCCACGTGCGGCGGAACGGGAGAAGGTGGCGCGGCTCGGGAGGCGCGTGAGGGAGCGTGGGCTGCTCCGATGACCGCGAAACTTCCACGGTGGAGGTCGCACGGAGGAGGCGAGCAAAACCCCGTGCTCGGCGGTCCAAAGCGCTACTCGGCGACGGCGGCGGCGGCGGCAGACGGCGGTGGCGACAGCGGTGGCGGCAGACGGCGGTGGCGACGGCGGCGGTGGCGGCGATGGAGGCGGCGACAACTGCAGGTTCAGTG